TACTACATAATTATGATTCAACTTCATGCTCTATTTTATTTATTTTTACGAAATTATACTACATTAATTATATTAAATACTTATTCTTCATTTACTTTTTTTATTTCTTCATTTATTTTATTTGCTTCTTCTTCCTACAATGTGAATGTACGTAAACATTATTATTTTTCCTAACTATTCTTAAATACTTTTATTGGTCCATATAAAGGATGATTGAGTTATTTAATCATGACCCATTGATTTGAATGAACAATTTAAGGTTTTAATTCCGTGTTACCCATAAATTTGAAAAATTATTCAGTTAAATAATATTTTACATAACATGAAATTTATTATTGCAAATCATCATAATCATTTAGATTTCTTTTGACTTCCAATCTCTTTTATTTACATTCAATCAAATGTAATCAAATGTGATATCTATTAATAATTTAACAAATTTAAAAATTTATTTGCAAATTTTTCTCTCTATCTTATATTTAAAATTTAAATCAACTTTAAGCATTTACATAATGATGAATTTCATTTTAAATTGTTTTTGTACTTTATCCACAAGTAAACCACTCAAAATTAAAAAATTTTTTTTAAAAATTCAGATTTTTGTTAAATTTAACCCAGAACAGTTACATATGATTTAAAGGCATTATTTTATTATTCAATTATAAAAATAATTTATAGATGTGACTTTATGAAATTTATTTATTATTTATTACATTTAATCGCTCTTTTACATAGTATTAATAAAATCTAATACAATTTATTAAATCAAAGCTTTTAAATACATTTTTATAATTTATAGTAAAGCATTCTATTATTACTTTTGAGGACTTATAGTTTAATAGTTTAGAATTTATAGAGTTTGGCTCTAAGGATACATTATTTTAAATAATTGTATTGTATTGAATTTCAAGAATGGAATAAGATAACTTTTATTCAAAAACTAATATTAAAGAAAATAAAATTTATCTAGAAGATAGATATAGTATTTTGATTTAAAACTTTTTTTATTATTTAAAATCATAAAATTTGGTTTTATTATTATCAGAGATTTTTATTTTTCATCATGATCTAATTAATATTAATAATTTAAGCACTTATGAAAGAACTTTTAAGACTGCTTTGGAATGATGGATAAGAAATCTTTTTAATGCTGAATTATATGTTCCATTAGATATAATTAATTGATAAGGGAATTGTTTAATCTTTAAGTTTACAAAGTAAAAAAACTTTAGCATTCAAATCTCTAATTCTATGATAGCATTATATATTTAATTTGTTAAATCAATTTTTTCGAATAATTTTCATTCCAGCATTTTGGAGCTGATTTAGGAAAAGATTTTGATATATGAAGGGAAAAGTCGAAGTTATATAAATTTTATTGCAAGTATTTATAAGATATTAAACTTGATTAATTCTATTTTTCTATTTTTCAGTTCGTTCAAAACTATAAATAATTATCTTCAGAAAAATAGCTTATTATTATACATTGTTATTAAAGTTGTTATGATAATACTAATATGATTTAAACTACATGTATGCTTACTTAAATTAAATTTTATCGAAATTGATTTTCAATTTAATTGAATTATTTATAGTTAATTTTTATACAATATATTTTAATTAATATAGCATAAAATTTATAAATTTTATTATTTTTTATAAAAAAATATAAATGATTTTTGGTTATAAGAAATAAAGTAATAAAGTAGAAAAGATAATTTAAAAATTTGAATTTTGAAAATATTTAGATATAGTTAATGATTTAGAATATTTAAATAAGATTAAAATAAGTATTAAAATAAGTATTTTTAATTAAATTCAGTTGATTTATTATGGATTATTAATATGAATTCAAATTCTTTGATTTGATAAGACTTCATTTAAATTGAGTTATTGAAATCAGACTTTTTATTTGATTATAAATAATTAATTTTTAAATTGCCCTTGATAAACAAGAATGTTTAATTAAACATAATTCATTAAATTATTAAATGAGAATAACCTTGATAGAGAATTTAACATTAATTGCTCATTCTTAACATTAGAATTAAGCTGGAAATACATTGATAAGTGTTATTCTTATAATTCCATATATTTAATATTTATCCCTTTTACTTCCATCTCATGGATGGTCTTATTGGAATTATAAAGATGGTTATTTATAATTTATTTAAAAGGCATGCTCATATTTTACAATAACTCCTTTTTTTGAATTTGAGAACAACTTCATATATTATCCATTTACAATATTTAGTCTAATAATAATGGTAGGACTTATTTTATATTTGAGTATTTTTACATTAGAAATAGAATCTAAAGATAAGAAAATAAAATATAAAGAAGGTAGAACTAGTACTTTATGCACAATAATTCTATTTACAATACAAACTCTTTAAATTCCATGCTATAAGTTCTATATTTAATAAATAATCGAGGCATAATAAAAAAACCTTTAGAATTAATTAATTCTTAACATTATCTCAATTATATTATACTGTCTCTACATCTTTATGAGTGAGTACTTTTTGAGATAGTATTCATTTACACCTTATCATCCAATGTAATAAAAATTTACACGTTTAAACGCTTATTAGATTCTTCTCAATTTAGCAGCTATAATTTTAACTTTGGAATAGGAATCTGAATTATAAAATTTGATTGGACTATTAGTTCTACATTCAATATTTATTTTGAAAATGCTTAATTATTTATATTATAAACCAGAAGCACCTCATAAAAATATGATTCATTTCGAAATTTCATTTACATTAGAATCAATTGCTATATTAATAACAGTAAATGTATTTTCAGAAAATTAAATATTTCCAGAAAGATAGATTGGAATTTATATTATGTTTATTTTTAGTTTAGGAATGATTCTAGGAAATCTAATCTTTACTTTCTTACTATAATTTATTTTTGATTAGAGAACTAGATATCTTTATTAGATTTATCAATTATATTCCTATATTGGTAATATCACTTCAAACTCTATAACAACTTATAATCTCATTATTTATTAATTAATAAACGATAAGAATTTTTCACAATTTTAAAGAAAAGTAATACTTAATAAAAAGAGTACTTAAATGTAAGACTATTTTAAATTAGGATTATATATAGTAACTGAAATATTTATCAATTTGAAAGAATAATAGAAAACTGACCTTGAAGAACTTTAATTATTGTTTGTTTCTTTTTTAGCATTAATTAGAAATAAACCATTAATAGCTTATGTAGAATTTAAAAAATTTGAATAAAATGTCAATATAAAGAAGTCTTAATATTTTTAATTGATGAAAGGTAGAATAGATAGACATTTATAAAATAAAATTACAGCAATTTAATTAATCTATGAAAAAGAGCAATCATATTTAAAAAATCCAACATTACTTAAAAGTGTAAGTCCTACAGAATTGTATGAATATTGTTTAATAGAATAGAAGTTTTAAGAAAAAGTTTATGATTTAATTTAACTTAAAATTTCTATTTGGGAATTTTAAATAACTGGTTGTAAAACTTTATATAATTTTGAAGATTTTGCTATTAATTTAAGTAAATAAATAATAGAATGTATTTTTTATTTAAGAAGTTAAAGTATATATGTAATATAAGAAGAGTATATAAAAAACTGTGATGATATTTTAAGATTGAAAATATGTTCAATGTTTCATAGTTTTGTATTGAATGATTATTATAGTGCACATATATGTGAATAAAAAATATAAGATATTATGAAAGTTGAAACAACATATGAATAAAATGTAATAACACGTTCAAATATTTTAAAAGATGAAACAATATTAATAATAATTAGTATAGTTAAATAATTAGGATTGATATTAAATTAGAGTAAGAGTTAATTAGCAAATTATTTTGGATATACAAATACAGAATTTTAATAAATAGTAGATCTTAAAGAATTAATGCCTTAATATTTTGGTAGTAAACATGATTAATTTTTATAAGCCTACATAAAAGATCCAAGATCAGATTTAGCATACAAAGAGACATTAACTTTTGCTTAAGGAAAGAATGGATTCTTAATACCATAATATCTAAATATTTATAATAATTTTGTTATAAATGATGATTTTACTATAATAGGTAGTTTGACAAAAGAAAGAGAAATTCATAATTATTTGATTTTTGATGAATATGGTAAGTGTATAGGAATTACTTAATAATTAAGTAAATTACTTGTACCATAAAATCACTTAGAGTATTTTTTGGCAAACATTAATTCATTTTTTGTTTATATGTTTTTACCTCATATTCATATATATATGAATGATGTATTAAATAATTCTATAAATAATAATGAAGGAGTTATTCAATAAAAATCTGTATTATTGTATGTATTTTCAGATTTTATTGATTTATAAAAGATGCATCATACAATATTAAGTTCATATTAATAGCCTTCATAAAAATTTGTATAATAGACAGGAGTTTTTCAATAATAATTTGAATAGATGAATTCATTAATTACTAGTCCTAGAAATGGCAATACAAAGAGACTTATTTCAGAAACTAAACCATCTAATCTGATGGAAGATTTTAAGAATCTAGAATAAAGTAGTTTAGATTTTTTTAAAATTGGTTAAAAATAATAATATTAAAAATAAAATATTATTACTACATAATAAAATTAAACTTCAATAAAAGAAAATGAAATAATAGACTTTTTAAATGCAATTGAAGTAATTATTAATAAAAATTGATAGGTTTTGTAAAAAACAATATATTTTTGTACAGCTAAAATACAATTATCTACTTTAGGGAAAAAAGAAAATAAATAACATTATTTTATTTTAGAGTTATCAGAATTTATAGATAAATCTAATTAATAAGATGATGAAAGAAAATAAATTAGAAGATAAAATCTACCTATTCGTAAAGTAACTTAAAGAAAATCAAGTCATAAACATAGTTTTGTTTAATAATTTTAAACTATTCCAAAGAGTCCAGATTATTAAATGGATTCATCCTTAATGAGTCCTAATGGTTCTGTTTTATAAAAGAAAAGCTTTCTTGATAAATCTCCTGTAAATAGTTAAATTTTAAATTATGTAAGTGAAAAAAGATTAAATTTGATGGGTTCATTAGGATAAGCCCATTCTGAAAGTTTTAGTGAAGAATTATTTAGTAATGAGATATAATAAGTTTTTTAACATTAAAAAGAATACAAATCAAATCATTAAGTAGGAATACTTAAATCTTAATCAAGTACTAAATCTGGTACTACTAGATAGACTGCAATAGAAATTGTAAATAAATTTAAAACAAAAACTTCATTAATATCTAGTCTTGCTATTATTTCATTAATAAAATTTATTGTTCTTATTTTATTTATCATTTTTCTATGTATAAACTTGACATAAATTAACATTTTTAATAATTAAGTAACTAAATTTATTACAGATATTAATTTACCTATAAATTTAAACAAATACTTTTTAAACCTGTTTACTTATTCATGGATTACATCTTTATAAATTAATAATATATTAAATACAAGTTAATTTATCAATAATTAAATGAAAATATAAAATTAAAGAATGGAAACAACTTTTATCAATTTGACAACTATGTATTCTAATTTTATTTCATTAGAAGATAATGGATACTTAGAAAATTTGAATATCACTCATGTAGATAATACAATTTATGTCTAAAATGTTGATTTTACTGATTATATATATCATCTTTAATAAATTGGATATAGACTCTTACATTTTGAATCAAATTAAATTTATTTGTCTAATCTTTTAAAATACAGACTCAATTTTGCTAATATTATTAGAAATAATTTTAAAATAATATAATCTTTGGGATTATATTACACTGATCAATAAGATGGAAAAATAGCAGTTTTATTTAATTAGATTTTGATTGAAATAATTTTAATTGGAATATTTATATTAAGTTAATTATTTTTTTGGAGAAAGATTGAATAATATTGTTAAAAGATACTATTATTAATTAATAGATTGACTGAAAAAGGAGCAGAAAATTAAATAATCAAATTCAGATTAATAGGCTAAATAATAAAACAAACATTTGGAGAATTAGGATTTAAATAATAAAATTGTTATAAATTATGTTATACTGATATGTTGTCAGGCAAAAAAGGATTAAAATAATATAAATCTAAGGTTTAATCAATTTTAATAAAATCAAATGGAGCAAAATAATAGGAAATTTTGGCAAAGAAATCTAATTCATCAACAATTCCATTAAATTCTAGAATAACAAACGTATAAGTTAATATAATAATGAAATTAATTTATATAGTGATTAATTTATCGTTATTAAGTTTCTTTTTTTTAGGAGATTACTTATTATATAAAGATTAATCATAGCAATTAAATCCTGCATATGAATTAGCTATGGATTATATTTAATTTTACTTAAAATTTGAGAATACAGTTTCTATTGCCCTTATGATTAAATCATAATAATAAATATATTATGTAATGGAAGAAGTAATAAAGGAAGAGAAACTAATTCTTAATTAGTATGATTAAGAGGTAAATGTCACTAAATTTTTATAAGAAGCATATAGTTTTAATCATAGTGATTTAAGTTCAATTTATTAGAAAATAATAGATTCTGATATAATAAATGATGAAGATGAAACTTCAATATTAACTTTATATAACAATGATTTTTGTTTATTCTTTAATAGTAATGATATTCCATTTTGTGATAAAAATTTAACATAATAAGAATTTAAAACACAATTTGGTGCTTATGAAAGCAAGGACAATAATTCTTAACTTTTAAAATCTGGAATTGTAGGAATAGTTAGTAAGATGGATGTATTTTTATTACAATAATATGAATATGAGTATCAGACAGGAAAACTAGATGATGATTTGATCAAATTAAATTAACAATTAAATAGTTAAGATTTTAATAATATTGTAGTACAACATTATTTAGATACATACTAAGGTTTTGAAGAGTTTTTTAATTTGATTCAAGTATCTACAATTAATCTAATAACAAAATAATAAAATACATAAGATTTATATTAGTATATGATTGGGATATTTTTGGTAGTTTTTTTGATAGTTTCTTCTATATTTATGATAATTAGAATGAATTTACGATTGATACAGTTAAGATTATTGATAACTTTATTACCTGTTGAAATAATGTTAGATATTTACACAATTTCCTTGCTTAAAATCTTATAATGAATATATTTATATATATATAATTATGATTCTTTATTTGAGATATATTTAACTTTAATTCTAAAATTAATTAATAAAACAAAAAATGTTGCTTTATTTTCTTATGCTAGGTTAAAGCATATGTTTAAATTTCAGTTTCTTTAATGATACTGAACAATATTAGACATAGGTGATTATGAATGTAGAATAGTAATCATTCATTAAAAGATTAGATGATATGGGCAAAATTTTGTATATTTTATATTTCTTATTAATTTAGATCAGTTAAGTTTACGAGTGATGATGGATCTGATAAATTTTGTTCTTCATATTTTTAAGGAGTAACAATTCATTAATCGCCAACTGGTTTTATATCATTAGTACATGAATTCTCAAAAAAAGACATTGATGATTTAAGCGAAGAAGAATTATATAAAGGATTTAATGAAAAATTATCATCATTTGCAATTAGTCCAGAAGGGATTAGTATATTATCTTCAAAAGGAAAAATTTACTATATTAATACAATGTCAAAAGATTTTTCTATCTTTAATTAAACAATCCCTTCGTTAAATGAACATTAATAGACAACATAATTAGTATATGATGAAAAATCAAGATATTTTTATGCCTTTTTAAATGATAACAATTAAGTAATTAAGTATTAGTTAGTGAATAATGAAATATAATATAAATCTATTTAAGGATGGCAAAAACCTAATGATAAATTTAAAGTTGTTACTTATAATGGATGGTTATTTTCAGCTTAAGATTAATAAGGTTTATTTATTTATGAAATCGAACAACATGGTTTAAAATTAATAAGAAGTATTACTGCTTAAGATTTGTATGATTTCTAATCAGATTCATCAAGAATAGTTGATGTTGCTGTTTCTTAAGATAAGTTATACATTTTAGATTATTATCATGGGATAACTTAATTTATTATTAATTCAAATGGAAGTTTTACAAAAAATGAAAAATTAGGATTGATTAAATATTAGGATTGTAAATCATTCTCAATAAGAGGATAAACAATAATTTTAATATAAAATTATTAATCGAATTCTGAAATAATTGAATTATTTATATAAGATGATGAATATATAGAAATGAGAAAAATATATACAAAAAGTTAATTGAGAAAAGCTGATATAATAGATGATAATTTTGCAGTAGTTCGTGGTTTACATGATCATAAAATTATGCTTCTTTAAATGCCTGATTAATATCTAGATTAAAATGCTAAACTATTGTAATTGTTTATTTATATACAATATATAGAGATAATTATTTTTTTAGTGGAAATCTATTAGGAGTTAATAAATTTGGTAATAGTAATAATACTCTTTTTGCTATTTCACCTCATGGATTTTACATCTTTGTTTACAAATCTTATCCTTCCATTATAATATGTAATAGTAATGAAATTGATTCGGGACTCTATTAAACTAATGTAATTTTAAATTATATTTAAGTTGGAAATCATAAGTACTGATTGTGAAAAGAAAACTGATAAATCTAATCATCTTCAATATTGTGTTACCAATTATCTCTATGATTTCGAAATTAAAAAACCTTTGCTTTCACCATAATAATAGTAAATTACTATTTATCTTACCATCATTTTAATATCTTTTATTCTACTTCTAATTGGATGTATTTTATATCATTGCAGAAGATATCAAATCAAATTAGAAATCCTAAAGAAAGCAAAATAATATAAAAAATAAAGATCTGAAGATAAAGGAGAAGAATGATGTTATTAACATAATCAAATATTTTATTATTCATTTTATACAAATGATTATTAAATAAATATAACAAAATTTTATTATTTAAAATATGAAGTAAAATACATTTTTAAATATATATATATATGCCTCATTCTATATAATAAATATATAAATAAAATAGAATATTAATCTATGATCTGCTAATTATATAATTAGATTTAAAATAAATAAACAAGATATTCAACAAAAATAAGGTGATAAATTTTGATTTATTCCCTATATTTATTTTTTTAATTTTATTTTTTCAAGAGTATAAATTAGAAGATATACTTTATTTTAAAACTAATTCCTTAGAAAAAAATAAAAAATCTTATTTTTTAATATATTATTTTAATTATAAATTTTTGAATTTATTTTAGTATTATAAAATTTATTGCATAATATATTTTTATTTTTCTTCTCATGCTTTAAAAGAGATGAAATCTAAATACAGCACAAGATGATCAACAAAGTTGATATTTAATAATAAATTAGCAATAGATCTTTATAGGATGAGAAATAGAGTAGCCTTGAGTTTTATATTTTAATTGATTTATTTTTATATCCAATTATGTGGCTTAAATTTCTTTTTTGCGTGTTAATGTACTTTGAGGTACAAGAATTAGGAAAGATTGCTATTAAAAGTACAATCTAAAATGATCACTTGGTTTCATATACAAGTATTCTCTAAATTTTAAACTAGATGCATTTACTTCTGGATTATTTTTATCTGTAGGTATTTTACATATTTTACCAGAATCAAATGAGACATTAATAGAATTTGTAGATTATCCTATTGCATTTCTGATTGCAATATTTGGATTTTCTCTTCTACTCTTTGTGGAGAAAGTTCTATTTAGAAATATAGAAGATAACTCTTGTAGTTAGGAATTATAATAATTAGATCATTAAGGAAAGCATTAAGTGATTATTCTTGAAAATTCGGAACATTAACATACAGATAAATTAATTAATTCCTTCAAACATGATTAAAATAGTCTTAAACCATATTTACTATCAATTACAATAGGATTGCATGCTATATTTGAAGGAATAGCAATTGGAGTTACAACAAAAACTTCTGATACCTTAGCCTTAGGATTAACTTTGATGAGTCATAAATGGGCTGAAGGTTGGGCTTTGGGTATAGCTTTTAGATAGTCCAATATTTAAAAAGATAGACAAATTAAATTCATTATATGTGCTGCTTTTTTATCTCCAATAGGTATTTTCTTAGGTATGTTGATTTCAAACCAAAGTATCTTAATTATAGGAATTGTTTAAAGTATAACAGCTGGATCCTTTATTTATATTGCCTCTACTGAATTAATTGTAGAAGAATTCAATAAAATTTAAAATTAAACATTTTAATATATTCTATACCTATTAGGCATAATATTAATGTCTTTAATTGTGTATTTTGAATGATTCAATATAATCTATATTAGATTAAATAAAATATTATAATATTACATTATTTTCATATCTTAATATATATTTATTAATATCATAATCTCTTTGAATTTTAGGATATGTTTAAATGTAATTTTATATTTAAATTTATTATTTTTAAATTTAAATTTAAAATAATCATTTTTTATTTGAGATATTATTATTATTCTATTTAATTTTATAAATTAAAGAATTCAATTTTCACTAAAATCTTATTTAGAAATTGATTAAAACAAAATAATGGGGTATCTAATATAGTTTTAAATTCAAGAATAAAAAAGAAAGAAGAAAGTTAATGAAATAAATGAAGTCTTAATATAGAAAAGATATTGAAATCTTAGTTAATACTGATGATTATGAACAATATCATAAAGGATTAAAAAGAAAAGATAGAGAAGTTTCAACGAAGAACTAAAGTAATTATTTGAGGATATTAATTATTTAAAAATACTGAAAAAGGAATCCTTTTAATTTATTGATAGCATTACATTATTATATATTGTATAATTTAATTCAATAAGCTTTTAAAAATTGTCTACTAAAATATTGAAAATACTTAATTTTTAGAATAATTTAGCCATATATTAAACATAAAAAGATCTTATGATTATAAATTATCAAATCAACCTTTAGTTTGATATTTAGTCACATTATTTTTAAAAATCTAATGAATCAAATCTCTTATATAAAATGAATAATTTATAATAATAAATATTTATTTAATAATACACATAAATACTGATTATCATTACAGTTTTTTGAGTAATGATAGTGTATGTTATTCTGTAAGTACTTCAATTGGTAAATTAGTTAAGATTAATCTTAATTGTATTAGTCTTTAATTTGTTCTATAAATCCAGCAGCCATAAAATATAAGATAAATTAATAGGAGCATAAGTCCAGTTACCAAATAATAAGTAAATAATAAATTTAAATCATTCTCAGTAATAGTTTTCACAGATTTCATAATAGTATCTATAAAAAGATTAGTTCCATCTGTAGTATCTAAAAAATGTTCAATTAAAGTATTAGTAAATTCTCTAGTTTCAAAAAGTTCTCTTACTACTTATAAATCTGGAAAATAATCAATCTTATTGATTTCATAATGATAATTTTATTTAAAAAATGCATCTAATCTACTAACTACTCCTTAAATTCCTTTACTTAAATAATCCCTATTGTCATCTAATCGAGTAGGTTTTCCATATAGTTAATCAAAATTAATTGTATTATTATCATAATTGCAAAATGGAATATCAGTTCTCAGTAAATAACAAAAATCATTAGAAAATAATTCAAGTAAAATATTTTCATCATTTTCAGTAATTTTATCTGATTGAATTATATTTTCATAAATTGATGTAATATTTTCAAAATAGATTGAATAAAGGGAAATGAATATTGATATTATTACACGCTAATCTCTGAAAGTTTCCATTTCTTAATCTGTATATATATTTAATTCAACAAGTTTATTATATAATATTGGTTATGTTTTTGTAATAAAGGCTGTGCTGACTACTATATCTAGTTAAGATGTAAATCTTATAAAACTTAGAGTTAATTATTGAGTTGGAAATAAATCATTTTGTTATTTTTTAAATATTAAAAATCCTCCTAAAAGATAAAATAAAAAAATAAGACAAGTTATAATGATTATTATAATTGCACATTGAATAGAAGTATTTGGATTATTTATTTTTGAATTGAGAACAACATTAAGATTTTTTTTATAATTTTTTCTATCATCAATAATATGATTTAATTTAATTGTTTAATTACCAACTTATGATAATTAATATTCTTTAAGAACTCTAGATTAAGTTTGCATAGCTTCAATACCTATTTAATTTAAAGGAAAAAATAGTAATTTATAATAATTTTATTTTTTCCATCCATATTTTCCAGACAATTATTTTAATGTTTCTATAACTGCTGTAAATCTCGTTATCATATCTTATGCTTAATTTAATTATAGTTTACCAACTAAAATTAATATCTATTAACTATATAATTCTATTTTTTTCCAATAAATTAATTAACAAGTAATAATTAATACCAATAAAATAATTTCTATTATAATTTATATTTCGAATTCTTCTATTTAACTTACTTATTATTAAAAGAATAATACATTAAGAGAATCAATTAATTACGAATTCATATCCACAACATTTTTTAAATTATATCTGAGCATAAGTAAATTATCTATATAATTTCTATCAATCAATTAAATAAGAGTTTATATGTTATAATTAAGTGCTTAAAATAAAGTATCAGCAACATTAGAAATAATATTAATAAAATAAGTATATGTAACATTTTCATTATTTTAATACAAAAAATCTAGATTAATTAAATTAAGCATTCCAGATGATTCAACTCCAATAAAAGTATCATACATATTTGTTAGATCATAAAAAATAATTTAAGCTAAATCTCTCATTTCAGAAATAGTTTAAGTTATCAAAAATTCACTACTTTCAATTATTCCAAGACTGTTAAAAACCAAACTCCAAGTATAAGTAAAGACTTTAAAAAAATACCTATTAAATAAAGTAGGCCCATTTATATTTGAAAGTGTTAATTAAGTTTAATGATTGTAAAATTCAATTTTTAATAAATGTGCTATTATAAAAGCAAGAATGATAATCATTATCATAATATTGATGGATACCAATATTCTAAGACTATTAGTCATTTCAGTTTTTTATTAAAATTTCTTAATTGTAGATATTGCAGAAATCCCTGAAGTTCCAGATGTAATACTAGATTTTGATTTCTTAGCTTCTCTATCTATATCTTCATTTTTTTTATTTAATCTATTATTTTATAAAATCTCAATTAGATTATTGCTCTTTTAATTTTAATCTTTACTGTTACTTTTTACTTTAGATGAATCAGGAACATCAATATCATTTCCAATATCTTCATTTCCTAATTCTAATTGATTCTATAAATCCATAAAGTCCTTATCAATCAACTCTTACATATGTTATTATTTAGAAGATGGACTTATAAAATTTATTCTCTAAGATAATGGACCATAACTCATACTATCTCTTGCTGATTCCATCCCTAATTAATCCATTAAATTTAATTATGCTTATTATTTACTCTCATATTTATTTAAAAGTCTTGAAAAACCAGTTTATAATTATTTAGATATATTTGGTGTTACTTCTTCTAGATCTACATGCATAGTTCCTAAGTAACTATTGTTTTGATCTTAGGCAGTAGGTATATTACCTTTGTTTGTTGTTTAAATTGATATTGTATTCTAATTATTTATTAGAGAATCATTAGTTTTAAAGAATTCATCTGCTTTCCTCATATCATTTATTTCCAAAATAAAATAACTCTTTCTATTATCCTTTTTTCCAATCATTTTATATACTATATTAATTTTTGCAACATAATGTTGCTTTGTTTTACCCTAAATATCAATTATATTTTACTTCTAAAATTTATAATGAATTTCTCAACTAGTTATTGAAATTTAAACTATAAATTGTTAAGGATTTTAAATTTGAAACCCCTTTTAACTTCTTTTTCTCATTTATAGATTATCCCAATTACTAATATATTTTTATATCTGCTTTTTCTTTCTCAATAGAAGCAAAAGATGTTCTAGATAAAAATACACTACTATCATTAATAAAGTAGCTTTATTTAGATGAACAACCCAATTTTATTGACATTTCATATAAATCTTTATTATTATTATATTTCCATATTTTATAAAATTTATCCTACTAAACATAAATAGAATCCTTTCCATAAGTATTTTTTAAATCATTTAATAATTCCATAATATTTGGAATAATAAAAAAAACATTTAGTTGATTCAAATTTTCGTGTAATATACTTTATGATTAATCTTTAGCATTAATAATTATTTAATAAAAATTCTCAGTCATCCCAATTAGAAAACCATCCTCACCAAAAAGCAAATAATCTGCTGATTATTTCACTTATGCAAGACAACCAATTAATACATAATCATCTAATTCACTAAAATTATTGTCTAATTTCAATTAATATGAAATTATCATCCCTTCTTTTGATTGACCAAAAACTTAATTATAATCATCAAAAAATTGAGATTTTGCAGTTTACAAATAATTTAATAATAATTTATCATGTTTCTCTGCAAAAAAAGTAGGCATAAGACCAGATATATTATCTATTTATGCGAACTCTTACTCAGTATAATTAAAAAATTAAGAAATCAATTTCTTATCTTAATTAATTATCTTACCTCTATTTTTAACTAAACTTAACATCAAAATAACTGCTCTTTCTTAAATAAATGATAAATTTGAAATTGTATCTTCTTAAAATGTATGTTCTATATTATATATTTCTGAGATTGTTGTCTCACATATTTAAGTACTATAATAATCATTCATTATAGAACTACAAAAAATAGAAATCAATTTTAAATCCTAAACATTATTTGAAATTGACAAATGATCTAAATTCTTAATATCTATTTAACAATATTAATTTATTTAACTAGCTAAATTTAAGATATTCTTGCTTTATTTTATTGCTAATCTCTCTAATTCATAAATATTATTAAAACCCTTAATTTATCGATTCCAAAAATTTATCTTATCATTTAATAAATCTATAATACTAGGAATAAATTGATCTTGAAATTAGAGAGCTTCAAAAATTGATTAAATACTCAATTATCTATCTGTTATAGCAACCTTTTATTAATTATTTGCTTAAATGTTTGTTTATTATTGATTTTTTATAAGTGTTTGTAGATAAATGCTCATTTAATATCTGATTTAAACAAAGTAAAAAGATTAAATTTATTATTTACTTTAATAGCGTTTTAATTCTACATAAGCTAAAAGTGGTTTCTTACAGAATTAAGCAACATAACTAATATACAAGAGTTGCAATTCTTCATAATCTGTTTTTGAATCTTATTATGCTTTTTCTAATTCTGTATTTAGAATACAAAATATCGTTTGATGGGTTCTTTATACTTAATTATACTCAGTTTTATAATTTGATTTTAACCAATGTTTTTAACAAACTATCTTATGTCCCTTCCATTATATATAAAGATGAAAAAATTCTTTTATTTTTTAATTTTCTAATGTCATCAAATGTTTAAAATGCATTTCTTATGTATAATGAATACAATTGAAAGGAGTTATTTCATTATCAAATACAGATAAACATCGATTAGAATAAAATTGTTTACTTAAATAATATGCAATCAAACCCAATAACATTATTACATAAATCAATTGTTCTTCTTAAAATATTTAATTATTGTTTGTAAAAATATTAATGCTTAAAATAATTAAGATTATAAAAAGTGTAAAATTTAATGAAAATTATAATGAATTAATAATAGGAATAGATGGTTTCATAATAATTGATTCTGCTAATCTTAAAAATATTAATAAAAATATTAAAAGTATTTGTATATATTAAACAGTTGTATCCTGATCAACTAAATATAAAAATACTATAAAAACTGAGAGACCATATTATATAGATTGAAATCCATTATACTTTTATTGGTAAAAATTAAAAGGAATAAATGTATATGCCCTCAAAAAGTATTAGTACAAAAATACAAATATTGAAAATATAAATAGGGTTACTATGCACAAAATACTTTTTACATTAAAAATTGTCAATTCTTAATTAAAATTGTTTTTTTCTATCAAAATGAAAGCAATTAATAAAAATAGGATTGGCATTTAAAACATATTCGTACTAAACACAAAAAAATAAAAAATAGATTTTCTTATTTAATAATGTAAAAGAGGATTGACATTATTCTACATTCCTAAGATCATTAAGGTAATAATAATTGCCACAAAAGTTATTAGAAGTAAAATGACAAGACCAAAAGCTATATTACTAAAATTAAAATTAGATTCAAAGGCATATGGAATAACAAGTGAAGCTTAAGCTAGCTTTTATAATAGGTAAAAGTGTCCATTACTGTATTTCCATAAATTCCAACCATGTATAGGTAACATTATTGCAAGTTATTAAAGGTTCATTATGAAAGCAACCCAGACAACCCAAAACTCAGAAGGTTGGCTATTATGAGGTATATGAGCCAAACAAGATAATTGTTCGAATATTATAAATTTCATAAAAATAATGATAATATAAGAAAACAAATTGCATTTTTTTAAATTTGAAGGCTTATAGTTTATTTATTTAAATTTCTTAATATGAGGTAAAATTTATAATATTTAATATTTCAATCTGACAAAATAAAACATTATTCAGAAATATTTTAAAAAATAACCTAAAAGAAATAAGCTTAAATATAAATAAATATTCTTTTCTATCAATGAAACATCAATCAATTTAGAATTTAATTAGAATTATAATAATCTTTCTTATTAATATAACTTTAATAAAATCCATTTTTAAGAGAAAAATTAAGACTAAATTTTAAATATTTTATTAATTAAAGCCACTTTTAGATCAATATTTTTTTATTGAAAATAATAAGATATTTAATTAAAAAAAATTTATATCAATTCTTAAAATAAATTCAAAAGTAGAAAATTCAATATTTAAATCTAAAGAAACAATTTTTTATATTTAGCAACGAATGGCATCAATTTAGTATTAATAAAGTATCTTCAAAATATTAAAATTAAATTTAATTTAAAAAATTTACTATGAATAAATAATGATTATGATAAAGAAATAATTAAGATATATAGATAATTTTTGAATAGAAATAAATTCACTATTCTTTTTGCAAAAAGATTAAATTAGATCTCAGTTTTAATGATATTTTATATAAGTAAATATTTAAGCTGAAAATATTTCAAAGAAACTAAATCTCTTACTTATAAATATAAATTTTAATATTAATTTCTTTTGATCAAATATTTATTTTCCCAACTATACATAATTTATAATCCTTTATTATATTTATAAAGAAATTTATACAAATCTATTTGAGCTTTTTAGTTAATCAAATTTAAATCAAAATTAAAATTATTCTCAAAATTTGTTTAGTATACTTATAAGCACACAATCAAAAATGATTCAAAATGAATGATTAAATTTAAAATCAAAAATTACAAAAAAAATTAGATTTATTTGAATAATAAAATTAAAATTAAAAAATTTATAACATTATTCAAATAATAAAATATAATTCTTATTAAAATATAATATTTTTTCAATCATTATAAAAAAGATGGCTGGTTTATTAAAGATTAGATAGCTTGTCAATTTTTTTAAATGAATTATTAAAATATTTACTCTAAAAATTAAAAAATTAACGAAGTAATTATCTTTTCTGTCTCTATACTAATATTCACTTATTAAATTTGAAATTGAAAAATCCTTTGAAATGAATTGATGAATTATTAATTTATATATTTTTTTACTTTTAGAACTTTAAGGAATGTGTTAGGTTTGTATAATATATTATATCTAATTCTTTTTGTAAATCTGTTAAGTTTAGAATTAATTGATAAATGTCTTATATATTATTAATACAATCCATTATAAATAGCAATTACTTTAGGATATATTCCTTAATATATCAAATATGATATATTATCATTAAGTTATGTATTAGTTGATAGTATTTAGATATGAAAGTATTAAATAATTGATTATAAATTTTATTTTTGATGAAAATCAAAACAATAGAAATTTATGATTAATTTAGTAAGATAATTCTTCTAGGCTTTTTGTATATTTTTATTAAAATAACCTAAAAATTTTTATTTCAATTTAAAATAATTATATTCGTTTTTTTTAATATTATTAATGAAAATAATTATTATCATCACTCTTTTGATATGTATTTAAAGTCAGGAATCTGAAATGTTATAGCAAATTGCTTAAAACAGTTTTGGAAGATAAATATTGTAAACAATTCAATTGGAACTTACTTAAGAGTAAAATAAGTTATAATAAATTTGTAGAAATGCAGCAAGATAAATATATACAATGCTTAATAAATTATTTTATGATTTAAGAGATGAGGATGCACGTTCTAGTAAAGCAAATGGAGAAAGATAAGCACAATGTTCTGATTAATTTTAATTAATAAATTAAATTTAAGAAAAAGCTGTTGTTGCTAAAGCAGATTATGAAAGATAAATACCAGGAAAATAAGAAGAATTATTAAATAAATTAGGTTAAGTTGAATAAAAAAATGCAGAAATTTAAAGAAATGATTAATTATAAATAAAATTTTAAGAAGAAAGAAGAAAAGATCATGAAACATATGAACGTAAAAGAGATGAACTAATTGGCTTAATAAATGGTTTAAAATAAGCATAATAAATTATTAGACAATTGTAAACACCTCATCCAGGTGGAGCTCTAGTTTAATTGAAAGAGCATCATTAATAATTATGTATATAATTCCTTTTAATAAAGTGAAATCATATGCTTAAAATTCAGAATTTAAAGAAATGACATCTTTATTAATGGAATTATGTTCAGATTCTAAAATACATTCTGATAATGATAATGTTTAGGTAATTGTTGATATAATAAATGATTTAATTGAAAGCATTTATGATGTATAAAAAAGAGAAATGTATGCAGAAGATTGGGCAGAAAAATTCTTTTAATAAGATTTGTATTAATTCTTATTTAAATTTAGACTTCGACTCTCGAAAGAAAATGTTAGATTATAAGGTTAAATTACTGATGATTAAGTAGCAGCTGATTTTGCATAATAAAGATTAGATGATCTTTAATAATAAGCTTCACTTCAATAAATTATTTATGATAACAAAGAAATTGAAAGAAAGTCATTTGAAATTGCTTGTAAAGAAGATAATAATGCTGCTGAATAAACAAGGCTTTCAAGAAATGAATAAATTCAAATTGTACTTCAATTACTGGAATTATTTGAAAATAATTTCAATGATAGAACTAGGACAGCACTTCTTTAAATTGTTGTATGAACAATATAAAAGTTAAAACAAATATTATATTAATCAAGATAAAGTTTATGATTCTAACATTACCACTTTCTTTGATTTTTTCTCAAAGAAAGTTGTTGTCCTACAAAATGATACTTTTTTTGAACTACCTGCAGAACTTCCACCTGATCCTTGAGACTTAGCTGTTATTTATTTTAAAATCCCTTTCCCATTATTTAATCTTTTTTTCTCAGATGATTCGGATTCTTCACTTTCCTTATTGTCTAATACTTCATATTCAAAAACACTATCCAATATTGTGTATGATGGAATTTCCAAAATTTCTAATTATTTTCCAATTATATTTTTCACTATTGGACTATTTATTACTATTTTCTTTGAAATTTCACTTGATATATTAGTATTTAGAGTCTCATAATCCATTTTATTCATACAGCAAGATCCCATTTTACAAAAATATTACAATTTTATAAATTAAAATTATTATATTTGATCCTTTCATCATCGAAAAAGGAAACTATATTTTTATCTCTTCATATTATCTTTTCTAAATAAATAAATAACTTTATATTCTTAAATGAATTTTATTAACTATAACAATAATTTTATTAATCGAACAAATTAAGAATAAATGATCAAAGCACACAAATAACAAATAAATTATATCATTTATATTTATTTATTTTCAATTCATAAAAAACTATAATGATAATCACAGTTTCAAATTGTTTAAAATAAAATACTTAAATCTACATTTATTAATTAATGATATCAATTATATATTTTTCTAATTTATTTCCAATTATTTTATTAATATATAATTAATTTTATAAAATTATGTTTATAAATTGAACTATTACCATTAAACAATATTAAATTAATGTAATTTTATAATTAAATAAGATAGAATTAAAAAAAGAAGAACAGTAAAAAGTTTAGAATATTAATAATTGGAAATATCATCAGTGTATGATCTTAGAATTTTATGTAAGATTTGATAAACTTTTTTCAAGTTGGCTGACTCTTTAGCTATAAAAAATAATCTTAAATTTTACTTCAAAATCTTTTCATCAGCTTAACTCACATTTATGAGACTCTAATCAAGATTATCTGAATCTTTTTTTAATTTTTTTTAAAGTTCTTATTGAGCTTTTCGAATTAATTCATTTGAGATTTTTTCAAGAGATTTTTATTCATTTAATTATTAGGTTGACTTAATTAATGATTTAAATCTAAAATCTTTTAATCTTTCTTATCTTTAATAGTTTTCTATTAAATCTTATTGTTTTAATTTCATTCTTTCTTATTTTAAAGATTTCTGATAATCTAATTCTTCTTTTCTTTTAAGACTATAATCTTCAAGAAGTTAAAATTTCTTTTATAATGTATCAACTCTATCAAATTATTAAGATTAAATATTTTTAAGACTTTTTTCAATTTTTTTTCTTCTTAATTTTTCATCTCTAAGTTTACTTTATTCTTCTCTTTCTTTTGATTATTTTAATGCTAATTTAAAATATTAATTACCTTTAAGATCTTCTTCTTTATTTGCTAATTTTTAAACAACAGACTAAACTAAAGATTCTTCTTTTTAGAAAGTTCTTAATTTGTACTATTTTAATTTTTCTTCATGTAAAGAACTTCTCAAATTAAGACGTTCAAGTTTGCTTTCCCAAATTTATTTTTCTTTATTTGATGAAGTTTCTGCCCATTTTTATTATATTTAAGTCATAGTTTATGCCAAGTGTTAATTATATTATTAATCTTATAAATTTTTGCGTTGTTATATTTATAATCTTCTTTCTTAATATTTTTTTTCTTATTCTTCTAATTCTTTCTTATGTTAAATTTCATCTTACTCTAATTTTTTTTGTCTAGAATTATTTAATAATTTACATTTTTTCTAATTTTTCAGCTTGTTTTTTTTTATCTTCAAATAATTTGATTTGTTTTTCTCTTTCTTTTTATTTAATTTCATTAAATTTCTTCTATGAAGTTTATTTCATTTATCTTTTTTTCTTAGCTTTCTATTGAGATATTTTAAATTATAATTCTTCTATTCTTTTTTCTCTCTCAATCAAATCATGTTACATTTTTTGTCTTTTTTTTTCATTATCCAATTAATGTTAGACTTCTTTAGCTTTTATTTATAATGATTTTTTATATTTAGCAATTTCTTTTTCCAATTATTATTCTAACACTAATATTGGATCATCTTCATCAAAAGATAAATATGAGGCATCTTTATCTTCTTTATCAATGCTACTCATTTTTTTGTTATAAGCTTCTATTAAATCATTAACCAATCTTTATTAAAAAATATAAAATACTCTTCATCTCTCTGAAAACTCTTTTCTAGATGTAAATTAGTTATATTTTTTTATTTTTTTATTATAGTCTTACGCATTTTACTAATTTCTTTTAAAGCACCTAAAATAAATTTTCAGTTTTACCTTCAGTCTTTTTCATATAATGTTCAAATCTCATCTTTTAGACATTTTCTGGTATGTCTGGTTCAGCAAAATCCTCTAACGATCTAATGACATTAATTTTGGACTGTTACTTGAATTAAAATATATGTGGATCATAACCTAAAGCTAAACATGCTTCTCTAGTTTTAGGTGAGTCTGGTTTAATTGTAAAGGTTTTTCTTGTATGTTAGAATACGATGCCTCTTCTAGTATTTCGATGTGTTTAGTCTAACAAATTTTCTATATTATTCATGTATATTTATTATTTATTTTATTTGTTAATCAATCCAATCCAGGAACAGGGAATTGAGAACTGAAAGAAACAACATCGTTTTTAAGTTTTTGTATTTCTGGATGTTAATCAGCATGTTTATTTAACCAATCTTTGAAATCTTAGACTTTAGGTCCAGCTTCTCCTTTAACTTTTTAAGCAATAGCAACACCACGATCAATAAAGTCAGCAATTTAAGCAAATTCATCTTAATTAACACCTCTGGATGTCATAGGAACTGATCTATAAAAATAAAATAGTTGATATTATATACCCCATTCTTAAACCATTAGGTACTAAGGCTGATTTATCTTTAGGTACAGTATTTTTATTAACTGAAATATTAACAGCTTATAAAATAGATTCTACTCTAGCACCATCAATAGATTTAGGTTTTAGATTAACTAAAACTAAATGATTATCGGTACCTCCAGAAACTAAAGAAAAGTCTTGAATATATAATATAAATAATACTTCTTTTTAATAATTCATCAGCTAATTTTTTGCTATTTAATAAAACATTTTTTTAATAATTTTAGAATTCAGGAGTTTTAGCTTCTTCTAATGCAACAGCAATGCTTGTAATAGTATGAAAATGAGGTCCTCCTTATAAACCAGGGAAGACAGCTTAATCAATTTTAGATTTAAGATCATAATTAATAGGTTTACCATTTTTATCAATTTCTTTTTAGCCAACTCTATAAAAAATCAGACTTCCTCTTGGTCCTCTCATTCTAAAATAATAAATAAATAATATGATACGATTTATGAGTAGTAGTCATAACAACATCAGCATATGGAAATGGACTAGGTAATTATTCTGCTGCCATCATACCTGCTGTATGTGAAATATCAGCTAATAAATATGCTTTAACACTATCACAAATTTTTCTAATAGCTTGAAAATCTATAATTCTTGCATATGCAGATGCTCCTGCAACTATTAATTTTGGTCTAAATGCTCTTGCTAATATTTCCAACTATTCATAATCTATAAGTTCTGTTTCCTTTATATTTATTATATATATATATATTACTTCATTTAATCTATATGGCATTACTTCAAAATAACTAGATACAGCAGATACTTTTTTTGTTTCAGTTTAATATCCATGAGATAAATGACCTCCATGTGGAAGATCTAAACTCATTATTCTATCTTTTGGTGCTAATAACCCTGTATAAATTGCAAAATTTGCTGGAGCACCAGATAACATTTAAACATTTACACCCCATTCATTCTAATTTAAATTAAATGCATTCAATGCTCTTTATTAACATAGTACTTCCACTTTATCATAAACTTATGTTCCTCCATAATATCTTGCTCCAGGATAACCTATACAATTTTATATCATTCTAATTACCTTCTGCATATTTTGTTGACATCACTGATCCTAATGCTTCTAATACAGCTTTTGAACTGTGATTTTCAGATGGAATTAAATTGATACTCTCTCTTTATCTTTTTATTTCCTCCTATATTAAATTATGTATTGTAGGATCAGCCTAATTTAAAGATAATCTCTATCTTGGAACCAATCTAGAGAAACGATATAATTAAGTGTATAATTACATTAATAATTATTTACTATTTAATCAATACATATTAAAATTTAAATTGTGATTCCTATTCTCTCTATTTATATTACATTCATCTACATTAACTCTAAGAACTTTATTATTTTTAGATTTTTATCAAAAATATATTAAATAAAATATATTATCATTTTCATTTAATTTCATTCTTTTCCTCTCCATTTCTCTAAATAATCATTATCAATATTCTCTATATCCTAATTATTTATATCAGGCTCTGAATTCGCTTTCTCATATTCCTAATCTAATTTTTAATTTATTAGTATTTAACCAATTTAATTTAAAGGATTTGATGAAATTGAACTATATCTTATCAGTGTTGTATTATCATCTTCATATTTATCAAGAATTTCTTTTATTATAAACAGTCCTTTTCTTGGTACTCTTTTTATTGAATTATTTCGAACCTTACCGTTTGTATTTAAATCATTTTTACAATTTTCATTGTTCTACAGTATTTTTTACTATAAATACTCAATCTATTTCTCTTTTTCTTATTTCTATCTTAGTTTCTAAATTTATGTATAAATATATATTTTTACCATTTTTAATAGTATTTTTTATTCATCATACTTTTAAAGTTTTTTGGATTCTCTTCTACTATTTTAAATAAAATAATCTAATATATCTGAATTATTCAATTCTGGGTTACTCTATTTAAATATGATTAAATACGCATAAAGTGAATTTAAATAAATTTCTAAATTGCACTTTCTATTTTCAATTTCTTAAGGATCATCATTTGTAATTCTAAATAATTTTCTTTTTGGAAATTCTGGTAATGTAATTTTAGTTTATTCTTTAAGTGCTTAATGAATATCTCTTAAATCTGAATATCTAGTTTTAAATCTCCATTTAGTTTTATTAAAACTATCAATAACCTATACAGAATATAATACAAACATTTCCAATTATTAAAATGAATCAATAATGAAACTATACTATTAAAGAGGTCTATAAATAACATACATAAAATTTACCTATCTTCTAAATATTATATAAGATCACTTTTATCATCATTAATATCAGGTAGTAATTATTTTAAACAAGAGAGAGAATAAAGTTTATCATTTTTAAGTAGCTAATTAAAATAATCTTATAGATCAGATCTCTAATAATTTATAAATTATTTATTANTGTGATTCCTATTCTCTCTATTTATATTACATTCATCTACATTAACTCTAAGAACTTTATTATTTTTAGATTTTTATCAAAAATATATTAAATAAAATATATTATCATTTTCATTTAATTTCATTCTTTTCCTCTCCATTTCTCTAAATAATCATTATCAATATTCTCTATATCCTAATTATTTATATCAGGCTCTGAATTCGCTTTCTCATATTCCTAATCTAATTTTTAATTTATTAGTATTTAACCAATTTAATTTAAAGGATTTGATGAAATTGAACTATATCTTATCAGTGTTGTATTATCATCTTCATATTTATCAAGAATTTCTTTTATTATAAACAGTCCTTTTCTTGGTACTCTTTTTATTGAATTATTTCGAACCTTACCGTTTGTATTTAAATCATTTTTACAATTTTCATTGTTCTACAGTATTTTTTACTATAAATACTCAATCTATTTCTCTTTTTCTTATTTCTATCTTAGTTTCTAAATTTATGTATAAATATATATTTTTACCATTTTTAATAGTATTTTTTATTCATCATACTTTTAAAGTTTTTTGGATTCTCTTCTACTATTTTAAATAAAATAATCTAATATATCTGAATTATTCAATTCTGGGTTACTCTATTTAAATATGATTAAATACGCATAAAGTGAATTTAAATAAATTTCTAAATTGCACTTTCTATTTTCAATTTCTTAAGGATCATCATTTGTAATTCTAAATAATTTTCTTTTTGGAAATTCTGGTAATGTAATTTTAGTTTATTCTTTAAGTGCTTAATGAATATCTCTTAAATCTGAATATCTAGTTTTAAATCTCCATTTAGTTTTATTAAAACTATCAATAACCTATACAGAATATAATACAAACATTTCCAATTATTAAAATGAATCAATAATGAAACTATACTATTAAAGAGGTCTATAAATAACATACATAAAATTTACCTATCTTCTAAATATTATATAAGATCACTTTTATCATCATTAATATCAGGTAGTAATTATTTTAAACAAGAGAGAGAATAAAGTTTATCATTTTTAAGTAGCTAATTAAAATAATCTTATAGATCAGATCTCTAATAATTTATAAATTATTTATTACCCTTCTTAATATACCAGATTCAGAATCATTATGACTACCAAATAATTTCTTACCTGGAAATTATGGCAAATTAACACATTATCTTAATTGTTATAATTATTTCTCAATTTTATTATGTAATTTTTCTGAATCTGAATATCTAAGATGTTAAACTTTAGCTGAACAATAAGAATGAGAGACAAATATAACAACATAAACTATCTTTTAATTGATGACTTTGTGATGTGGAATTCTACAACTAAATTCTTAATTTGCTTTCATTTTAAATCTAAAAAATAATAATTGTTTATTTTAATGCTATTATTATAACAAAGAAAAACATAAGAAAATCTAATTATTAAAATAAATCACAAAAATTGACAATTAATTTATTGCTTATTATGTAATTTTATCTCATTATTCAACATCAGATCCATTATTTATTTTTTTCAATTTTCTAGAAGGTTGAGTAGTTTAAACAGGTTCAATTTTTACCTTTTTCTTTATAATAGGTTAGATAAGTTCTTCTTTATGACCAGGACAAATTACAAATTTCTTTGTTACTTTTCTTATACCTTTTGGTGCACATTTCTCATGATAACTTTTAGGACATCTCAAACATTAAATAAATTTTTAATTATCATCATTGGATTCTAATTAAATAATTAAAATTATAATACTATCTTTGCATTTTTCACAAAAATGAAGTGCACATTTAAATTTTTATCTTTCTCCATCTAAAATTTTAAAATTTTTGCTTGTTTATACACAGGCAAAATGATAGAGTTTATGACAGTTTAAGCTACATTTAACCAATTCAGATAATTATTATTATAATTATTATTAAGCCCTTGCTCTAGTAATCTTTCCTGTTGCTACTACAATCTACTTTAAAAATGATATATATAATCATACTTCTACTTAATTATCATCATAATCATCATCAATAAATTGTTTATCTTACTAAGTTTTCTTTTTAGATTGATTTGGATAAAAAGTACCTTATTTTAGACATACAAAACATGTTCCTTTATATTTTTCACAATCTTAACATAAATATTTAATATTAATTTCTCCCTATGTTTATCCATTATGTTATCCTCCTTCTAAACATTCTTTATGAAATTATCTTCTGCAGAATCCTCTACAAAATAAATCACATTTCTACTTTTCACAAATAGCACATAACTTTATTTATAAACTATAACATAATTATATTATAATTACTCTTAACTAGATTTATTTTATAATTTCTTATATTCTTCATATTCAGACCAATTTAATTCAAAAGTTTTTGATGGTTTTGGTGTCTCAATCACTTATTATGATATAGTCGTAGTATTTATTATTAAATCATTTTCTGTAATTTTTTTAAATCTTCTTGAAGGTTTACTTAATTCTAAAATCCAACTATTTGCTAGATTTTTAAAATCTTTTTCAAAGAATTTACTAAATTCAATTAAATTTAAAATATCTAAAATAGTATTTTCTTCATCAGCATCATATCCTTCTCTACTTAATTTTGATTATATTATATTATTCACACATTCAGAACTCTCTAACATTATTTCTTTTTATTATTAAAAAGTTTTAATATTTTATTCTTCTTAGAGTTTTTTAAGAATCTTTTAAGATTTGGATTCTTGATTTTTAAGTACCTTCTACCAAAAATTTGGATCATCAATATCAATTTATTAATTAGCTTATTCTGGAACATAAGTTTATTTACTTATTGTATAAGCTCCATTAATTAAAGAATATTTTGCAACTCTAGTATTATTTAATATATCATCAATATTTTAATCAATTGCTTCTTAACCATAATGTTCAAGTAAACCTAAAGAACCTTATTTAAGTAATATTTCTAATTCTTTTTTACTTAACTTTTTATTGTTTTATTCTGGATTAGTAGTAGTATTATTTGTATTTAAATTAGCTGATTTGAATTCACCATTCATAAAAATGGCTTAATCTAAACCTAATTTGGCAAAAGCTCTTTCAAACATTTTAGCTTCATAAGTATTTTTTGTAATAAATCTATATACTGCTACTTATTTATCTTATCCAATTCTATGAGCTCTTGCTGTTGCTTAAATATCATTCTATGGATTCCAATCACTATCAAATATTACAACTATTTCAGCAGCTGTTAAATTTATACCTTAACCACCAGCTTTAGTTGAAAGTAAAAATACTTATCTCCCTTTCTTTTAATCATTAAATCTATCTATAGCATTTTATCTATCTATTTATTTTATATCTCCAGTTATCTTTTCATATTTTATTAAATTAAATTATAAATATTCTTCCAATAATGCTAACATATTTGTAAATTGAGAAAATATTAACATTTTCTTATCTTCCTTTAAAAATTTCTTTAACATTTTATCCAATAATACCATTTTACCAGAATATTCTATCAATATCTTTAAATATTCCCCTTCATTTCCTTTACTCTTCTCTAAAATATCAGAATGCATCTCTTTCAACAATAATGGATGATTACATAACTTTCTTAAATGCATATCTAAATTATTCAATGATGCTATCTATGCTGTCTATTGAGAAAAACCTTATATTAATGCTAATTTGTTTCTCTCATATAATGCTCTATATAATGTTTTCTATACATTTGTTAATTCAACATCTATTATATTCTCTTATAAAGGAGGAATTGATTATTCTACATCTTCTTTTTATCTTCTTAAAATATAAGGTTTTAATGTCTTATTTAATTTCTCTATCTATTCTGCTGTATTCAAATCTCCAAATTAAGATTTAAATTAATTCAAATTTTAAAACTAGCTTGGTTCTATAAAATTAAGCAAACTCCACAATTCTTCTGGATTATTCTAAACTGGTGTTCCTGTTAATATCATTATTCTTGGGCAAACTAATCTTTTAAGACTAGCTAATATTTTTGCATTCTAATTTTTTAATCGATGTGCTTCATCTACAATAATAAATTAAAATGGTATCTACTAAATATAAGTTGAATGATCTTGGTTAAAAACCTCAAACGATGTTATCAATATTTAAAATTTATATAATTCTTAAGATGGTAAAGTATTTCCTTTTAAAGAAATATCAGTATAAAACCATTCGTAATCTCTTATTGCTTATCTACCAGGTTAGCCTTACTAATCATAATACAGAACTGCATTCAAAGATGTCCAATCTTCACAAGATCTCTTCCAATGTTGTAGAGTTGATAATGGAGCAATAATTAAAAATGGACCTCGACATGATTCCATGGAAACTAAGTGATTTAAAAAGGCAATTGATTAAATAGTCTTTCCTAATCCCATCTCATCTGCCAATAACACATTTCTATTGTTATAATAGGCATCAATCATCCAATTCAAAGATTCTAATTAATAATCTCGCAATAGTTTTCTATCTTTATAAATGGTTTAAGTTCTAGGGGTGTATTAATAAGGTTATTTATTTCTTCCAATATCTAATTAATACAATGAAGTCTTTAAATCTTATATATCTTATTAGGGTATTCGATTCCTCTTTTTTTAATCATAATCTATTATTTATTTGTGTTTTTTGCAATTATAGATTTACAATTATCTGCTATCTTTATCCAAAGACCTTGTGAAAGTACGAAATTCAAATAATTTAGCCTAAGCATTTGGAAACCCAGTTATAAACTCCCAAGTAGCTTACAAATATGATAAATTCTTCCATTTAACAAAATATAATTGCTCATGATTTTAATAGAGATCAACTTATCTTTCATTAGTTAATTATGGTTAGAAATTAGGATCATCTTCAAACCATTAATAATTTAATGAACCAGGGTTCCATAATTCAATATCTCCTAATAGTTGAATTTTATCTTAATTAATTTCTTCTTCTAACTTTTCATTACCAATTTCTTAAATAATTTACTGTCTATATTCTTTATCTTCCTCGCATTTTTTTAATTTAACCAATTATTGATATCTTTAAGATGTGTATTCATACCATTGATTATAAAGTATAAGAGCACATTCACCAAGAGCATCTCCCAATTTTCTTATTTCACCTTCTTAATTACTATTATATTTTCTACAATTTTTGAATACTAATCCTAATTCGTACCAGAATTATTATGAATTTCTGTAATATTCCAAATATAATCTATTGTATATAGTACCTAAATCCATAGGTTGAGTAATTATTTTTCTATAATCTGGACAACCGTCAGTTTCAGGATTAACTGGTTACATAAAATAAATTCCAAATTTTACCCTCCCTTCAGAATAATTAAGAAGTTTAGATATAATAATGGATAGATATTCATTCCATTTACCTTTAATTTCATTAGCCTTTTTAGGATGGATAATTGGAAAGAGTTCTGTTGATGAAATTAATCGATCAATTTCTAGATAAGACGGATCAAAATAATTCATTTCTTATAATTCATCAGGATCATATTCTTTGATTTTCTTCTCAAATTAACGATTAAACCTATTTATTTTTTATTTTCCATTTTTATCCTTTAAAATAATCTATTAATAATTAGAATAATTAAATACTTATTATTCACTTTTCCATTCGCACCATAAATAGGAATAAGATTTATATTTTACATAAAATTACACTTCACCATCTTCTTATTGTCTTCTCCATAAGATTTATTCGATATCAGGATCAAAAACTGACTCTTCCTATTCTTGTGATGATTCTTTATAAAATTAAATGTATACCTTATTATTGTTCAACTTCTTCTTCTGATGACTCTTCTTTAAAGCCTGCATTTGTTTTACCTCTCCTAGGTCTTTCAACACAAAACTAATAAGTTATTGAACAAAAATACAGTCATTGGTTAATTAATACGTATTTATGTATTCTTTCCACCTTTTTTCTTTTTTTTATCATGGTAATCTGAGCTAGGGCTTCTAAAAAATATATAATATTTAAAAATAATTATAATTCGCAAGTTCTAATATGAGTCGATATATATATATATAATATTACTCTATGTCCATTTCACTATCTTCTTATTCACTCTCGTTATAGTCTTCATCTGATGATTTTTCTTTGTTCACTAAAACAACTAAATTTATATTTTAACTTTTTGCGTATAATGGGCTTCTTTCTTCTTTTTTTTAAAAAAATAACAAAAAAATACTCACACATATAAATCAAGATAATATCCTAATTCAAATACATTATTAGCATGATTTAATATATATATATACATCAATCCTCACTTTATACTCCTTTTTCTTTCATTTTTTTATCAATTTTTTCCATCTCATGATATGCCATTTTTTCGTGTACTATTTTCATAATCTGCAGTATCTTTATATTTTCTATTCTTATATTTATTAATTTTATATTCCATTTATTATAAAATTGTATTCCTTCATTTTCTACAAATTCTTTCTTCACTCAAAAATCATTCCAACTTCAATTCCTTATTCTAACTTTCTATCTCTCATTTTCTATATATTTTTTATCTTATTCATGTTCATTTTCACTCTTTTTTTATTCTACATTCCATTTCTCTCCTTAATCCATTATTTTATTACATTTTCATCATACTTGTTATAAACCAAAATATCCTTTAATTCTCATATAACTTTAGAGATTCATTTATTTTCTCATTTTTTTCTTTATTTCCTCAACTCTTCAACCTTATAGTCTTTGCCTAACTTTTCATGAATTTACCAAATATTCAAGTACTTTTCATCAAAAACTTTAATAATAGCATTAATCCATGCCATTTTAAGAATAAAATGATGTTTTTAACGAATAAACTTCATAACTAATCAATAAGTATATGATTAAAGTAATTCAATCTTCTTCTTAGTCTCACTTTAGTAATAATTAAAATTAATTATATCTTATTTATTAAAAATATTTAATCATTATTCCTAATATTATAAATATTAATTATATTATTTATTAATTCATAACTCCAACTAATTAAGTTCTTCTTTACAAATAAAAGGATATTATAGATTAGGTCTATATCCATCAAATTATTCCCATTTAAATCTAGGCACTCTAAAAATAGGTTGACATGATTTTTCTATAATTATTTATAAGATTCTCTTAGTTTTCCAGGCTAAATCATTAGCTTTGATTCTTGCTGATTCTTCAACCTATAAACAATCCACAATTAATTCTTTTGCATATTATGGAATACCATTAATATTGATCTAAATTTATTATGCTACATAATTAAGCATTTCTTTTTCTAATTAATCACTTTTCTTAGCTCTCCAAGGATAATGTTAAGTAATCATAAAAAATAATAAAACTCCTAAACTCCAAATATCGTTAGCATATGGATCATATTGTGATCTAAATTTTAATTAATAGTCCAATCAATACAATAATTTTGTTTATGGACTCATGTACATTGGAGTTCCAACATATGTTCTTGAAGTAGTTTATTCATCATTCAATAGTCTTGCGAATCCAAAATCAATAACTTTAATTTCTAATTTTGGTTTCGTTCTAATTAAAATATTTGATGGCTTTATATCTCTGTGTACAATATGCATATCATGTAAGAAACTTATTCCTGAAGCAATCTAATGAAATATCTATAGCGCATCATCTTCACAAATCTAACCTTTCTTTTCAATATAAGAATTAAGATCCAAAGAGTCTTTAAAACATTCCATTACAATATTATTGAAATTAGAGCATTAATAGAAATCCTTATACCTTTTATTAATTACATTATTTATATTACCTTATTAAATATTATGATCCATTTTACCCATCTTAATATGGTATACTTTACATAGATTCAACTTCTTATCTAAAGATTTTGTTGTCTAATCCCAGTTCTTATTTGCTCATTTATTTTACAGCTACGATTTCATTTGTTAGTGTGTCAAAAGCTGCATATACAGTTCCATACACCCCACTTCCTAGCTTTTACTTCAAGTTTATTTGATATCTGCTATTCATTTTTAATAATAAACATATTACAGAAAATCAAATCTTGTTATTTATTTTATTTATCCTGAAAATTTATTAAATGTGTAAAAGGAAATAGTCTTGCTAAATGAATCTAATACAAAATTATAAAAATAGATTGTATTAACTATCTCTCTATGTTTAGATATTATTATTATATATTTATGTCAATCATATTTAATTAGCATAGTATACTAAAAAAATTACTACCAAGAATAATTTTAGATTGGTCATCTAAAACTTATATTTAAAATGGAAATAATTATAGTTATTCTATAGTAATTCTTAAAGAAACAAACTATTGTATTTATTTAAAATCTTTAATGTTTTTATTTCCATATGCAACATTATAATTATAAATAATCTAGAGATATATACCTTATAATCTAACTAGTGAAGTGATTTCTTTTTGAACAAGTTTTCATAATTAAATTTATTCCATGACAATTTAAGAACTATTTAGGCATTCATTATAATTACTGCTAAAGCGATTATTTTTATTTTAATACAATATTATCAGTATGAAATTTAAAAAATCGGTTTTCAATAAAATATAGAACATTTATAATATTGAAAATAAGTTTTCGTTTTTAATTTGTCATTTTAAACATTTGCTTACTAGCAATTGAAGAAAGAGCAAGTAAAAATATCATTTTAAAACTATTATTAGAGAGGGATTAATTATGGATAATAAATAAATTTTCAGTTGCATTTAGTAATTGTTTTTTATCAAAATATATCTAAGAATAATATAACTGATATTTTTTGATTAAAAATTTTAATTGAAAATTTTATTATTATTCAAATTCTCATTTTTTGGAATAATACATATAATAAAGCAGTAATAATTCTTATATTATATATTTAATTTCCTTTCTATGTTATAAAACTTTTAAGACTTTTTTTAATATTTATTAAGAGTCCATAACTTCTTATATATGAATTTTGAGCTATTCATAATAAAATTTAGAATTTAAAAAATCAAGTTTTTTATATTTAAAATTGTGAAAAAGAATTGAATAAATCCATTTAATATTTCTTTAAAATATTGAAAACAATTGAACCTAGGCAAATTCTCAAAAAAATATATAAAAGCTCAAATTAGAGTTTCTAATTAATCTATGTAGGGAATAACCTAATTTATTAATATTCTTTAATTTTAAGCACACTATATTTATTGTTAGTAAACATCAATAAGTAAATCTAAAAATTATAATTAAACCTGATTTATTATAATAAATATAACAAAGCTTTTTATTAATAAATATCAATATGAAAATTCTTATTATAAACAACTTCAATAATTAGTTTAAAATTTAGTAGAATTAAAATATTCAGTTAATTATTGAATTTAAAATAAGATAATAATAGTAATAGTATAATATTATACATTTGGACATCTATAAATAAATGGCTTTGATTTAAATAAACTTTCTTTTAATAATTAATTTATAATGAAGACAAAAAATAGTAAAGATGATATAAAATTAGATAAATAGAAAAGAGATACAATAATTATACAAAAATGAAATATGAATTAAAAATTAATAGAAGATTTCATAAAATATTATTGATATACTGAATTCTTATAACAAGATCATTAATTCGAAATGAATTTTTTATAATTTGCTGCATTTCTTCTTAAAATATCTTCAACAGGTCCTAGCAATCTCAAAAATGAGTTGCTATCCAAATAAACAACAGTGCAATCAGTCTATAAAATTTAATTAATATAAAATACTTCAGCTTTGATTGTAGCTTATCTTGGTACTTTATGAATTAATGCTAATTCACCAAAATAATCTCCAGTTTGATAACGTAAGACTTGTTCAGATGAGCCATTGTTTTATTTATAAGCAATTAAAGTTCCGTCTGCAACCATATAAAACTTATCACCTTCTTCTCCCTCTTAAATAATAATTTAACCTTTAGAATAGACTTATTCTTTTAAACCATCACATATTTATGTCTTTTCATATGTATCCATAGATTATAATAATTCTACCTTAGATAAAACATCTTCATATTGTTATCTTTTCTTAATAGTAGCATCTTTAACAATATTATTAAATGTGCTTCTATCTAATGCAAATAAAATAGAATCTCTTTTAGCTTAAATTGATGCTGCTCTAGGTGCATTATACAAAAGAGATAATTCTCCAAACATATCTCCTGATTTATATTCCTTAAGATATTTTTATTCTGTATCTGTTGCTTTCATTCTTCTAAAACAATCAAGTTCACCAGAAAATACTATGTAAAGCTCACCTCCATCATCTCCCTAATTAATAACCCATTAGTCTTTTTAGTAATGTTTTTCCTCCATTGCATTTACTACTATTTCTTATTCATTTTAGCCTAAAGCTGAAAACATAAACACTTTCATTAATTTCTCTAATATCTATTATTTCTATTCTTCTGTCTTTGGAATTACTCTTGGTATAAAATTCTCTTTCTTATTGTGCATTCCAAATACTTCTGCACTTACAGAACTTCTAAAACCTTTTGTATTTTTAACTGGCTATGGTAATTCTTCAACTTCTTCATTCTCTTCTTCTTCAGATGATAAATTGTATTCTACTTCAAACTTTGCTTATTGACTCTTTAATGAATTCCTTTTAACTTATTCTAAATATTCCATCATCCAATCAATCTTTCATAAACTAATTTATTTACATAGTTTTCAGGTTATTATTTAAACAGTTCATACATCATTTTCTCAATTACATCATTCACTTTCTCCTTATATTTTGCTATTCGCTACTTATTATTCATTATTATTAATTATATTTTTTTTATTCGTTTCTGTAACTGAACTCCAAAATTATCAAATTTCTATTTAATTTAACAGGTAAAAAAACATTTCATTTCAAAACTTTAAAACTTATTATTTTATACATATTTTACTCACTTGGATTTTCAATATTTCAATTATTATAAATATTTATTCTTAAATTTTCTACCTAAACCCTTATTATTTTCTATTGATATTTTTAAATCAAAATAATTTATTAGGATAATAAAAAAGCGAAAAAATTCTACGCATTATGACTACATATTAAAGTAATTTTTAAATAAATAAATATTAATAAAATCCATGGATTTACCTTCTTAATTCAATCTTGAGCTCTAACCTGTGAGCAATTAATAAGCCCTATTATAAGAGAATTCTGAAGATGAAAATGATGGAGAAAAAAGATCTTTATTAACTTTATTATTCTTTTTAGATGTTTATCCAATGATGAAGGTATAAATAATCTTCATATTTCAGCAATCTTAAAACGTTTCCCTTGAAAGTGATTAAATCAAAGAATTAAGGTATCCAAAGAAATCTCTTAGAATGCATGAATAGTTTTTCACCTATCTATAAAAAGATGGTAAACTTATAAAATAACTATTATTGTTCTTTTTGTGTAATATTCTATGTCATATTAGCTCCTCTTCTAAGAGTTGTCTTAATTCTTTTATTGTTAACTCTAGGATAACTTTGTATGCCATTGCTAATAAGAACTGTTATTGATTACATAAAGAATGAAAATCGAGATAAAGATGATGCAATATATTTGATTTTGGCAATTTTATGTCTGAGAGTTATGAATATTTTCTCTTAAGCACATTCAAGAAGAATGATTGTATTAAATGATTATAATAATAGTTATGTGTTGGTTATGATGCTATGTCAGTAGTAAGTGTGGAAATAATGAGAAAGTGTTTACGAGTTTCATTACTTAGTACTACAGAATGGTCAAGTGGAGAAATAACGAATTTAATCTAAGTAGATGCATAAAAACTAGTCTTAATTACCAGTTATATATCTAGTGTTTTAATGATACCTTTATAATTAGGTAATAATCACAGATTAATTTTTAGGGATAAGTTTATATTTAATGTATAGTATGATAGGATTGTCATTTTTGATTGGATGCACAATAATTTTGATAATGATTGTGTTTAATATATTTACAGGAAAATAAGTTGTTAAATCATAAAGTTAACTTCTCAAAGATAAAGATGAAAGAACGAAAATAGCAAATGAAATTTTTTCTTAAATAAAATTTATAAAAATAAATGCTTTAGAAGAACATTTTTTAATTAAAATTGAAGAAGCAAGAGAGAAGGAGATTAAAAGCATAAAAAATAGACTTTATTATTCAGCTATAAATATATTTTCTGTATGGTTAACACCTTAATTAATTTTGAGTATGACATTTGGATTATATGTTTATTTGGGACATCAACTGAATCCGAGTACAACATTTGCAATAATAAGTTTATTTTAGATTTTATAGTAACCTTTGCTTTAATTGCCAATTGCAATAAATTCTTTAATAGAGGCAAAGTTATCATTAAAAAGAATATCAAAATTTTTAGCTACAAAAGATTTAATGACTAATTGCATTTATACATCAGAATTTCGAGATCCAACAGCAGCAGTAGATTTTTAGAATGGAATATTTTATTGGAATAAATAAATCACAAATAGTCAAGAGGCAAAGACTGGTATTGATGATTAGAATGAAGGATTGGACAAAGTATAGGAATGTTTTAAGGGATAATAATAGGAATAACCAATATTAAAAAATATAAATTTGAAAATAGAACCTGGAAAGTTTGTTTCAATAATAGGAGATGTGGGTTCTGGAAAAACTTCATTTTTATAAGCACTTTTAGGAGAGATGGTATATTATGAAGGATATGGATAACCAAAAATAAGATTGAATGGGAAATTAGCATATGTTAGTTAGAAACCTTGGATATAGAATGCAACAGTAAAAGAGAATATAATTTTTGGTAAATAGTTTAATTAAGAATAATATGAGAATGCTATATATTATTCATGTTTAACATAAGATTTATAGATTCTAATAAATGGAGATTAAACAACGATAGGAGAGAAGGGAATCAATTTATCAGGAGGTTAGAAAGCTAGAATTAGTTTAGCAAGAGCAATATATAGTGAATCAGATGTTATACTTTTAGATGATCCATTAAGTGCAGTTGATGCTCATGTAGGGAATTTTATTATGAAAGAATGTTTATTAGGTAACTTGAAATAGACTACTAGAATATTGATTACTCATGCATTAAATTATAGTAAATATACAGATTATATTTATTTATTTGAAAAGGGAGAGATAATTGAATAAGGAACATATAGAAATATGTTGAAAAGTTAAAAATTTTAAGAGATAAAAACTAAGTTTAACTCTAATTATAATGGAGATTTAGAGGATTCTTTTGTAGTTTAGAATCCATTAGAAAATTAAAAAAAAAATACACCAATAAAAAGTAATTCTAATATTGATTGTTCAAGTGTTATACCTCTTTCAATATAATCTTCATAAAAAGATGAAGTAGAGGATTTAATGCTCCTTGAAGAAAGATAAAAAGGGAATATTAATTATGAGGTTTTCTTATAATATTTTGCTCATAATGGAGGATTACGAAGTTTTTCTTTAGTCGTTATTATAATGATAGTCTGGATCTTTTGTTATTTAGGATCAAGCATATGGATATCTAAATGGGCTGCTTTATCATCAACAGATGAAGAGTTCTCTCGTAATACATTATATTTTTCTATCTACTTTACGTTAGGCTTTATGTAAGCTTTCTTTGCTTTCCTAAGAGCAGTAACAATTATAAATTAATCAATTAAATCAGCTTAAATTATACATAATAAAATGATGTAAACTTTAATTTATGCTCCATAATGTTCATTTTTTGAAAGAGTTCCTTAAGGTAGAATTATGAATAGATTAACTAAGGACATTAATTCTTTAGATACTGAAATCTATTGGAATATAAGTTGGCTCTATACTAAAATTAGTCAATTAATCAGTAATACCTTTTTAAATGTATATGCAAGTACATACTTAATAATATTTCCTATTGTTGGATTCTTTCTTATTTGTTTCAAAATGAATAGACTCTATATGAAAGCTTCTAGAGAACTCTAAAGATTAGAATTAATTAGTAAAAGTCCTATTCTTAGTTACTTTACTGAAACCTTATCTGGATTAACTACTATAAGAGCTTATTAATAGACAAATTAATTTTTATAGAATTTCTCTTAAAAATTAGATACTAATAAAAAAATATATTACAAATAAGTGGAATCAAATGCTTGGTTTTTATAAATCTTAGGATTGTCTAGTCTTATTGTTAACATTTCTGCTATTGTTTATTGTATCTATTATACTGAAAATCCAGCCTTTGCAGGACTTTTAATGACATATGCATCAAACATTGATGTTAATGTACTTCAAACAGTTGAATCCTTAAGTTTATTAGAAAATGGTATTATATCATTTGAGAGATGTTTAGCCTATACTAAGTAATTAAATTTTCTTATATTATAGAATTAAACCAGAAAAAAGAAATGAAAATAATGTTAAATTGTAGAATTGGCCAAACAATGGTGAAATCTAATTCCTCAATTACTCAGTCCAATATCGTCAGAAACTCCCTCCTGCTCTTAGTAATTTAAGTTTCAAAATTAATTCTTAAGAAAAAATTGGTATTGTTGGTAGAACAGGAGCAGGAAAATCATCTATTACTTTAAGTTTATTAAGAATTTTAGAATCTTTAGAAGGATAAATATTAATTGATAATGTTGACATATCAACCTTATCTCTAAAATAATTAAGAGAATCAATTACAATCATATTATAAGATGCTGTCATCTTTAATGCCACCATATAAGAAAATCTAGATCCTTAGAATCAAAGAACAAATCAAGAAATTCTATAAGCTATTAATAAATGTTGTTTAAATAGGTTAGTAAATAATAGAGATGGACTAATGACAAAAATTTCGGAAGGAGGAGATAATCTTAGTGCTGGAGAAAAATAATTGATTTGTATTGCAAGAGCTATTCTTAAAAAAACTAAAATTGTTATCATTGATGAAGCTACTGCTAATATTGATGTTGATACTGAACATAAAATCTAATAAGTGATTTAATCTGCTTTTTCTAATTGCACTGTATTAACTATTGCTCATCGTATCAATACTATTTTACATTGTGATAAGTATCTCTTTTTTAATATTATTAAGAATTTTAGTTATCGACTCAGGATTACTTAAAGAATTTGGTTTTACACAAGAACTATTAAATGATAAAAAATCTACATTCTATTCAATATATTAAGAAGCACTCTAAAATTAAGCTCATTGACCATTCACCTTGTAATCAATCAATATTATGATTTATTTGTTGTTTAGAGGCACAAATATAACTAATATTTTAATCCAAAAAATAATAAATCATTTAAAATTAATCATATCATTCTTCTTTAATTGGTCTAGTTATTAAAAAGGAAATTTAAAAAAAAAATCAGATATACTTTGTAAAGATGCCTAAATCTCTTTAGAAATTATCTACATATCTGGTTGGCCTTATAAAAATTGGAAAATTTCTTAAAAACAAATTATTGTATCATAACAAGTTATTTATTGTAACTATTATTTTGTTGATAGCTTATTATTTAAATAGAAAAAAGATCTTCTATGTTTTTCATTTTTTACTTAGTTTCGTACTTAAGTTGAAATTTATTCAATTCTCGTATTAATCTTTTGTTTTTAATATTCTAAATCTTCTTCGGTAATTTAATCCAATAGACTATTTTAATTTGCTTGTAATAATTATCCACCCAAGAATAAATAGTCCTTTTATTTTAAAATTATTAAGTCATCTAAACATGAGCTTTAACACTTTCTAATATAATATTCTAAAATAATCTTAGTGTCTGATTCATTAGCATCTGCCAACTTTTCAATAGAATTTTATATTGTAACAAGGAAGCATGATATATACAAAATAGCATTCATCTTATCATTATTTTATTCTATCATATTTAACATTTTTTGATAATCATAATCCCTATCTCTTGGAGAATTTGGAAAATCTTATTGACTATCTTAAATGATTATTTAATTATGTTAGTGCTCATCCAAAAATTATTAAAAGTTATTTTATGGATTAATATTTTATCTATTTTATTATTAATGTTAATTTTCCCGTAATAAATACTATTATTAATTATAATCCTATGGATATGATGGTTATTGATATGGTTATTGATATGGTTATTGATATGGTTATTATCTAACTGGTTATTATGATTATGATGGCTATACTTATTGGTTTGAGTATTAGAATTAATTTTAATTACTCTACTGTATTATCCCCCTATTAAAATTATTTTCATTAATAATTTACCCTTTTGAGTTCTAATTATTATTTATCTATTATTGATTTTAATGATTAAATTATTAAAAATTTTAAACATCACCACTTGCTTAAGGTGTAACTCCATATAATTATGGCAAAACTCTTATATGTGCATTTTACTTTGATTAAATACTTGGGTTATAAAATTATTAATTATTGTTGTTTTATGAATTTTGAGAAGGATATTATTATATATTACTATTTGGCTATGAAGGGATATTTCTATTATTCTGATATTCATAATTGTTCTGTATATTATAATTGAAATAGTTTTCATGCTGATTATTCATTTGATTACTCTATTAAATTATCTTTTAATTTAGATTTTAGGGTACTTATTGATAAGCTTATTATTAATTATATTTCTAAGCATCATTATTGTAATTTTTAACTTATTAAATTGATTATTAGTTTTAAATTCTTGGATGTTAATTCTAATTGTATTAGTTTGTATTAATTTTTTAAATTTTTTATTAAGCTTATAATTCATCAAGTAAATCTTCCCACTTTATTCTCATTCTGGGATCATAAATTAACATTCTTTCAATTAATGAAGTAAAAGTAGAATTAATAACCTTTGAAAAATTTTTTTATGGACATTTAAAAGGTTGATTCTAAAATAATTTTTGTTATTTTTTTAAATCTTCAATAGATGAAGCACTTATATAAAAGTATCCATAAATAAGATAAAACAGCATGGTTCCAAGCTAAATAAAAAAAGAATAAAATACAGAAAAAATATCACATGAATAATCATATGTGTTTCCATCAATAACTTCTGGGGCTGAAAATATTGGTGTTCCTGCAACAGTGAATGCCTATTATTTATCAATGATTTTTCCAACACCAAAATCAATAATCTAGGACTTAATTAACATAGTACTTTAAAAATTGGATTTTCATTTTCATATTTCACAAGAATGTTTTAAGGTTTTAAATCTCTATGTATAATTTTTAAATCTTTTAAAAATTTATATCCATTAACAATTTATGTCAACATATCAAATATTTCTGCATCAGTTAAATTTTATCCCCTACCTTAAAAATATTCTTCAATATTTTAATCACACTTCTCCATAATAATATAAGTCTTTAAGTTATCATCAGTTTTTATTATATCAAAAGTTTTTATTATATTTTAATGAGTTTTTTATTTCATTATTTTTTAATAAATCTCCATCTCTCTTTGCCCTTCGGTTTAAGTGATGTCAATTTGTTTAGCACACAATTACTCATCTGTTTCTAAATCTTCAACTTAAAATGTAACTCCCTGTGCACCTTTTCCAAGTTATTTATTCTTGTCTATATAATATTTATTTTTTAATAAGATAAAGCTTTATTATAATTTATTATGGTTTGATAATTCTTTCCATGTAATTCGATCCTTTTAGTTAAATTACATCATTCTACCGATCAAGTTCTTTAAAACTTAATCAACACCATCTTATTAATTTAATTTATCTTAAAATTATTTAGATTAAAGTAAATTTTATTAAAATTTAATAAGATCTACCATACTATTTATTCCTTCAGTTGGTTTTTACATCTCATAGCATAGCTAATATAATATTATTCCAAGCTAAAATTTAATCAATTATTTACCAAATAAATATCACTTTAATCTGATGCTTATGCAAAGTTATTTATTTCTTCTGGACTCTTATAATGCGTAAATACCGTGGGCATTTTTGAACGTTAAAAATTAGAACCCAAGAAATTAAAAAATATTTTTATAAGTATTTTTTAGTTTTTTAATCTCCTTACTAGAATCTTATTCGGATTTAATTCATAAAATCGCGTTTCAAATTTTTTTGATATGTACATATACCCATTTATTATTTAACTTAATAGATCGTAAATTTCATCAGCTGTAAATTTATAAAGTTTTCTATCTTCCATATATTAATATAAGGAAAAATCGCATTTGTCAATCTATATATATTAATTATTTTCGTTATCTTTATAGTTGCCAATAATTTAAATCAAGTTAAAGCATTCATTCCTTTTAATTATGTCGAATAATTTATTATTAATTTATTCATCTAAAAGTTTTCCATGAATGATATAAAATTTCTAGGAATTCATTGTGTCTTAAAACTCAATTAAATTATAATTGCTTGCACCAATAATCTTTCTCTATTCATAATCTCCTATTCGATTCAGGTTAAAATTCATTTTAATAGAATACTAATCAAAGAATTTTTATTTTATTATCAAATATTTTATTGATTCTTTAATTTATTTTAAAAATAATCAATCTAAAAAATCAATTAATGATTATCATGTCTCATCTTTATAGTATTGTTAGTATTTTAAACTCAACATAAAATCTTGAAAAAAAATTTTAATTAAAGTTTATAAGTTATTTATTTAGAATTATAACAAAAAATATAAAATAAACTTTAAATCATGAGTTATATAATTAATGATTTTTGATTTTGATTAAGAAGCTATTTCACAAAGAAAAAATAAGCTAAAGATCTTGTTAAATAAGAATAATAAGAAGCAGAGAATTATTTGTTATAATTAGCATTAAATAATAAAATAGGTATTTGAGTAGCCCAAAAGAGTTTTTTCATATTCTCGATCTATACGCCATTTTTAAGAAATCATGTCAAAAACAGGATCTATAAGTTTGAATAAAAAAGCAATTACATTATTTTTAAAAAGAGATGAAAACACAGAAAAAAAGCCATATGATGAGATTTTGAAAGTTACAAACTCAAAGTTAGTGTAGACAGATAACATAATTTAAGATGATTATGGATATAAAACAGAACGAAATTAATTGTATAGATAGCAATCTCCTTATATAAAATAAAGAAAATTCAGTTAACATCTTCATATAAAAGATAAGATACCAAAAATGCCATATATTTAGCATTCAACTGAGAGTTAGGTTGTTTAATAGTAATAAAAAAATAGAAGCTTAAAAAAACATACTTTTCAGAATGAAATTTTATAGCAAAAAGTGAATTAAATTACAAGTATGAAAGATTAAGAGCAATTAACTAGTAAGAGTAGATAGAAATAAATTGAGCTTTATTCGAATGATAATATATTTACAACAATAACTCATAGATATTGATCAACTCATAATATATTTCCTAATTGCTTCTAATTTATTCATAGAAAATTAAATTATCTAATTATTTTTGCAAAAATCAATAGATCTATATATTTGATTGTCATTATTTAAAGTAAAAGCAAAATTTAATGTTCATTTGCGATTTAATAAAACAATCATTATAAATATCAATAATTTGATGTATTTATTTATTGAGTTTTTAATTTTTATTTTTAATCCCAGAATTCGAGAATGCTTGATTTTTTTATTCTATTTAGAGGATTGGAAGATTATTAATTGATGATAATTTTTAAACATTTCTTGGAAAACACAGAGATATATCATGATTTTTTAGGATTGATTTATATTGTAAAATTTTAAAAGCTTTAATCTTCTATCTCAATTTTTTATTTTTCATACAAGTTCTTGTCTAATCCAATTCAAAGAGTTCTTAAAAAGTATAATACTTAATAAAAAACACATTGTATATCCATTGTTATTGCAAAATTAAAATTATATCTGTACTTTTTTGATTTTTGTCTTGTGCTTTTCTGACCAATATCATTTTTTATTATAAAAATAGTACCATTTATGTTTGTAATAAGTTTATAGGGGTTACTTCACTTAAAAATTTAACTTCAGTTTGGCAAAAGATTTTTTTTTGATTAGGAATTTTAAGTGGTAACGAGACAGTTGTAATGAATCAACACATATTTTATGTTATAACAATTATTAATTTAAAAAAAAAATCAATAAATATATATTTAATCACATCGATATTATCAAATTAGATTTAAGAAGTATTAAGTGATGAATAAGTTTATATAAAATTTGGTAATACTTATGTCAAATTTTAATATTTATAAAATTGATTTTATTTACTATTTGAATAAATAAATTATTTTTTCAATTAATGCTATATTTATTTAATGATCTGAGCTAGCAAATTGAAATTTTCCACAGAAATTCAGAATATTTTAATATTAATTAATTCATTTATTTATATATTTCAGATTTCCAGTCAATTACTTTTATATCAATGAGAATTCTATCTTGTCAATGCATTCTTGATTAGTTTCATATTCTACTCTATCTCCTTTGAATCCTGGGTTCTTAAATCCTGTAATTTTCAAACCTTCTGGAATTTTAATAGATTTAATATCAAATTCTATTTGAGCCTAAATAAAATAGTCTATTTACATCTTTAAGAGACTCAATATTGTCACAAATTTTAGAAGATTAACCTTGATAATTACATTCACTAAAGACTTCAATGCATTCTTTTAATGGTGAATACAATAATAAAAAGTCTCTAAAGCCCCAAGAAGCTTCATTTGCAGTTTTTTGTAGTGTGCTCTTAAAATCAACTGTAAGTTCTGATTATGTATGAGGAATGATTTTATCTATACTCATAATTCTTTCTTTCCAGTTTCCATCAGGTCTACCACATACATCACTTTAGCCTGGATCATTCCATCCTAAAAATTAACTCCAAAATTCATTATTATCAACAAACATAGTTAATTCTTCTCCATCCCATTCATCAATTTTATAAACAGTTGCTTTAATTCTAATAAAATCATGTTTAGGTATTTTAAACACTTTTTAAACAGTAGCTTTCTAAAATTGTTTAATATTACATAATAATTACTTTTCCAAAAGCTTAATATCCACCTACTAATCCTAAATCTCCACATTTTGTTACTGGAGGATTTGGTCCAGCTGGATCATTATCTTAAAATTTCCATCCATCTAATTTATTAAATTGCTCATCTGTAAAGAATTCTTTTGATAAGATATACCATTCATTCTTATTAATACATTTTCCATCTTGTAATGTATGTGTAGCTTAACATTTAGTACATTCATTTTCTGCAGTTCCAACACATTCTTCGCAAAACTTTGTACATTATGCAGCAAACAAAAAGAAATCACGAATTCCCCATGATTATTCATCAGGATCTTTTTTTAATGAAGTAGTGAAGGATATAGTCAATGTTGGATTTGAATGTTTTTATATAATCTCAATAGATACAATTTTTTCTCCATAACCAGGATTTGTTTCCTTACTAAAATTATTAATTTAACTTACGCTCCACATAAATCAATTCCATCAGTTTTTTAAAAGGCTAATTTTTATACTTATTTATCATCAATTTTAACATAAAATTCTTCATTATCCCATAAATCAATCTAAAATATAAAACTAAATATCGTACCTTCCAAAATGTAAATTTAATCATAACTTTGCTATGAGGTACTAGATTTGTAATTGTATTTGATAATAATGCTTTAGCACCTATATTTTCATAACCCCCAAATACTACAATACCAGAACATTCAAATCCTTTTGGTTTTCCATTCTCTAATTTCCATCCTTCCAATTTAGTGTCTACATGGAACCAACTTAAAGCCTCCTAATTCCAGTGTTTACATTCTTAAACTTTATCATTATGACATATCCCACATTCTGATGGACATGGAATAAATGATATTTTTAATTACCTAAATCCCCATGCTTATACATCAGCTTTTCCTTAAGAAGTTGTAGCCATAACTATTGTTACAGTTGGTGAATTGTGCAATATTTCAAATTCAACATCAAATACTTTATCACTATTTTTTGATTCTGGTCCACCACATAAACGAATTCCTCCTTCTGTAAATCCCCATTTCATTTCCCAAGGAACTCCATCTACATAAACAGAAATCACATCATTTTCCCATTCTCCTATTCTAAATTAATTATATCACGATCTCAATACTTCCATAATTGTAAATTGAACTTTAATTTATAATGAGGAGGTATTTTCAGTAATTTTGTAGCTGTACTCTTTGTACCAAATGTCTTGAATCCTCCAACTATATTTTTACCACTGCATTTTGTAATTATATCTGTTGTTGCTTCAAATTAATTTTAAATCACCCAACCTTTAAATTAATTATCATTTTACCATCCAAAGAGTCAAACTCTTCATTCTAGAATGCCTCATATTATGTTATCCATTATGTATTTACTAATACCAATAGTCCTATTAATAATAATTTCATTAGAATAAAAAAACGAATATATTTTCATATTTATGAATTATTTAGTATTCTTGTTACGCTCAATCTATTATTATTAAACACATTAGATTTATCAACATTTTAATATTATTGTGGACTATATAAATTTTTACTATAATTTTATTGATCCTCAATCTAACTCACATTTATGTATTTACTCTGATGTTAATTCTGTTCTTGAGATGAGTTTAAAGAAGACTACATTTATACATATATATATATCTTACTTATTTCATCATATCACTATACCCATATTGATTAAATCTTTTTCTTTCTAAAAAATCATTTTAAAAGAATGTTTTCAATTCTTCGTTTGGATTAAACATTGAAAAATTACTACTTACAGAACTTCTGTTGAAATCTTCTGATCTCTTAAACTCACTTTCCTACTGTTTCCCAACACTTGAAGGTCTGTACTAATAATTTAATTTTGGTGAATATTGATCTAAAATCTATTATTTGTATTTGCTGTAAATCAATATATTATCTTATAATTAAGGATTTCCTAAAAATTGATTTCCTTTATTTGAATTTGTCATAGAAAGGGAACCTTAAAATTAATTATACTATGGTGATCCTATTACTTTTGGTTCATAATCTAATTATGGTGACATTGGTTATTACTATTATTTATAAAAACTATTATTAGATAAAGTTCTTTTATGAGTAGATTCATTAATTTCTTAAGTAGATATCTTATTCATTTATGAATGATTACTTTCAGCAAGATGCTCTTCATGCATCTATTTTAACTTATCTGATGAATTTTTGAATGAATTTCTTTCACTTGCAATTTCTAACAAATGTTATTTATGCAATTTCTTATCCTAATCAAGTAATGCTTTGATTTTTGATACTGCCTAAGTATTTTGCTATGTTTTAGTCTATCTATGTGATGCTCTTCCTTTTGAAGAAGCAGAATGACTACTGTGCTATTTCACATGAGATTATGAGCTTTCCTCTTAAACAGTTTCTAAATTCTTCTTAGACTATTATTTTTATGAAAATTTGAATTTAGGAGATCTATTTGGTGATTTCTATTGAGCATGAGATTGTTTTTTATTTTAAGATACTTATTTTTAACTTGATTATGGTTAAGCAAATGTTTAATTTGTATTATGCGTATTATGGGAATTATGATCACTTTATTTTGTGTTTGACTATGAAGATATTTATGATTATTATAACTATTAATATTACTATTAATAATACTATTATTATTATTATTATTATTACTATTACTATTATTATTATTAATATTGTTATTAAGCATATTATTATTACTATGATATTTAACTCTGTTAAAGTTATGAATATTATAAGATTTGTGGAATATAATGATCCCTAACTGGATATCTATCTGTATCATCAAATACTGGAGGCTCTTCAGTTTCTGTATTTTAATGATCAACAAAGTGACTCTTTTTCTAATGATTATCTTACATTGTTTTTATAGGTTTTGGAGGTTTATCTTTTATTTAATTGTCTCTCATAACAGACTTAATCTCTGTATCATCCAAATGGTGTTTAGAGATTGTTATATGTATTTAATTAATTGTTTAAGGTTTTATTTCCGTAATCTTTGGTGTAATCTCCTTAGATTTCTTCTGTATCAATTATTATTATTGTTTGAATCCAAGAGAAGCAGATCTCTTTCTGTCATCGTATACAGGAGATAAATTCTATACTAGTCTATCATGACTTCTTTATGTTTGCCGTTGTCTTAAATTTTACATCATTAATCATTACATTATTGAATTATTATAATGGATCTATTGCGTTAATTTACTTATTTCATCTTTCAATTAATCCAATTCATGTCTAATATCACAAGGTTCCTAAACTAATTACAATCTTCCATGCTATTACAATTTGCCTTAATTTAAATTTCTATTTTACTTGCATAATCAATTATTTCATTTATGTTAGGCTTCCCATTTGTGAAGAACCCCTTTTTTATTAACTTATCGAATCCTATTATGAAAACACATTTAATCATCATATCTTAATGTTAAAAAGGGAACAAATTTATTAAGGATTGTACAAATTTCCCATTCATTTATAAGTTTTGAATTTCGTTATAATAAATTTTTATTGTTAAATTAAAAAGAAATTAATTTTTTGATTCATTTCTCATATCAAATTCTTGTTCTTTTCCTTAGAGAAATTAAAATCAAAATATATATAACTTATATTTTTGTGTCTTGTATTTTTATACTAGAAATATATCATAGAGGTAGATTATAAATAGAGTAAAAAAGAGAGTTTAATCTAATTTTGTAGTCTAATTAATCTTTTATTTTATTTAGATGTGTGAATTAATTTTGATATTAAATTTTGCTTTATGTCTAGAGTATTAAATTTAATGGAAGAATGTTTTATTTAGAAACCTTTTGATTCTAAGATCTAATTATTGAATTCTAGAAATATGTTGATATTAAATTATTTCATAGACATATGATATATATAAGAAAAAATCTAAAAAGATTAGGTAATGTTAATAATTTTCTAAGCTTTCATTCTTCATTATGGTACAATTTTGTGATAGAGTAATTGTCTAATTCTTATAAAAATATTCATGCATTTAATTATTTAAATATCATTTTAATTATTATTTTGTAAAAGGAATAAATTTATGGATTTAATTGTTAGTTTGTGATATAAAAAGATGTTTGATTGATTAATAATTGATTTTATTGGACATTCATCCAAAAGTGAAGGTGATGATGAATAACCTATTAAATCAATATTAGGATTGTTTTTTTCAATTTTAATGATTTTATGAAAATGTCATCAACTCAAATGCTATTGTTTTAACTCTTTCTGTATTTTTAAATGACCAAGGAAGTCGTTTTATATCGATGGATGCCTAGGATTATGTATATATTTACAGAACTATTATTTCTTAAGCTCATCCAAATTTTGTCCTATAGTTTGTCAATCTTATTTTTTCTATCTGCTTTTATAGCATCATCAAAATGATCTAAAATAACAGAAAGAAGAATACCTAAAAACTCTCTGTAAAAAGTTTAGAAAATTTAAGATGAAAATAATTGTTTTAGGAAATCATTATTCATTGTTTTATTTTTGCTGTTTTTTCTAAATGGAAGAATTAGTGGAATTTTTATTTCTTGTTCAATTATTTATAAAAATTCTTAACGAGCTGTTTTTAAGTTAGTTTCTAATTGATTGTGGAGAAATATACTTGAAATATTGTTTTTTTCTGATATACTCTTAAATATAAACCTGAATGCTTTTCTAAGACAAAACTTTATTAATTCTTCTCTACTCTTGATTTGCTGTTACTATTTCATAGCTAAAATTTCTAATATTTGAGCTAATTGAGTTTAATTGATTTCTCTCAGCTTTTAAGTTATATGATGGATTTGAGTGTGATCATCAATAATTAACAGAATGTATTCACGAATAGTTTATTTATTCAAAAGATGCTGATTAATGGCATTCAAAAATTGATTATCACTTGGAGAATATTATATAGACAAAGTCACATTTTTAGAGTTGGTTGAGTTTTCAGCTTGGATGACTAAGATAAGTAAGAGTATTACTTTAATCATTGTGACTATAAAATAGCATTTGTTACTAACTCTAGTAATTATGAATTGGGGCAAAATTGTATGGTACTTAAAATTATGAATAATATATTTATAGAGGATTTTAAAAGGGAAAGGGTTAGGTAAGTGTCTAAGTTTAATGGAATAAATTGGAAGAGATTAGGGGATTGGTAAAAAGTTGATTCATGTGGTTTAAAATATTAATATTAAATCGAATTAGATTTAAAAGTATCTTTAATCAAGCATAAATTTATATTAATTATATATTCATTTATTAATGATAGTTATCAAAAATAGATAATATTGAAAAAGACATACAAAAGTAGTAGAAGTTATTGATTCAACAAAAATTATTTTGTTGTTAAATGGATTTATTGTTTACAATTAATGAACAATTAAGTATGAATATGACATAAAATAAAATAAAATTTTAGATATGAACACAATTTTAATAATATTTATTATATACTATCATCTTAAGCCAGCTGTGTCAACATGTTAATGAATTGTCATTAGTGCATTGTAATAGGCAGCCATTCTTAAAGAAATATTTAATTTGCTTGCGGTTTCTTTAGTTTTTTATACAGCAACTGCCATAGATTCTTCCAAACCAGTGAACACTAAGTCTTTCTAGAAAGGTATAAATAGAAATAAATACAGCAGAAGGACCTTCAAGAAGTTTAGCAGCTTATTGATTTTTGGCAACATCTACTCTCAAACCAGTAGAGATTTAAATAGCTTCTAATAATTTGTATTTGGAAGTTTCTTCCCATCTTCTGGTCATTCTTCCAGGTCTAGAATAATAAATAAATGAATATAGAAACCTAATATGATCTAGATTTTAGAGCCATTCAAAATAACTGACTGTAACACCACCTGCATTAAGAAGAACATCAGGGAGGAACTTAACACCTTTCTTGATTAAGATCTCTTCAGCAGCAAGAGTAGTAGGTCCATTGGCAGCTTCAGCAATAACTTTGCAATTAAATTTAGCTGCATTATTCTAATGATATTATATAAAAATATACTCTATTAATAGTTTATTCAAAAGCAGCAGGAATAAACATATCACATTCTTTATAAATGACAGATTCATCTTCATAGTATTCAGAAGCTTTAGGGAATCCCTTAACACCTTTTCTTTATTCTTTAAAAGCTTATAATTCATCTGGATCAATTCCACTTTCTTCATAAATAGATCCATCCCATTCAGCAACTCCAACTAATTTAGCACCATAAGCACACATATATTTAGCTGCATAATAACCAACCTTAATATAAATATTATATATTACAGCTCCATAACCTTAAATAATAATGTTCTTTCCTCTTAGACCAGCTGGAATACCTGCTTAAGTACAAAATTCATAATCTTCTAAAATTTCTCTGCATCCATAGAATACTCCCAATCCAGTAGATTCTGTTCTTCCTGAAATACCTCCTTAAGAGATAGCCTTTCCAGTTACACATCCTTAAGCATTGATATCAAGATGTCCTGCAAATTTAGTGTATTCATCCTTTTTATTAATAAAATATATTTACTTTCATCCAACTCATTTCTCTTTCTCCTGTACCTAGATCTGGTCCTGGAACATCTATAGCTGCTCCTATGAAATTTCTCTTTGCTAATTCTATTGTAAATCTTCTCATCAATGATTCAATCTCTCTTTTTGAATATTTCTTTGGATTCATCTTCAAACCTCCTTTTGCACCACCCTAACATGATATTTATTAATTATTACGTATGGTAATTCACAAACAGCATTCTTAAAAGTCATTAATAAAGACAAAGCTTCCACTTCCTCTGTATGAATGTGTTCACTTAATCTTGTACCACCCTTAGTTGGTAATTTGTGAGTCTTATGTTAAGCTCTAAATGCTGGAATCTATATATATTTATTAACTTCATAATTTTACGCATTCTACTGTTCCATCATCTCTCACCAAAGGCAAATGGAATTTTATTACACAATCAGTCTTCTTATAATAGCTATTTTATTAATGATTAATACTTCAGCATGTCCACAGGAATATTTGTTAATGCTGCTGCCTTATCGAAATATTAATACACTTATTCCAAAAAAGACACATCCCCTTCTTCATTACTCTAACCAAATCTAGCTAGACATCTAAATTAAGGTTGTAGTGCACGTCGAGCGAAGGTTTAAATCATTTTATTTTTAATTATGATGCTTTATCAAGATGAATCATCTTTCAATAATACGTACTATACGTCATACAAATTATAGATTTGGGAAATATGATTTAATTTTTTTTATTTATTTTATTTTATGATGTATTATCTCACAATCTCTTTATCTTACTAATACGAATTATTATTCATTCCAATTATATCACCATTTAATTATCTATAATATATTATTATACTATTTTCCCAACCCCCCCCTTAACCCCACATTTTATTTTATATTTTTTATACTAATTATCCAATATGTCTCATACTACCAAAGAATACCTTCCCATTGTCTTCACTGATCTCTAAATCTCTAATTAATTATAACTCGATGATTTCTATATCCATGAAAAGTAATTTTATCCTCAATTCAAGACTTCCAATTATTAAATACTCACATCATTCATTATCTCAACCCAAAATAACTAAAGCTACTTCTCCTTCTAAAACACAATAAGAATTACTTAACTGTTAAAAAAACATCAAAAGGATAGTCTTTCCTAACATACTTTAAAGAACTAAAGAAGACATCAAAAAATATCGATAACATTAACTCTCCTTAATAAGTGATGATATTCCTAATTCATAAACTATAGAATTAGAACACAAAAAAGCAACCAAAAAAAATAGCAAATCTCCCTCTAAACTCCATTCATAATAACAAAGTTATATAAGCAATTAACCAATTAGAACTGATCTTTCTTCATTATTTTTTGATAATAATATAGAATCTTATTCGAATGACTCTATTTTTAAATTTCGTAAACTTAGGTATATTTCTTGTTTATTTTAGTCCAACTTTTAATGAAGCATCTTGGTAAAAAGTCGATAAAGTTAACAGAATGAATATTGCTCATGAAGTTTAAAAAGAAATACATCATTTAGAAAGATTTAACACTTATTGGAAGCCAGACATGATTAATTAGTTTCTCTAATTAAAAATAGTATAATAAGGAGTTAACTTCAAAAAAGGAACCAAGAGAATCTTTATACTTTTGTACTTACCTCATCAAACTCTTGTTTTAAAAAGTTCATAAGTTGAAGTTAAAAGCAGGTATTCTATTAAATTAAATTTGAATAGTCCTGTATCATTACAATTAAATGCATTAGTTTATTTTGTTCCAATTTATGACAAAATCAATAATATTAATGAATTAACAGATAATTATAATGTTTGGACAAAACACTTCTTAGATTTATTACACTATAAACATTATCTTAATACTGTAAAGTTTTATTTTTTGGATGGGAAGGAGCTTTAAACATTAAATTAAATACCATCATATGAAAAATTTATATATTGCAACTTACAAGTAAATACAAGGCGAAATATTTTTAGGGAGAATTCGATATTTGGAATAGAGTGAGTTAAACTTTAAATTTAGGAGGGTAGTTTTAGATTGAAAAATTTGTAAAATTAGCTACAAAAATGGTTGATTTAAGATCAAAGGATGATATTATTAAATTCTTTAATAAAAGAGATAATTTTCTTCCTTTTTATTCTATGGGTTATGATTAAGTTTAAGAAGAGGTTTAATAACATATTCCATAAACAATCGAAAAAATTTAATAAGAAGGAGATGATGAATAATTAAATGATGAAATTATAGACTAATCAATTTTTTAAATGAATAAGAATCAATAGAAAACCTATTTAAAAACAATATAATAATTTATACAATAAAATAAAACTAAATACTCTTAACATTTAGCAAATTAAGAAGCTGGTATGAGATAAAGAAAAGAACAAATAAAGGGGATCAGAAGAAAATCAATAGAAATTAAATTAAAAGTGGTATACTATTTATTATAATACTTTAATAGTATAAATAAATGGTAGATCCTAATGAGGAGGATCAAATTGAAAGAAAACTTTTACATGAAAGCACTTAATCAATTGATGAAATAAAAGAAGATGCTGCAGATAAAGTTGATGTGTTGAAAAATGCAATTTATAAAAAGTTGCCTAAAAAGATAGAATTAAATAATGATCCATTTTCAAGCTTTTCTTCAAAAGATAATAAAAAATTTAAAGAAATAATGAAATTGATTAACATTGAACAAATAGTTTTAGAAAAAAAAGTTAACAGATAGGATATTTTGCATTATCTTTCTTTATTTAAGGCACTTATGGATTCAGATGATCGAAATTAATTTACAATATGTCAATTAGATTATCCATCCTTATATATATCAAGAGAATAACTTAAGAAAAGTTTACCATACATAATTTTATATAAAAATTAGTTGAACACTGGAAAGTTAAATGAAATATATGAGAGATAATATAATTATGTTGAATTTTTGGAATTTTTAGATATATTTACAACTGAATACATTGTTTCAGATAAAGAATTGGAAAGATTAAAAAATCAAAAACAAGATTAATATTGACTTTTAATCTATATTTATTAAAATATTAAATGCAAATGTAAATTTTGATAAAGTAAAATATTTTATGTCATTATTCTTATTCTTGGGAGGTTAAAAGAATCTGTTGATACCTATTGCTCATTTCATGAACAATTAGTGAATCATCAACCCCAGATTTGAGTATCCAAGGATGAGTTTAGATTTCTGAAATCTAATAAGATCAATACAAATTCTTACAGATAATCTTTAATTAGGATTGAAAGCTAATAATTTTATGATTAAATCTTTCAATTCAGAACTAAAATCAACTTATTATGTTTCCCAAAATTTGTTATGTTATTTTCTAAAAAATAATATTAACAACAGAAATACCTATAGATTAGCTAGTATACTTAATCTGATTTGATATTAGCTGTTTAGAATGGACAGAAACCAGAAGTAATTTAAAATAAAATAACTCCCAATTAAAATAAATCTGCTTCAATTCCGTGATAAGGTTGTTAAAGGAAGATTTCAGGAGCTGCTGTTGATGGAGATCCAACATATCTAAAATTAAATAAATAATAATACGTATTAATCTTAATTCTTTTCCCTTGAGCATCCATAAATTTAATTGCATATCCGAAATCACAAATAAGAATGTTAAAATTATCATCCAATAATATGTTTTCTAATTTTAAATCTCTATGAGCCACTCCATTCTTATGGATTTCAGAAATAACTACTAGTTAACAAATTTTTTACTTTAGATTATTTACTTAAAATAATGTCTTGAAAATTCTTCTGTGAATTTTGATAACTTTAAATATTGTAACAGATTTCCTTATTTTGCGTAATCCATCATTATGCAACCATCACATTCACATTCTCTAACTCTTATTACTCCAGGAATGTTTCTTAATAATTACATCATTTTTATTTCATTTTCATATAAAGATTACTATTACTACTTGAAAACCTTCATAGCCATCAGTTATCCACATCGATTTACTAGTTAAACACTAAATATTTAAAATAATTAAATACTCTGCAGAATAGCCTTGTCCAATTTTAGTCACTACAAACATTTCAGAAATATTAATATACTAATAAATATTTATTTATTTTTATAACATTTATCATCCTGGTGTTAAATAATTATATTTAACTAAAACAAATATTCTCAAAATTTTCTACTTTCACATTTTATTTATCATTTTTGCTTCATAACTAACTTATCCAAAATTACATTTTAATTCTATTGATCATAATCTTCTAATAATGTAAATAATAATTTTAATTCTATTAATTCCAAAAAAAAAGAGATTTCTAATTCAAATTTATTTAGTATTTCAATTTAAATATTTCTAAAACAACATATTGCAATTTTGTTTCATTTATAATATTTAGAATACAAAAATAAACTAAATTTTTAATCCAATATTATGAAAAAATAAAAATTTTTTAAAAGTTTAATTGGATACTGTATGTTAAGAGTTTACTTAAGTATGAACAAGTCTGTATGAAATTTAAACAAATATGGTTTTAGTTTAATAGGTTTATAGGTGTTTTTATTAATAAATTTGTTACTAAATTTTTAGATAAATATTAAAGAATGTTTTAAATAAAGGTATTAATACAAAAATAAAAACCCGGCATATTAATTATTTAGCTTTATTTATGAGTTAACTTATAGGAACATTGTCATTAGATACGAATGCTTATATAGATTACAACATCAGTGAGAACATGTCAAATAATGCTCTAGAAAACTCTGATTTATTTAAAGTGAGATTAGGGAAAATAAAAGGGATTAAAGTATATAATTTTAAATCATTTGAAAATGAGCATTATATAGGTCCTTTTACAAAATTTACAAGCATTATTGGACCAAATGGAGGAGGTATATAAAATAATAAAATAAAATAGGAAAGTCAAATGTGCTAGATGCAATTTAATTTGTATTGGGAATTTCAATAAGATCAATGAGATGTCATAGAGCAGAGGAATTAATATATAGTTAATCTATGTATTATAAGAATTATTAGGAGGAAGATCGATAAGCGTATGTAGAAATAATATTTGATGCTATTAATTATTTGGAAACTTAAATTTCACTAAAAAGAACTGTAAATAAATAATAGCAAACTTAAGTTTTTATTGGTGATTAATAAGTAAGTGAAAAAGAATTGAGCTCATTTTTGTTATTATCTAAAATAATATTACCTGCTAAGAACTTTATAATGTTATAAGGTGATACAGATACATTAACAACGATTGAGCCAAAAAAATTAACGGAATTATTTGAATATGTAAGTGGGAGTGTTCAATATAAAAATACTTGTTAATAGATTTAAGCTGAATTAAATAAGGTAGTCTTAAGAATGAGAGAATTATAATTTTAAAGAGGAGCTATGAGAACTGAATAAAAAAAGGTTAAAGAATTAAAAAATACTTCTGATAAATTTAAAAAAATTAATGATGAAATTAATTAATTGAAGTTAAGATAGAAGTTATTTGAATTAAAATAAATAGATAATGAATTAGAAGATGTTTCAAAATAATTGAGTTAGAATAAAAATGATGAACATGATTAAAATAGTGAAAATAAGAAATTGATTGAAGATATTTAATAATGTGATTTAGAGATTGAAAAATTAAAGTAGGAATTAAATTAGATTGAAGAAAATGAAAAAAAAATAAAAAAAGATGAAAAATGTAAAGCATATGATACAACTTCAATTGATTTAGAAATAGAATTATAAAAGAAATAATTATCAACATATGAAGGTTTATTAAGTAAATTAAAAAAAGATATTAATTATTAAATAGAAATGATAGAAGAAGTATAAACAGATTTAGATGGAAAAACTTAATATTTATAGAAGATTAAAGCATAAAGTGATTTAAAGTTATCAAAGAAATTGATGGAAGAATTTTAAGAATTATAAATGAAATTTAAAATATAGAATTAATAAATATAATCTGATTTAGAAAAATTATAAGAGAAATAGGGAATGTCATAAAAGATTTATGATTAAATAGATGATGAAATTAAATAATATACAGATGATAGAAAGGAATTAATCTAAGCAATTGAAGATCAAAATACTTAATTAAAATATGTTAAAGATGAATTTGATGTTCTAAAAGATAGACATCAAAATACATAAAAGAGAATAGATGAATTGTATAGATAAAATTAAATTGAAGAAAATGAATTAAAATAACTTTAACAACATAAAATAGAATAAGAGAAATAATTAAGATTGATTGAAGTATAAGAAACTGAGAATATTGATGAAAAATAGACATAATTATTAATATAATAACTAAAGTCTATGTTCAAAGATTTTCGAGGAGAATTATCCAGTTTATGTAATCCGGATTAGTAATAATTTGCAATTCCTTTGAAAGTAGCACTTGGACAAAGATTGTTATGTGCATTGGTAGTAGATTCTGAGAAAACAGCAAAAGAGATTAATATGCATTTAAGATCTTTGGATATTGTTAAGGAACTGATAATATTGAATAGAGTTAAAGGCAATAAAGATGAATCTGAGTTAAGAGAAAATGTTGAATAATTTGTTTAATAATATAGAAAGCAAACAAGAGCAGGTAAAGCATATTTAGCAATAGATATAATTAAATATGATTAATGTTTAGATAAAGTTTTAAAATCATTATTAAGTGGAGTAATTGTTTGTGATTCTTATTAATTAGCAGTTTAAATATAGAAAGAATAAATATAAGATGTTAGATAAATAATTACTTTAGATGGTATTACTTTGGCAACATCAGGGATGATTGTTTTTAATGGTTCATAATAAAGATTATCTGATATGAGAAATTTTAGATCTAATAATTAACGAATTTAATTAAGAGGACCTAAAGAATCTAAAGAATATTTAGTCAAATCTATAGAAGATTTATAAAATAAAATCAAAACACTCAAAAATGTTAGTGTTTAAGATGATTTAAAATATCAATCAGCATTAAAAATGAAATTAGAAGAATAACAGGCTCAATTATCAAATAAATAAATTTCATTATAAAAATCAATATAAATGTATAATGAAAAGTTAAAGTAAGTTGATAAATTATTAGATGAACTTTATAATGAAATAAATAAAAGAAAAATATAACTCAAAGAATATGATGAGTAAAATGATAAATTTTTAAGTTAAATTTAAAATCAATAAAAATTAGCTTATTAAGATTTTGCAAAAAGAAATGGAATAAGTCTTTAGGAATTAAATTAATTAGATTTTTAATAAAATTTGGGTAAGCAATTTGAAATTAAATAATAGCAATTAAATAAATTGTAAGTTTAAAAATAAAGTATGGAATAATATTTGGAAGAACTTAAAAAAAAGTAAGATGATTTCCAAAATAATATAAAAAGTAAAATTGAAGCAATTAATAATTATGAACAAAGAAAAATTGATATTTAATAAAATCATGAGAAGAAGAATAAAGATTTAGTTTAGTATTCGCATAAGTAACTAGAAATAAATCAAAGATTAAAAACTTAATAGAAGAAATTGTTCAATTTAACTGATTTGAGGAATCAATAGGTAAAAAAGGGAGTGGATAAAAAATAATAAATAAATTTAATTAATAGAAAAATAGAGTAGTTGAAATTCTAAAGAGGAAGATTAATTGAGTTATGTGAAATTGAATCTATACCTGTAAGATTTAAAAGATCTCAAGGAACCTTTTAACCTTCCTTAAATTTTGATGATGATTAATAAATGGATATGGAAGCTATAGATTATACTGCTATTAAAAATGATTTGAGACAATCAAATTGGAATAAATTGATTGATGAAATAAATGTAGAATTGGAAATCAAGGAATAAGAAATTACAAAGTATCTGTCTGAAAACTTACAAGTTGGTTTAATAGGAGCAAAAACAGATGAGAAATTTGTATAATTGGAAACAAACATAGAATCATTAGGAAGGTCAATTAAAGAATTGTAAAATAGAGAAGCTGAATTGAGTGATCAATTAGTATAGACTTAGTAATTAAGAAAGAAGAGATTTGATAAGTTATTTGATAGAGTAGAAAAAGAGATAAAAGTGTTATATTAAAAGTTAACAGAGAATTAAAATAGAGTTGGTGGAACAGTTCTTCTTTATATGGAAAATAAAGAGGAACCATTTGAAGGAGGATTGATATATACTCCTAATCCACCTAATAAGAAATATATATTTGATAATTCAGAATAGCTTTCTGGAGGAGAAAAGGCAATTGCATCTATAGCTCTATTGTTAGCATTAAATGCATCTATAGATGCTCCATTTATTCTTCTTGATGAAGTTGATGCTCATTTAGATTAAGATAATGCTGATAAGTATACAATAAATTTAAATATTTTATAGATTATAAAAGATTGTAAAATTGTTATCAAACTAGATCTAATTTATTTTAATAAGTCATAATCCTGATGTATTTGCTCATTCAGATTCTCTTGTGGGAGTTACAATTTAACATTCTAAGACTACGAGTGAGGCTTTTTCATTATTACTTTGAGAGTAGAAAGTTTTGAAAATTATTTATTTTATTTATATATATATATATATTTGTTTGAAGAAATGAAAAAAGAAATAAAAAAAACAATTATGAAACAATTAATAATGATACATAATAATCAAGTTAAAATAATTTTATGATATCAATATATATATATATAAAATAGTAATAATAAAATGGATAGACAAGGGATAGAGACAATTTGTAAAACTGATTCTTCAAGATTAATGACAATGCGAAATAATACTGAAACCTTAAGCAAGATATTTTTCTTAATATTAGTCTTCAATAATTAAGGATTTGATGGTCGACCAGGATTAGGGTTATAATTAATTGAACAATAAATTCCTGAAAGTTGTGTTGATGATGATAATGAAATATATGCATCTGAAAATTCCTCTATTTCAAATTAAAGTCAACATAGAAGTAGAAAAGAATCAAAAGTAGAATCAAAAATAGAATCCTTAAGTAAAATAATTAAGGAAACCTAAAAAATTCAATCTGATGATCTTCATCAACCAATTGGAGGTTGGGATAATAAAATATGGTAAAATGGAGCATTAAGAATTATGACTTACGTTATTAGATTTGTAATGGCATTATTAATCAACTCTGAGAAGTTCAAATTTACATTTATGAAAAAAAGGCAATTCTATGCTATAAATGATTAATCAGCCATATTTGATTATTACGAAGAACGTTTTTTAATTAGAGGCAAAAAGAAACTTAGCTATTCTGTAATTATATAAAATTTATTAAGTAAATTCTTAAATTAAGAATTCAAAATAATTGCATATATTAGTCATGCCACATATTTATATAATTTGTAGTCTATAAGATTATATTTATTATAACTCCAACAAGTACCCCAAAATTAATTTGGGATGTATTTCTATTGATAATTTTATCAATTCAAATGGTCTTTGTACCATTAAAGATATGCTTTCAAATTGAAATTACTTCAGATTTATTATAATTCTTTTTATTAATCTTACCACTCTATGTATACCTTATAGAAATACTATTGAATTTTTTAACAGGATTTTATGAACATGGAGTGTTAGTCATTGATTAAAAATAAATTGCATTACATTATTTTAAATCTACGTTTATTTATGATTTTTTGAGTGTGATGCCATAAATTATAAGTGCTATAAGTGATGAATCTTAAATTTATGAAATTCTATTATTGATACGTTTGAAAAGATTAATATTGCTTGCAGATACATTAGAAGAGATATTAAATTTAAGATAAAATTATTAAACACTATTAGATGTCGTTCGTTTGCTGATATAGTTTATATTTTTGTCTCATTTATTTGGATGTGTATGGCATTACATAGGAGTTTTAGAAGAAGAATTTGGGTATATTTGTTTTAGATATATTGATTTAAGATATGATCAGAATTGGATCAAGTAAAAAAATATTGATGGAGAATCCTGGTTTGTACGTTATGTATTTTCAATTTATTGGAGTTCGATTACTACATTGACAATAGGATATGGTGATGTTATACCAGTTAGCTCTGTAGAAAGAATGTTTGTTGTAATTGTAGCTGTAGTAAGTAGTGTTGTTTTTGCATATACTATTTCTAGTATTGGAAATATATTTAGTTAATTAAATGAAAATAAGAAGAATTAAAGACATAAAATGTTTTTAATCAAAAGATTTATTGATGAAAGAAATGTTAATAAAGTATTGGCAAATAAAGTCAAAAAATTTTTCGAGTATTTTATATAGATTGATCATACTTCAGATAATGAATGTGTTAAAATGATTGAAAAATTAGATCCTACATTAAAAACAGAATTAAAGATTGATATCTATAGAAAATTTATTTCAAATTCTAAACTAATATCAACAATTTTCTCAGATGTATTGTTGAATGAAATATGTTAATTAGTGAAAGAAAAGTAATATATGCCAGATGAATTTATTGTTATTTCGGATTAAGAAATAAATGAATTGTATTTTGTATTGGAAGGAGAAATTTCTTTAATTGTAGAATTAAATAAATGTATAAGTTAATTAATATTTATAGAAAAAAACAAAGCCTCATAGTTATCTTTAATTAAAAAAAATGAAGTTTTGGGAGAAAAGTATTTTCTTACTAATGCTAAATTACCTTTTTCAGCCAAAGCTTAGAGTTTTGTTAGAGTAGCTGTTTTAGATAAATAATAATTTCATATATTGCTCCAAAAATATCCAGAAGAACTTGAAAAATATAAATAAGCATTGAATAAAGTTTAATTGCAAGAAAGAATAAAATTATCTGGTTGTGAACTTTGTTATTAAAATCATAAGGTTTTAGAATGTCCTTTTGTATTTTATTAACCAAATGTTCGATTTATTGTTAAACGACAATATGTTTAAGAATAAACCAGACAATTATTTGAGAGAAGATAAACTAAATCACATGTAATAATTGAATTGGTTATAATTAGAATTCTAAAAGTGATCGACTTGGTATATAATATCGTTTAGTAACGTATGCTTTAGAGAATAATTTAATTTAAGAAGAATCTATAAATGATTCAATAATTAAGAAAATGGATTTGTAATGTTTAGAACATTAGAGAAATCTATTTAGAACTTGTACTGATTCTTCTATAAATACTCTTATTAAAAACAATATTAATCCTAATTTTTAAAGTGGAGGTAAAGAAAGTCCACATGAAAGTTAAGATTAAATACTTAGATAAAATTCAAATAATACTCATAATCCTAGGCCTAGTTTTACAGGAATTGGTAGTAGTAAATAAATGTCAACTTTAAAATTAATTAAATTAAATAGTAAAAAATAAGATAAACAAGAAATATTTGAAAAAATTGAATTAAAAGTACCTGATAAAATTGTTTTACAAGATATTTGTGAACATTCTTCAGATTCTGATTTATAATCACCTGATAAAACTAAATTAACAAAATAAAATAGTTTTACATTTTGTGCTTTTGCAGATTTTAAAACTTAATTAAAAGCTGAATATTATTAAAAATTAATTATTAATGAATTGGATGGATTTGATAAATACTAAGAATACTAATTTTATTATCCTTAATATAATGTTGATAAAGTTATAGAAATTATTAATGAGAAATATAAACTAAAAAGACTTAAGTAATCTAAAACATTGATTAAAAGATAAAGTAGATATCTAACATCTTTTCCAACTATTTCAATAAGAAGGAAAAAAAGTAGTATTATGGGGGAAGAAATTATACATGAGAATTGATAATATATATATTAATACTTATCTCACTCATTCAGCTTATCAAAATTAATATTATCAAATGCATTTATACTTTGTTTGGTTAATAAATATTTCAAAGTTTCATCAAATCTTACTAAATCTATTGAAAATTTAAGAGAATATTAATACCGAAATACTACATAAATTGTCTAAATTAATCCACATCTTAAAATGCTAAAAGTTATGCTAAATATTCTAATTCTATATTTGAAATATATCTAATAATAAATTAATAATTGATACGTTTTGACAATTTATTTTAAAGCTTTTACTCTAATTCTAATTAAAAAATGATTAATAATACTACCCATAGTTTCACCAGCTTCTTTGCAATCTTTAAATAATTTAACATAATTTCCACATTTATATGATTCTCTTATACTAATAATATTAAATTAATTAATTTACCCAAGAGCAAATTTAATTCTTTAATCATCAGAATTTTAATGCAATATTTTAACTAACTAATCTTATTTATTTAACATTGTTAGATAAACAATTCTATAACTATCAAATTCAATTTTATTTCCTATAAAATTAACATCTTTTCCTTCACTTATGCTTATCATTTCATATAAATCACATAACATTGTCCAACAACTTTCATATCTAATAAAATCTCCACATTCCAAACAAATTCTAGCATTTTCTTCATAAACTTAGACTGTAAATCTATTTTCTATATGTTGAACCAATAAATCTTATCTAATAGATCTGAATTATTCAATTGTAAAGTTATAATCTGCTTAACAATTTTTCCATTTTTCTAATATATGATTTAAAGCTTTTTTTAATATATGTTCTGGTCTTATGGTAATAGGATCAGGCAAACCAGTAAGTCTGAAATATGGTTTTTCTAAATCTTCACAAGTTCCCTTAAAAATAAATTTAATTCCATTATACTGTAATTTTCATATTAGTAGATATAAATTGATCTTCTTCCTCAATTTTTTTTTTAATCTAATTTTATTGTTATTTAATCTATATTGTAGCATTGGGCTGTAATTTTCCAATTTATAACATAGCCAAATCTATATTATAATCAATTTTCTTATTTTTCATATGATGTTGATTAATAGTATCAACTTATTACTATTTCAGTTTATCGTTTAAAGACATCAAATTTTAAATACTAGTAGATGCTGTAATTTCTATTATTAAGAACCATTACTTTACGCTGGTCCAATAGGTTGGGCTTAACTTGGAGCCCCAAATTTACTTGTTTAGCCTAATGAATTCAATGCCATAGCTGTGCTTTGTTTTATTTACAAAGATTAAGAGAATAAAGACTAAGTTCGTATTTAATTCTCTCTAGGAAGTGTTGGCAAAGGAAATTTAGACCAATCTCTTACACTGTATTCATTTTTACGTTTGGCTTCTGCAATTGTAGCCTTTAAATATTGTTCCATAAGATTTCTCTCATCATCAGATTGACATTTATTAAATGCTCTCTCTACATACTATTTAACAGTAATAGAGGATTATTCATTAAATACTTCTCTTGAATTACAAAATCTTGCACCTGCATAATAATTTAAAATAATCATACTAACTAAATTAGGCATTTCAATGTTTAATTTTCGATACAAATAAGAGTAACACTTAATTTCATTCTCCCATCTTGAAGGTTAATCTAACTCTGTAACATCAACTGGAGGTAAAAATTGATTATACTCTTTCTCGATCTTATTATTCAATGAATTTTTTTATTATTAATCTTAAGTTTATTAAATAATCTATTGCTGCTGTGGTTATTATTAATTTATTTATTAGAGTGGTTAAGATACATTTTATTGAGAATTCAAAACAGAATTGGATTATTAAATGTACTATTATTAAGGTCTGTAAATATTATTTGGATTACCAATCAGATTGTTTTGTTCTAGCTTTAGATAATCAAATACATTATGGTTGTATCATTTAATAATTGTATGGATAATATTGATTATATTAATATTGATTAGGTATCATTTATTAGTATCCATATGGCATATATTAGTTGTATCCATAATAATTTGGATACATTTATTATTAAGTTTATTAATATGGGTTCAAAGTGATCTTTTCTGCTCTCATGGCATCTTCAATTGTTGATCTTTTATTATTATTCATTTTAATTTAAAGATTAATGTAATTCAATATAATACAATTTATCAATAGATAAATAATATTCATGTTCATAAATAATTACTTTTATATACTTTCAAAATAAAACAAGAATATCATTAACTTTAGATTTATTAATTGATGACAAAGTACATCGATCCAATAAATCCAATAAAAATAAAAAGAAGACCAAACTCGTAAATGTTCTAATAAACATCTTTAGTTAGATTTTCATGTTTCTTTTATGAATTTCGTTTTATACTATTCTCTCTTGCCAATTAAACTAACTCTTTTAAGGCAGATGAGGTTTTACATACTTCTAATTCTGAATTGTGAACTCTTTCTGTATAATTTTTAATTTAGGCTTCTTAAACAGCATATTTAAGACTCCTTTTAAACATATTGGGAGAACTTAAAATAATAAAAAATAAATTACGATTAACAATGTTGACTACGACGTATTTCATTTATTTTATTTGGTTGATAATCAAAATCTGTAGTCTAATTAAATCTCCATTTTATATTAGTGTAGATTCTGAGAATATTAAATGGAGTTTTGATTGATTATTTCTCTAAAATAAGGACTAATCTAAGAAGCTTATATTTTTCTTAAATTTCATCAGTAGAATCAACAAATTTTTTCATAAAAATATTATTTATATATGAATATTTTAGAAATAGAAATTTACATAATAAATCACCTTCTCATAAAATGATATTATTTGATATAATTATAGGAAATAATTCAATAATTAGATTATTCATTTTTATACTTATAACATCATAAATCTGTTAATCTGGATAATTTCTAAACTCTATTGAGTAAATAATCTCCTTATTTAATTAAATTATTATAGAGTTAGTTTCTATCATCTGCCCTAGAAGATTCAATAATTCCAGCTACTTTATCAATTTTACAATTGATTCTTCTTGATGAAATTAATTCGCTCAATTCTCTAGAAAAATTAAAGAATCAAAACCTATCTATGAATTATACACTGACTCCAAAAGCTTTAGCCATATTATTTAATGTCACTGTTTTATAACTTTCCAAAAATTAAGAATAAAAAACTACTCTAAATTCTCGAATTAAGTATTTCCTATGAATACTTAAATATTAATCTTGAGAAAGATTTTCATTAACAATTGCTATAATAGTTAGAATTGATTTATACCAAATGTTTAGAAGAGTGTTTTATAATCACATTACAAAAATGATTCTAAGAAACTCTTCAATACTTAATTCTCTCTCAAAACTCCTACAACTTCTGGATTTTAATGTACTTTCTTTTTTAAAGTTTATCTATCCAAACAAATTATACTAGATAAAACTGTATAACTGACAATTTCATTATAGGATATGATTTCTGATGAATTGAAAGTTGCTACAGAATCTAAGAATAATTTGCATGCTTTTGTGATATCTCTAATCATTAAACAATAAATTCCTTCATAAACTTTTAATCTATTCTTTCTTTCCCAATCACCTCCTTAATCCAATAATGTTTATTATTAATTCAAATGATCCTTATATTTTTCAAGGTTTCTTTGCTTTAAATATATTTATAAAATTAAGAAATGGACATCCATCTTTTTACCAATACCAACAGATTTTGGTAATGTCTCAATATATGTTTTTATCGCCTCAAATAATATTACAAATGTACATCTTCAAATTTATTATATTTTTATTGCAATGAAGCTTTTTCTAGCATTGCATCTCTCACCTCAACATCTCCTAAATTTTCTTAACAATCTTTGATTTTATTCTCTACAGCTTCTAACTATTCTTCAAATGTTTTTTCTTACTCCATTTTAATTTTAAATTTAATTAATACTAATCTCAATATTTTTTTTTGAATAACTTTCTTGTTTGTTTTTTTTTGATGTTTGATTCAAGATAGATACTCTATCATTTATAAATTATTTATAAATTGATTCAAATTTACAATCACTAGAGATATGGATGCTTGTTAATAAAATTCAATAGAAAAAAATATTTCAATGTTATAATCTATCTATCAACCTATTAATTTATGGTAAATATCGAAAATCAAATCTATTATAACTTTCATATTTTTTAGGAATCTATTTATATTCTTATATTATATAGAATTTATTTTTATATTAAAACTAAATAAATGATAGATTTAAGATTTAATAAAATTTTTATAATAAACATATAGAGAATGAATAAATTAGTAAGATAATATTATTTTGATAATATTTATATGCTTTAAAAAATAATAAAATTGATATAAATACAAATAATGAATAAAATAAATTAATAAAAGAAACAAAAATAAAAATAAAAGTTTATTCCTTTAGGATTTGTAATAAAATACGATCCTCCAGTAATTGGTATGAGATTGATATTAATTAATAAAAGGATTATTATATAAGAGAAATGTGTAGGAGAATAAAAAAAAAGTTTATAACATACATTTATAGAATCTAATAAAGATGGATGATGAAGTTGAGATAACAAAATAGTTATTTGAAGAGCATCCTGAATTTTTGGATCCTGATATCATTGAACCTGAATAAGTATTAGGTTTAGTGTAGAGATTGATTGAATTTAGATAGATAATGGAATAAGAAGATGAAAATGAATATTAAGATGAGGAGACAGATAGCCACATAATAGATGAAATGTTTGATTGATAATTTATTTTGATAGATAATTTGTTCAATATTCAATTTTGATATGGACTAAAATGTATGAATTGTGTAAGGGTTTAAACTGAGAGTTTAATAATGGTATAGTTCTATAACCTGTTCTTAAGTTAAGAGGTGATAAACAATATTAAGCTAACAAAGAGTCTCCCAAGATAGAATAACTATAGGCTTAAAAATAAATAACATCTTATTAAGCATATCTAAGTTAAATAATGCAAGAATAATTAAATATTGGATGATACCCATTATCTTAGACAACTTCTGTTCTCCATTTTTCAGATTTGTTAACATCTTCTTTATTTCCAGCAACTCTTACTTTTATATATGGATCAACAATTTCTTCTTATCTTCGTTTTTCTTCTTCCCAAACAAGATTAGTTGCACTGATAATTTTTAGATATATATTCATTCTAATATCTTATTGAGATTTGAGTACATATGAACTATTTAGAAACATACCATAATTTTATAGCATAAATAAATCTTTAGTTTGAATATTTAAAGCTACTAATTAAGCACCTGCTATCCAAGATGGAAATGGATCATAATTACTTGAATCAAATCTTAATCCCAACGGATACACTCTAATAAAATAATTATCAGCATATTCTTAGAATTTACCCTGACTCTTCTTTATTACATCTGATATCTTATCTTCAGATACACTTGATACTATCCATACTAATTCTGGTATATTATTTAATTTAAGTGTTACTGCATATAATGAAGTTATTTCTAATAATTCTCGACATATTTTTTTATGATGTTCATCAAGAGTTTAATTAAATTATTTTACATTTACTTAAATATCTTAATCTTCATCATCAAATTAAATTAACATATCATCTTGTGATTATGAAAAAAACAATGTTGATGAATTAATTTGTAATTTCTCTAATAAAAAATTATCATCTCCTTTATGTTTTATTAATACTTTTCTTTATAATTCTTATAAAGTAGAGAATCTCTCTTATTTATAATTTTTAACCACAAATAACATATCTCCAAGTATACTTTTTAATATTTCAGCTATTCTTTTTTATTATTTTAATCCACAATGCATTTCTAATGATAAAATAGCAGGATTATTATCTTTACAAAAAGCAAAGTCTCTTACTGTTAATATAACATCTTTGAATTTAATATCATTAACTAATGTATGTCCATGTGTAACTTTAGGTTCACCATCTTCTCCATCCCAACAATCTAATTCAACACATTTAAAACCCATTTTAAATGCATCTTAATATGCAAAACAACTTGATTCTCCTGTTAATTAATTTGTTTCTAAATATGTATTATGAGAAGAATTTATTAAATATTTTGTTAATGGTTAAGATTAATCAATTACTCTTTATTAAAATATTGTATTCTCATCACTAAATATAACATTCTGAAAATCATAAAAATTGTATTATTTCTTCTTTGATTTATAATCATTTTATCCTTGCTCTATTTTATAAAACTATTCTAAATCTTTATCTGTCATTAACATTGCTTAAAGTGGATCTTCAAACATTCCCTCTTTTTTACTACTATATTTTTAATATAATTCTGTTAATTCATGTCTTAAGGTTATGTCCATTAATAATTTATATAGACTTCCTTCATCTAATTAATTATTCTTTTGCCCTTTCTCAAATATCTGTATCAATTTCCTTTCTGTTATCTATATTTATAATTCTCCTATTAAGTATTGAAACTCCTTAAAGTTAAGTTTATTATCCATATCTATATCTGATTTAGTGATCAATTTTAGAGTGTTACTCCATATCTAATTATAACTATCAAGTTATTTCTATATTCTATTTGCTTCCATAATCAAATACTCTAATCCCTCTTTGAATGTTATTAAACAAAAAGGACTGTCAAAATAAAACTTTATGTACTCACCTTTTGTATTTATTATTTTCAACTTAGATTGTTCTTTTTATTAAATATCTTAAATCAAAGTTAGATCACAATAAGTACTATATGTGCCTTAAGGATCAATCTAAGATACAGTTATTATTGATGATTACCATTTAGATCATACGAACCTCATTTGGACTTAACAATATAATAATTTAAGTACGTTTCATCTTGTGCAATTTCACCTGTAAAAGCATACCATATACTAAAGAATTAACACCTTGATGATTTATTTTATTCATAAAAATGAGTTTTTTTATTAAATTATTGAAAATTAATATATTCCTTATTCAACAATAATTACTTGAATTTCTTATTGTATACATCATCATTATTTTAATTACTTCAACATCCATATATATATAGTTATGCTAAATGGTTATTCCAATATTTTAATATTTTTTATCAAACCTTTTATGAATAGAATGCTGTATATCATATTAATTATTGATATGAAACCTCAACTTCTATTGTGTAAGAAACTTAGAAAATAATTAAGATAAACATTCTTTATAATCTAGTAAAAGAAAAATTAATTTGTAGATAGTCATTTAAATAATGCAATTCAACTTTTGATTTTTCTTTAATTAATTCTATAAACTGAGAGCCTTAAGATAGCATACTAATTGTGTCGTCTCTCGCTATTATTTAAATTTGATCATATCTTTTATCTTGAAAGAATGGTTATATATTTTGTTGGCATAATTCTTCATTTTATTGAAATAAATCAAAAAGAATAAACATACTTAGATGATGCTATCAAACGATTAATACATTGAACATTAACCTTTGTATAAAGTTCTTCATCTTTTATAGAATAATATTGAAGTATTTTCCAATATCATAAAATACCTATACTTGTATTTTATTTATTTATTTTTTCTATATATAATTATACATTTGAGATATAAATATATTTTTATTATGGACAACCCATTCATAATTATTCCATTCTTAGGAAGTGCTGCAACTGGTTTTGCTCTCTATTAGATAATACCATAACTTATTCAACTAAACAAGAAATATACTTAATTTTAACTTATCAATGAATTTACGCCAACATCACTTTTGAATTATTTTCATCGAACTTAACAAACTACAATTGAAGCATTTGTTGCAGGAGAATTAATATCAAATAGTCCCATCATTTCAAAACATCCTCTTATTATTAGTGAAAAACAAATATATTATGTTTATGAGAAGGGCATGTATTTTTCTCTTTTAATTTAATAGAAAAAAACTAATTAAAACCATATATTAAGGGGCTTCTCAATTAAGTATTGCAGATTATTATAATAAAATTGAAGTTTGGAGAAATTCAGCCCTCGTTTATTAACATTCAATGAATCATATTTGGGATAAATTTAGACCAAAGTAATTAAGTATCATCTAAAGGTTAATTAATTTTATCTTAAAAACAATGAATCAAATTAAAACTAAAAAACTATTTTTCAAAGGCTTTTATATTGGAGAACTTGAAAGAGAATATGGCATTATTGCTAAAGAATTTTATGTATTATATGGAGAAATTATACTTGATAAAAATTTAAATAAAATGTTTCTCTAAAATCCAAGATACATTCTAAAAAGTAAGAAATAATTGTTATAGCTAATATAAGAACAGATTAAAATTTCAAAAATAACAATAGGAATTCTTATAATATTATTTTTTATATGTACATACATTTTTGGATGTAATGTTAAAAACTTTATTTTTAAAATTCTTAAGGAAAGAGAAAAGGCAAGATTAGATAAGTTAAGAGGGTAAAAATACTTAGAAATTAATAATTATGAATGTTAGATTTGTTATGAAAGACCTAGAAATATTATTATTAAACCTTGTAAACATTTAACAATTTGTCATGAATGTTTATAAAGACTTAAATAACCTAAGTGTCCTATTTGCAAATAATAAATTGAAGATTAAATTGAAATCTTTTTTACTTGAAAATTATATGTAATAATATTATAATTATTCTTTCAAAATTCATCAACATCAGAATAAGTACCATCATCAGGTTCTGCTAGATTTTCCATAATCTCAATTATTTTAGTTTATTTTAATTTTTCACATTCCTACTCATTTTTAGCCAACAATGAACCTGTATATCCTACAGCATTGAATGATACTCCATTGAACTTTGATTATTTTCTAACTACAATCATCATAAACTCTTAAGTCATAATTAAATTATGTTTAAATTCCATAATATCCTCCACTCGACACTTATTTAATAACTATTCATAAGTTTCATAAATTAAATTCTATTACACTGACTCATTGCAATTTTTATTTTATAATAAATCTTAATTAAAAAATGAGACAAAATGTTTAATTCTTTTTAAATATCTTAACTTTATAAATTTAGCTCTATTATTTATACTTCTGTCAAACTATTATTCTTTTATATGATTTAATATATTTGCACTTTAAAATGCTGATTTCGGTACTATTTAAATATGTTTATGCTCTAAAGAAGCACCTGCCTCATTATGAGAATTAAAAAAAGCAAAACCTTCTAATGCACATAACACATCATATGCTAAACTTAAATAATCTTTGCTAAATTTCTCTGTTTAATGAATAAATTATTATGGTACTAATAATATATGATATGGATTAACAGGATATTTATTCAATAATATATTATATTTTTAAAGCTTCATCACTAACTATCCTGGCTAGAAAGGTTCAATTAAAGGATTAATCTATAATAATATTTATACTTACATTTTATTAATGATCAACAGGCTTCTTAGATAAAGATTTTACTAATTTTATGTGAAATTCTATTCCTTATTCATTTTTTGAAAATGTCTATAAAATATCAAATGGTTCAATAAACCCTTGATTTGCACTTACATTGTAACAATGTATTATTTATTTTTTTATACTCTCACGAAATTCTGTCTTTGTAATCTAAAGATACTTAATACTCACACTACCCCTCTAAACATTTTGTAGATTCCGTAACTGAATCCTATTGCAAATACTCCAAACAGTCCATTTTAAAATATTTGTGATTTCATTATAAATTAATTTAATACTATGACTTTATATTTAATATATAAACTATAACAATCAATTTTAGAACAATAATATATTTTTTTGATTAGAAGCTTATCGAAAAATAGTAAATATTTTATAAATTTACATTATTATTTATTTTTCATTTATTTTCTATATAATTATTTGTTAATTTTAGATTATCATCTTCTTTTTTTTTGGATTCTAATCTTCTTTGAGTACTTTTTCTAACAATATTTTCATCTAAACAAATAATTATTAAACTTTTATTACAAATTCTTGATTTTGTTATCATTAATTCAATACAAAAACCAAAAATAAATGCATTTCTAAAATGTTTAAAATACATTTTTCTTGCTTTTTATTAAACTGTCTATAATTTCTCTGCTGTGACTTCAAATGTATAAAACTTTCCTAATTTCTCTTAATCTTTTGATTATTTAGACATTTTTTATATGTGTCTTAAAAATGTTTTTAATTATAATTTAAATTCTTAAAATAAATGGAAGCACTTTATCAAAATTTTAGATATACAAATTATATTTAAAATTAAATATTGTATTTTTTCACAACAACAAAAAAAAGTTGCTTTTGTAATTTGAAAATGTGCAAAATAAAAATAAAATTTTCGGTAGTTTATAATGAGTTATTTAGAACAATTTCATAAATTTAATTCTTGGTTTTGAATAGAAAAAAATAAAATTTAATATTAACAGAAAATATACAACAATTAATATGGAAGCATTTATTGAAGATATGTAAGTGAATGACTTTCATAATTTCATGAATTTATTGTTAAGTATTTTTTGTTATAAATTTTAGATAATAAAAATATTGACTAATTGAATTTTATTACAATATTATTAATTTAATGATAAAATAGAATATAGAACAGAAAAATGGTGATGATGTAAAAAAAATAGTTGTAAAAGTAAATTAAATATATTTTTATTAGAGACATAATTATTAGAATGACAAATGACGTCTGTCAATTTAATTCATCGCTTAATATATCTCATAATTTAGTTTGATTTAATTATAAATTGATTAGTTTGTAAAATATGGATCCAAAAGGATAAATCTAAGAGTGTCATGAACTTAAATCAGTCGATTGTTCTTATGTGGATGATTAGGAAATGTGTTCACCATAAGGTTCACATAGTCATAATGACTCAGACTCATCATTCAGTTTGGCAGATCAAGAGAGGGAATGTAAGAAATTGTAAACTTAATCATCAAATGAAATAGAGATGACAAATAGAAAAAAAGGTATAATTATATTTAAGTTTTCAATTTAGGTAAACATGGTCTTAAGTATGCAAAAATAACTAATGAATAGAGAGAAGGTTTAATCTAATAAGTCATATAAACTGGATGTACTATAAAAAGTGCAGCATAATAACTAGGAATCAACTTCTCAACTGCTAAGGCAATTATGTAGATTTTCAAGAAAGAAGGAAGATCTTGTAAAAAAGTCATTCGTAAGAACAAAAAAAGGCAGACTTAATTGTACAAAAGACACTGCTTAGTAACCAAAGACTAAAGTAATATAATATTTTTATCCTAATCTAGGTAATCGATAAGAAAAACAATAAGTCTAATAAACAGATAAAATTGATAAAGAAATTATACTACAACCTATTTCCGTCCTGTAAGTTTAAAACAAATAATAACTTATCCTCATTTAATAACTTACAAGTCAAGTAAATAATATTTTTTATTTTAGAATTTGTTATATTAAGGTTAAGTGTCAAATTTATATCAAGAGAATGTTGTTCTAACTTAAAATTATCAATGTCTTTGTTAATAGTATTAACAGTTATAGAATATGGTACAAAATAATTATATATATTTAGATGTAATAAGTATTAATGAAAAAATAAAATTCTCTAGTAGTTCCATTCATTATTTCATGATTACTTATTTTTATTATTCTCTATTCTTAGTATTATTAAAAATTATTTTTTTTTCTAAAATAATTTTTTTTATCAATCCTTTATAAGATTTTATTTTATCTTTCAAACATTATAATTTTTATACATTTACATTAAAAAATAAAAAAATAAATTGTCGGTCAAAAAAAGGTCTAAAATAGATAATAATAGAAAATCTGATTATAAATAGCAAATTATCGATTACTATTTTGAATATATAACAAATAAATAAATATCTATTCAATTATTTTAATTATATTAAAAAAACAAAAATAAAGATGGAGAAAATTAATGTATTTACTATTGAATAGTAAATTTACATATAAATTATGTTAAGAATTTTTTATTTGCTTTTGTCTAAGATTATTTCTAGTTATTTTGAATATTAATATTTGATTACAGTAAAAATGGAACTTCAAATACAAAAATAGTATTTTTGTATTTGAAATCTTATAAAGATTTTGTGTGTATCTTTAATCGATAAAAAAGGGAAGCTGATTGAATATAACAAATATTGACATTTTTATATGATCTCCCCTCAGATCAAATTTATTGAAATCAATCAAGATAAGTCATTCATGCTAATTATTTTAACTTTTTTGACTCTCTTCTTTTTTATATTTTTTTTTTAGTGCCTTAATTTTATTCTATCCCTTTAGTTTCATCATTTTCAGTTTTATCCAAATTAAATTGATTTTATGCTTTTGTTATCTTATAATTAATCAATTAAGTCACATATTTAACTCTCTCTGTAAACATGTTGAATTGATTTTATTAAAAGTTGAAAATAGCAAAAGCAAGAACAATCTGAGAATGTTTATAAATTTCGAAATCTAATTAAATGATATAAAGAAAATAATTTACCCATTAAAACAAACATTATAAGACTAGAGATGTTTTCATTTATAGAAACACCCATAGCTATCAAATAATCAGATGGAGTTATGTGATTCAATTGATATTCTAAGCATTATAACAATTGAACTTCCATCTCATCATACTCTTAATCATCATATAACCCTTAACCTAAATTATTCAATAACTTAATTTGACCCATGGATTCTGTTTCATTAAACTTTCAATTATACATAAATTAATTACTTTTGAAGCTATTGAATATGCACATATTCCCAAAAGCTCTAAATATTAAGGTCCTATATTAAAAAAGTTTAAATAAGTATCTATATATAAGACAGCCAATTCCAAAGTTTTGATAGTGTGTTTAAATTGTTAAGATTGCTGTAATATTATGTTTTATTACCGAAATAACCCATTAAATTAGCATATCTCTTCTGCAAACACCCTAAGAATTTCCAATATAGAATGATAATTCACAATTAAACTTTTTATCCTAAAATTAACCAAGTCTTATACTTTATCTCTTGTGAATAATTCTTTTAATTATTCTTAATCGAATATCATTAATGATTTAATTATAATATAGTTATTTATCGATTTTTAGATTATTTAATAAAATAATAATTCAAGTAAAATTATGTAGTTATTTCAATATTATGATTTAGAAAAGCTTAAATGCTATTCTATTTAAAATTNTCTTTAATCGATAAAAAAGGGAAGCTGATTGAATATAACAAATATTGACATTTTTATATGATCTCCCCTCAGATCAAATTTATTGAAATCAATCAAGATAAGTCATTCATGCTAATTATTTTAACTTTTTTGACTCTCTTCTTTTTTATATTTTTTTTTTAGTGCCTTAATTTTATTCTATCCCTTTAGTTTCATCATTTTCAGTTTTATCCAAATTAAATTGATTTTATGCTTTTGTTATCTTATAATTAATCAATTAAGTCACATATTTAACTCTCTCTGTAAACATGTTGAATTGATTTTATTAAAAGTTGAAAATAGCAAAAGCAAGAACAATCTGAGAATGTTTATAAATTTCGAAATCTAATTAAATGATATAAAGAAAATAATTTACCCATTAAAACAAACATTATAAGACTAGAGATGTTTTCATTTATAGAAACACCCATAGCTATCAAATAATCAGATGGAGTTATGTGATTCAATTGATATTCTAAGCATTATAACAATTGAACTTCCATCTCATCATACTCTTAATCATCATATAACCCTTAACCTAAATTATTCAATAACTTAATTTGACCCATGGATTCTGTTTCATTAAACTTTCAATTATACATAAATTAATTACTTTTGAAGCTATTGAATATGCACATATTCCCAAAAGCTCTAAATATTAAGGTCCTATATTAAAAAAGTTTAAATAAGTATCTATATATAAGACAGCCAATTCCAAAGTTTTGATAGTGTGTTTAAATTGTTAAGATTGCTGTAATATTATGTTTTATTACCGAAATAACCCATTAAATTAGCATATCTCTTCTGCAAACACCCTAAGAATTTCCAATATAGAATGATAATTCACAATTAAACTTTTTATCCTAAAATTAACCAAGTCTTATACTTTATCTCTTGTGAATAATTCTTTTAATTATTCTTAATCGAATATCATTAATGATTTAATTATAATATAGTTATTTATCGATTTTTAGATTATTTAATAAAATAATAATTCAAGTAAAATTATGTAGTTATTTCAATATTATGATTTAGAAAAGCTTAAATGCTATTCTATTTAAAATTATTTATATTATCCAAAAATCAATTTTTATGAGTCTAACTTTTTAAAAAAATGAAAAAGAGATAATTTAATAATCTGATCAAAATTGAATAAATATTAATAACTTTTTAGAGAATATCTTATCGATATTAGAATAGAACTTCCAAATTAAAATTCAGCATAAAAAAATAATTTTAATTATATTTCAAAACATATAATAAAAAAAAAATAAAACAGATAAATTAGAAACAAAATATTTTCAATATAACTCTGCTTTATATTTTTGGATTAAGTCAATGATAACTTAGATTATTTTTTAAATATATTGATTCTTTTGATTAACATTTTTTAAAATATATTATATTATTGGGATAACAATCAGATTAGAAAAAATTTTAAATGAACAACATTCTTAGAAGAGGTTTTTTTTGTAAGACAAAGTTTCAAGAAAATTGCAATAGCATATAAAATGAAATTTCAAAATAAAAATAAAATTTCTAAAATCGTGAAAATTAATCTTACAAATTTTGTTTGAATTATAAATATTGTTAGATAGACATAAATAATAAAATGATTATGATAAATGTATTTTTAAAGTTAATAAGATCATAAAACTAACTATTCGCTCTTCAAAAAGGCTGGCACTCTTTATTTTTTTTAAACAAGATCTCTATATTATTAGAATCAGTTACTCTAAAAATAATTTTAATACACCGCTAGACTTATTCATTTCTAAGAATAATTTAGTTTTATCAAATTTTTATTATTTAGATATTTAGTCTTTATCAGGTTTAGAGAAGGGATCTTAATGGATTGAAAGAGGACGATTTAAGTTATGATAAAGAAATAGAGGATCTTCTTTCATTTAAGCATAATTCAACCTTATTTCATCATAAAAATTTTTCTATTCCTTTTGTTCCATGAATCTTTTTTCATAAGGTATATACCAATGATTATAAAATTTAGGTTTAGGAGAAGGTGATAAATGTTCTGAATATCTTGAAGTTTTATTATTTTCAATTAATTTTGGCAATGATTTAAAATTGTTTGATCTCGAACTTTGTGCTTCTTTGATATGTATGCTTTTTGTTCTTGGACAAATTTTCTGTTATTTCATGATAAAAGAGTTTATAATGATTATATAATATTTAATTATTAAATTTAACATTTTAAGAGTAGAATAAACTTAGTCAAACATTTTTAGTTATTCTTCCTGTCTATTTTTAAAGTTATTGTAATTGTTCTTCAGCTTATTTTAAATTCGTCCTTAAAATTTCATTTTCTTTTAATAAATTATCGTATTATATTTATGCAGTCACTGTTGCTTTTGTAGCAAAATAAGTTGAAATTGATTTTGGAATAGAATAAGCAATTCCAAGGACAAAAATTCCAATTAGTATATATTTAAAAGAAACTAATCCTATCGTTTTTGCCTTTTATAAAGAATTTTAATAAATAAAATTAAATCTTGTTTTATAAGCTTCTTTAAATTTGGAGAAACCCTTTTTTTATTCATTGAAATTTTATTAATATTAATTATTAAGATTAGATGCATCTTAGTAAAATTTATTGAAATAATTATTCCAAATGTTTTGAGATTATTTATCTTATTTAATATTATTTTAATTATAGTATTATTTCGATTAATTTGTATTATTTGATTATGTATAATTAGTTTATTTTTAAAATGATGATTAATTTTGAGATGAAGTATTCCAAAAAGTATTTTTTTGAATAAAATTAAATGAATTTTTGAATTTTAGGTTGTATTATTGTAATGTTTCTTTTGGGAATGTTTTTTATAATTAATTGATATATAAGTCTAATAATAATTTCTAGAATATACCTTTTTCTTTTTTTGCAAATTTCTTTAAATTTTTAATAGGATCACTGAGATAAATGTCTTTAAGAACTAAATATTAGATTGATTAATACTATTTGAATATTCTTTAAAATTAGAAATATGATCAAAAGTAGGTTTGGTTGGATCTTTAGCATTATTGGTTTAATTAATGTAAGTTTTTTCATTTTTCAATTATTGTGTCACTTTTTTTGCTTAAACTTTAGCTTGATTGACAATTTATAAAATTTTCTATAACATTTAATTTTATTAATGGATTTAATTATACTTATAAATTATTATCACTTTTTTCATCTTTCTTGTTTACCATCAATAATCATTGTCATATTTCGATGAAGTCTTTTTGTACCATCCTTAGGAGAATTTTTATTTGAATTAGATCCTTCATTATTAATTTTAGAATCTTAACCAAATCTCATAGCATTAATGAGCATAGTAACTCTTCTAGGCATAGGTAAGAAAGAATGAGAATTTTAAAAATTTAATTTTTCAATTACTTTTTTCCTTTCAATAGTTTTATCAATAGTTTTATCAATATTTTTATCAATAGTTTTATCAATATTTTATTTTTTTTCTGATAATTAATGAAAAGATACAGTAATTTTAGAATTTCTAGGTTTATCTTCATTAATTTTATCAGATGAAATTAATTAATGGGATATATTAGAATCTAATTCTATAACTAAAACATCACTTTTAACAAATCCATTATAATTATATCCTCCAAAAATGAAAATTTTAGTATCAATACAAGAAGAAGAATGTCCACATCTTCCAGGTATATTAGTACATTTAAATTCTAATTGAATCCAAGAAGAATTCTTAACATCAAACAAATATAAATCATTTAAGAATCCTTCAATAGTATTATCATCATTTTTTCCACCATATACAACAATGGTTCCCATAATTTCATTATAATTCATAGAATGTTAACATCTAGCAACTTAAAATTAAAATATTGTTTATACTAGGACTAGTTCCTTTATAATCAACTAATTCAATAAGAATAGGCTTCTAGTATACATCAATACGAATAAATGTATCTAAATAATTTCCAAATTTATCTTGTCCTCCAAATACATAAATTCCTTAATTAGAAAATTTAAGATCAGGATCTTATCTATAAATTTCACAAAACTTATTTTATGTAACTAAACAAGATTTATGAAAAGCGATTCCATTAGCATATAATTCATGTGGATTAATATTTAATGGAATCCATTTAGATTATGAAATATCATAACAAAGTAAATCTTTAAGATAATTACCTCTATTATCAATTCCACCAAATATTAATAAACATCTTCCAACTATTTCACCGATATGGCATTTTCTTGGTAATATTGTTCCTGGTTATTTTATCAATTTAATATCAAAAGATGCTTAATAATATATAATTATATATTTACTTAATGAAATAGTTTTTATATCACTTGTACATTCACTTACTATTTTATGATTTGATTATTCAACATGAATTTCTCCACCAAATAAAATCATATAATTTTTATATATTCCAGCAGTATGATGAACTCTATATCCATGAATAGATTTTTCATCTAATTTTTAAGGATTCCATTTATAAAATTCTATTTTAATATATTCTATTACATTTATCAACTATAGCTACACACAAATCTTCTTATTAAACTGAACTTGAACCTCCATATAAATATAATTTACGATCAAAAGTAACCATAGTACTTCCATCTCTTGAACAAGGACCCCAAAAATTATAATCAATATTATATGCATATGCAAATTATTTTTTTATTTAATTTAATACTACTTATGATTCAAGTATTCTTTTTTATAATTATTCAGCATCAGCATTTCTTTCTTATAATTATTATACACCTCCTAATCTTACTTATTTTCTTAGTAATTCCAATTTTTATTAATCTTAATATGCTAAAGAAGGATAAACTTTTATTCCATTTGTTTATGAATGAATCTTTTTTAAAACTTATTTCACTTATTTTATTTAATCTTCTTCTTATTTTTTATATTACTTTCTTAATTTATGAAATATCTCTCTATTATGAATTAATTATAATTTTCTAGAAGTATTAGATTATTATTATTATTGATCTACACTTTCTATTTCATCTAATGATGAATCTCCAAATAGATATTTACTGTAATTATTCCATACCATTTTTGATTATTATAAAGATCGTTTTAATTCTGAAACTGCACCTTGATTAAGATCTCTAAATGAAACAAAATTTTAAATATCACAATCTGGTTAAATTTAAAGTAAATCACAATTTTCATTTAATGCCATTGAATAAAATTAATTTAGAGGTAAAGGACTTAATTTATTATGTGTTTTTTTATATTTTTCAAATAGAGTCGTTATATCCATTTTTGTTTTTGTATGATAAGAAAGAGAATCTACTTTAGGACTATAAATGTCCATTTTTTATTATTATAATTATTTAATATGTAAAAATCTTGGGAAACCTTATGTAAGAATCTTAGAAGTCCATTCTTATAGCATTTTTTAGATATTTAAACACTTATTGATGAACTTAGTCAATAAATTGATTAAACATAGATTTGTCATGAAATTGCAATTCAAATTTAAGAAATGATATCTTAAATAGTTTAGATGTAAATTTATATAATAAGTTTAGTATAGATATTGAACATTAACATTTACTTGATGGATTTGAATAGAGTGTTTTATTATTTGCATAAATTGATTAAGAGGACAGAGTCAAATAGTTTGAAACATTAAATCTCATATAAGAGTTATTTAATAAATTAGCATTATCATATTTTTATAGTGATGATCTAATAAATGAAAAGAAAGTANCTTCCATCTCTTGAACAAGGACCCCAAAAATTATAATCAATATTATATGCATATGCAAATTATTTTTTTATTTAATTTAATACTACTTATGATTCAAGTATTCTTTTTTATAATTATTCAGCATCAGCATTTCTTTCTTATAATTATTATACACCTCCTAATCTTACTTATTTTCTTAGTAATTCCAATTTTTATTAATCTTAATATGCTAAAGAAGGATAAACTTTTATTCCATTTGTTTATGAATGAATCTTTTTTAAAACTTATTTCACTTATTTTATTTAATCTTCTTCTTATTTTTTATATTACTTTCTTAATTTATGAAATATCTCTCTATTATGAATTAATTATAATTTTCTAGAAGTATTAGATTATTATTATTATTGATCTACACTTTCTATTTCATCTAATGATGAATCTCCAAATAGATATTTACTGTAATTATTCCATACCATTTTTGATTATTATAAAGATCGTTTTAATTCTGAAACTGCACCTTGATTAAGATCTCTAAATGAAACAAAATTTTAAATATCACAATCTGGTTAAATTTAAAGTAAATCACAATTTTCATTTAATGCCATTGAATAAAATTAATTTAGAGGTAAAGGACTTAATTTATTATGTGTTTTTTTATATTTTTCAAATAGAGTCGTTATATCCATTTTTGTTTTTGTATGATAAGAAAGAGAATCTACTTTAGGACTATAAATGTCCATTTTTTATTATTATAATTATTTAATATGTAAAAATCTTGGGAAACCTTATGTAAGAATCTTAGAAGTCCATTCTTATAGCATTTTTTAGATATTTAAACACTTATTGATGAACTTAGTCAATAAATTGATTAAACATAGATTTGTCATGAAATTGCAATTCAAATTTAAGAAATGATATCTTAAATAGTTTAGATGTAAATTTATATAATAAGTTTAGTATAGATATTGAACATTAACATTTACTTGATGGATTTGAATAGAGTGTTTTATTATTTGCATAAATTGATTAAGAGGACAGAGTCAAATAGTTTGAAACATTAAATCTCATATAAGAGTTATTTAATAAATTAGCATTATCATATTTTTATAGTGATGATCTAATAAATGAAAAGAAAGTATAAATACCTATAAATGATGGAACCTCTACATGTTCAGATTTCTCTGATGATACATTTGAAGTTGAAGATTTTGAAGCTTAAGTTGCTTAAGAGCTCTTTTAATAAATTAAAGGTTAATTGTAGGATCCTGATGTTGAATAGAAATGTTATTAATTCTAATTTACTATATTTTAGGAAGAATTAAATATCATGGATTTTTTTAACGATTCTCTTGAATTATAAATTAAAGAATATGATGTGATTGTCTTTTTAAATTATTCAGGATTACTATAAAAATTGATGAATTATAAATAAGAAAATTAATTAGAATTCTTTGTAGGTTAATTATATATCATACTTAACAGAATTAAGAATGATGAAATTGATTAAATGATTGAAACCAATTGTTTCGAACTTAAATATAGTAGATTATCATAAAGAAAATTCTTAAGATGTAAAATATTATCCAATTTATATACTAAACTTGTCTATGAAAAATTAGATAGATGGAGAAATACTTAAAATATTTAAGAAATTCAAGGTGAAAATTTAAAGGCCTTAAGAAGATTTATTGTTTAACATAAGGCACCATTAAGTAGATGGGAAGTTAGTATTTTATCAATTTAAGATGTTCAAATTAATAATGAAAATATCTTAGATAAATTTTAAAAATTAGTTATTGCACTTTCACTTCCTTATGACTTACTTTTAGAAAATTTCACTATCTTAGATAAATTATATGTTAATTTATAGTAATTCTAAAAATGGTTTAAATTAAGTTCTATTCCATTCACAGTTTCTGAAATTTCTCAATTATTTCAATAAGTCAGTTAAACCTATGGATATTATACCAATTAAGGTATTAAAGTAATTTAAAGAATTGACTTCTATCACTTTTTAGAAACTGTTTATGCACTTAATTAAAATGAAAATATTACTATAGAAAAACCTGATACAAAAAATGTTAAATATAATGATGAGATTACTATTCAATAATATAATAGACATTTATAATTAAAAGTCAATGATTTGTAATAACAATTAAATTAAAAAAACATTATTATTGAATAATTAAAAAAAGCTTAATAAGATTCATAATAAACATCCAGAATAAAAACTAATAAGTCAAATAATGAAATTAAAGATAAGGAATCTCAAATTAAAATAGAACTGTTACATTAAGCAGAAATAAATTCTATAAAAAATGAAAGTTAACATTAAATAAAAGTAGTTGAATTAAAATGGAAAAATAAAACAAAAGAATTGTTATTTGAATTAGAAAATAAAGATAAATAAATAGATTAATATAGAATGTAACTTGAAGCCTTAATGAAAGAGCTTGAATGTGTAAAAACTGAGAGAAGAACTAAATGAATCTAATATCACTTTAATATATTTTATATAAAATATTATCAGATATTGAAAACTTTAATAAATTATTTTCTATTTTGAACTTAAAATTCAATTTCTATTTATTCTATTTTTTATTCCCATTCTAATTATTTATAATTATACCTAATAGATATCCCGTTTAGAAAAGTTTATAAATAACTTAAATTCAAATCTACAAAAATAATTTGAATATTTATCTATGATTATTTAGATCACTTCTAAAAACACTTTTAACTTGTTATTTTAATAACATAATAATATCAATAAGATTTTCATTATATACAATCATTTTTCATTCCAGTTCTTAAATAATAACTAAAATTTTTAGCATTTTAACTCTAATACTTTTATTACTCATAGTGGAGTTGAACTTAATTTTTTAAATTTTCTATATATTCTTCCAGAAAATCAAATTTATCTAATTGTTCTAATATCTCAAAAGGTAAATCCCATTTCACATTAACCTAACCATAATCAATAATCCATTAAATTAGATTCTCTATTTTTTTTTTTGTATTTTATATTGCAATCCCCCATTTATTTTAATATTCAACAAAATCTTTCTTTCTATTCTAATAAACATCTTTTAATTCTTTTATTTCCTTCTTTATCAATTTTATGTTATCCAAAATAACTTAGAAATGATTATGATGTCCATTATGATTTTATTACATATATAATGATATTATTTATATTTTATTCACTCTGTATCATCATCACATTTTTCTAATCCATGTTAAAGTTTTTGCAATTTTTCTTAATGATTTTGCAATTTTACTTCAAAAGAATCTTTTTATTTCTTAATCTTTTATCTCTTTTTTTCTATCTATTCTCCATTCTTTACTAAACTCTATTTTGTTTAATTCCATCTCTTATAATTTTCTTAATACTAATTCTTTCTTTCTTCATATATTGAATGGAAAATATCATGAATTTCTTTTTAAATTGTTTTTAATTAAGTTTCAAATCCCTTCTTATCCTATATTATTATATTTCAAAATAAATTACATCTAAATATAATAATTATTCTTCTTTTTCTTTAATCCTATCAAATAAGTTAGCTTCATTTAATGCTATTTCAAAATCTGGAAGGGGATCTGGCTTATATGACTCGAGTTTTAATTATTCTTGAATTAACTATTCAAGTTCATATTCATCTTATTATTAATTTTGTGCAAACTCTTATTACAATTTAGCTAGTGTCTATAATTCATTTTCAATTGCCTTTATAATATTAATTTCATTTTACTTATTATTTCTTTTATTATTGTTCTTTAATTTTTTTTTATCTAACTTCTTACTTTTTCTTCTCCTTCTCTAAATTCAATAATTTTTCTTAATCAATAGTTGCATGCATTTGAATTAGTACTTATTGGAAATCATTCTAAATAATAAAATTAAAAGTCCTACAATTGCATATAAATCACTTGTGTTTGACACTTAAATTGTATCACCTTCTTCATCCTAATAAGATAAATCAATATCAGTAATAATTGAATATTTTTGCAATATTTCTTGTATAAGTTCTTCATATGAGGAAACACCATAGTATGTATCAGTTTTTCCCTCGTATTCAATTTAAATATCCATCTATTTTTTTTAATATTGATTTTTATTTCTAATTTCTTTGATAAATTTAAAAAAAAACACATTATAGAATAAATTTCATCATAATATAATATTTTTTTTATTCAACTATTCTACATCATACTTAATAAAATATAATTAAGTTGACAAAAGGAACAAAAAAAATTACATTGAGTCAATAAGATATATTTTAAATGATAATTATGAAAATTGATTCAAACCTAAATAATGATGATTTTTATAATTAATATGTATTGGTTTCTTTATAATAAAAAAACTATTATTCTCTTAAATCAAGAGTAATATTTAATAGTTTAAGTATAAAATAATTATTTTGATAAAATAATATTGTGTTGATTAGTATGAACATATATTTTTAAGTAAATAAAAATATTGTTTAGATAGATATTGATATGGAGAGAGAGAGAAAATTAAAATTAAAAAAAAGAAGAATATATAAAGCTTCTATTTAAAATCCAAATTAAAAATACTTTGAAAAAAAAAGAATAACAGTAATTAATTTAATGATAAAATCATAAACTTCTAGTATAAAGAATAATTTAGGAGGTTCAAAAAGATATATATCTCCTTATGAGAGACATGAAAATCAAGATGGTGATTTTGTAAGAATAATTAATTTAAGTTAAAATAGATACAGGTTGAATAATAAATAGGTAATCAAACAAAATCTAGAATGATAAATCCAGAGAATTCAGAATAAGTTAGTGTGATTGGTGAAAATAATATTAAACTATCTAATTTGAGTCATTTTGCATAATACATGTATGTTCCTTGTTTAATTCACCCTAATTTTTTTATAACATCTTTATGTTAAGAATAAGTATAAATAATCTTAATTAGAATTGCGTAGAGCCATTATGTGCTGAATGTATAACAAATCATTTAGAATTTCATCGAAAAAAGGGAAGAGTGCCTTAATTTGAGAATATTTTAAATTTAAGAAAAGAGACAAGTTACAAGATAGATGATCTAATAAAAAATTTATAAACAAAGTTAAAGGAAGCTAAGACTTCTATAAATAATTAAACAACTTAAATGATGTATAATGATGCATATGAGTAAATTAAATTAATACATGGTTAAATATAGGATATGATAAATGATCATTTTCAAAATCTATATAAATAATTAAATGAATGGAATTAAAATGAGTAATCAAAATAATTAAATTTCCTTGAGGAAGAGATAAATCAATAATAGAATGAATTATTACAATTGTAAGAAGAATTACATAATGAAAATTATGTAAAAGCTATTACTTAAATATGCAAAAATAAAGATAAGATATATAATGAAAAGAATATATTTAAATTGGATTTAATAATTTAGGATTAAAAATAAAGTAAAGTGGAAGTTATTTTAGAAAAAAATAATTTAGAATTGTTTTAAATTTATTGTAAAAAGCTTTGTTATTTGACAAAGAATAAAACATAGTAATCTATTTCTCAGATAAAATAATCTTCATAAATTTCTTAATAATTATAATCTTAAAAGGTAAAGTAAATATAGGAATTAGATTAAAAATCAAAATAATCTTCATTGATTTTATCTAAATTAGTATCAGCAGATATTCCTCCTATAGTGAATCCAACATCTTTGATTTCTGAGAAATTAACTAATGATACAGCTAAATGTAACTTTAATACTGAAAATCATTTTGAAGATGGAAAAGATTAAATTATTGTAAGATTAGAAGAAGGTGGATCGACTGCATATATTTATGATATTTAAACATAAAAATATAGAATAGAAACAATAAATAGTACTATTAAAATACCTATGTGTCATAAATTATATACAACAACATTTGGTAAGCATTTAATAATAGGTGGTGTTGATAAAGAAAAGTCTAGATTCAAAGCTATTCCACATGTATATGAATTTAATCACAATACTCTTTAATTAAATCTTCATTCAGAAATGATTTTAGCTAGATCATTAACATCAGCATGTTAAGTAGATAATTTCTTATATGTTGTTGGTGGGTCTTCAACAAATGATGAAAATACTGCTATGGCTAAAGCAGAAAAATTAGATCTTACTACAAGGAAATGGTATACAATTGAAGATCCTTTTTATAAAACATCTGGATGCTCTTTGATTCCAATTAATCATAATACAATATTTAAATTAGGTGGAAAATCTGATATTTTTACACCTTCTAATACAGTTGAATCATATGATATTCAAAAGAATCTATGGGTAAACTTTATTCTATTTTTATTAGACTAATATTGATTTTAAATTTCTATCATAAGGATATCTAAGATTACCATTTTAAAGTTGTGCTATTAATATTTCGAATGATCAAATTCTTATCATTGGAGGTTCAATTCATGATGTAAGAACTGATGAGACTTAAGTAAATAAATTTATATATTGATAGATTTTTAATGTAAAAAACAAAACAATTCAAAAATCATCTCAATTACCAAGCTCAATTGAATTTCCTACATAAACAGCTATAATTTAATCTAATACCATATTTATTTTAACTGATAATGAGTAGCCTCTATTAATTGGTAATTCAGATGGATTTAAATATTAATGATATTATGAATTATTTTATGCAACTGCAAATTCTTTAAATTTTTTATAATAAATGTCACAAAAATTCAAGATCTAATTTATGTTGTCTTAAATGTGATGATAATTTCTTTTTTGATAATTTCTAACAATAACAATTAATTAATTCTTAAATTTTGATTTCTTTATTTTAATTATTTTTAGATAATTTTATTTATACTTTGCTTGTTTATTGTAATTTATCTTTAGATAAAAATTAATCTTCAAAAGCATAAAAAATATCTTTTTATATTTCTGGTTTATTTTTCATTTGTATTGATTCATTTTTTTAAGTCTATTTTGATTGATTCCAAAAATACAATGATCTTGTTCTTTGAGTTCTGGTTGTTTTATTTGAAATCTATTGTAAATATAATTTAGGATCCATATCAATATTAAGATCTGAGTCATTATTAAAAATACTTGGCAAGAAGACTCTATTGTTATTATTTTTTAAACTAAAATTTCTTATCTTTGTTGACATATTAATATTAATTATTATTATATAAATATCACAAATTACAACTAAATAAGGATTAAATATTTTTTAAAAAGCGGTATAAGTACTCTACTATTCCAATTTCATTTATCTTGAAGAAAATCAAATTTGTATTTTGATTACATTAACTTATAAGTGCATCTGCTTTATTAAATTATTCAGCACAATAATCTCTCATATCAAATTAATCTATAATATTAAATTTATTCAATTACCTTATTAATCATAAATGAAAGTCATATCATAGTAATTTTATTGTATAATTGTAATCCAACCAACTTGAATAGCAAAGTTAATAGATGTAACATAATATTTTAGACTTTTATAAGTTCGTCCCATAAGATTCCAAAATTTAGCTTATATAACACAATTTGATTATGACAATTCTTACAAATTGATATTATTTAATTTATCTTAAGCTTCTTATATTTCATTTTATTCTATATTTTTTTCAATTAAATTAAGTTTATATTCTAAATATTATTGATTCAGATGAAACTACTTACAAAGTTTAATGATTTCTAAGTCATTCTCTCCTTCCTTTAATAATTTCTTGACTCTAAGTTTAGGATCTTATGATATATAAATCTTACTTTTAATAGGTACTATTCCCAAAGATTCAGATATATATGGATCTGGATTCATTTATAATAATTGAACCATAATTTATTTAATGTACTTGATAGACATTGGTTCATTAATAATTTAAAAGTACTCTAAACATATATTTAAAATGACTAAAATAGATTATTCACTTAAATTATAGGTAGTTTCAAAACATTATTAGAATTGTGACAATGTATAAATTGGTTGATGTAATGCTATATGACTCAAGGCTTCTAATTAAAGTGATAGAGTTTAGTCATTTTGTTCAAATTATTACAATTAATCTAGTGCATTTTGAATCATGGTTGAATTGCCATAATTATTAGCACATACTAATTAATAGGCAGTAATAGATTATTCAATATCTGGTGTATGAGATTGTAAAATTTATTTTAAACTTTAATGTATAATATCCTTCCAATTGATATGTTTCTTTTTCAATAATGAATAATTAATTTATTTGTATCTAATTTATGATCCATAAATTAAAGCACTCTATAATTTATGTTATGGACTCAATTGTTAAGCATGATTTACAGCATATTCTAATAAAAGGGTAGCCTATAAATACGGAATTAATTTTACTTATTTTTAATAATTGTTACGATAAGCAATTTCAAAGAGATTTAATAAACAAAGATTGATGCTTTATTCATCTGATACAGTTTATGATAATCTGAGACCTTCTGATAAACTATTTAAAGCTTCATCATAGAAATTCATTTTCATATTAAGAAATATTGAATTCATTATACAATGATTTACTTTTTTAGGAACAAGTGTATTTAATGTCATATCATAATATTTCCGAGAGAATTTTATTGCTCTAAATGGATATCTTAATAAAGCATATAAAAGAGCTTTTAAAAAATTCACTTTACTATTCTCATTTAAATTAGGTTATTCAATTATTTATTTCAACTCTTCTAAATTTACATAACTTGAACTTGCTATGAAATAAATTAAAATTAATACTTTATAGTTTAGTAAGTAAGAATTCAATATATGAATCTGTTAAGAATGGATTATTTTATAAATGATTATCTTAACCTTCTTTGAAATCACTCCAAGATTTTAACATTTAATTAAAATCCATTTGATTAAAAAGTAATAACATATTTCTAAAAAATAAATCGACAACACTTCCTCCTGGAGTTTTTTATTATTATTTTTCACGAAGTGCTGTTATTACTATTAAATAATTACTTTCTCCAATTATCTTATGAAATTTATTCATAGAAGTAATTTGTAATAATTCAGGTTCAATATGACTAAGAATGGTATTTTACAATGTTGGATTATTAACAATTTCCATTACATCATGAATCTTATTAAATATAAACTAAGTGCTACTTTTAAATACTCAGTTAAGAGATCATAAACTGATTGACTAGGTTTACGTAATAGTAGAATCAATAAAATGAGGTTGTTGTTCATTATTTTTTTCAAATTTAAAATATTTAATTCAATTAATATAAAATTAATATATATTATATATAATGAAATTTTTGTTAATATGATATGATAATTATTTAATTCAATTGTTAGATAGTAATAAATAGAATTAGAAAATACTCTGAAATAAAATAGAATTATTTTGTTGATAATACTAATGTAATTAATTGGAGTATAAATTGATAAATAAAATAATTATAAATGGGAGGAAAAGAATCAAAGGGATATTAAAATGATCGCTAAATTATAATAAGAGAGATATATACTAAAACAACAGAGTAAGATCAATCTTAGACTTCTTAAGTAAAACCAATAGAAAAGGTTTCTAATCCTTTTCCAGAAATACCAAACTATATGGATTAATTAAGTTAAGTTTTACCTGAAAATAAGTATCCTAAAGTACCAAATTATTTGACTCATGAATTGATTACAGATTTATAGATGTTAAAACATATATTAACAACAGCATCTACTTGTTAATAAAAATCAAGTAACTTAAATATTGATCAACCTCTTTATTCTTCTAAACTAATAGAAGTTAATCAACATCAAAATAAATTACAATCGTTTTAATCTTCCTTACTTTTTGAGATTTAATAAGGATAATTGTCATAAATTATATAAAGTGATGAAGAAGAATTAATGAAGATAAAGTTAAGTTAAATTGTAGAGAGTTTTAAGTTAATAGCTAAATATGCATTTTATTGTTAAGGTTTATTAGACAGAATACCTGAAACATCAAAAGAATTTCTAGTTTCATTAAATAATCTTATATTGAGTATTAATATGAATTCTATCTTATTATAATTTATAGGATATTATGATTAAAATAATAAAATGATAAGAGAAAATGCTTAGTCTTTATTTCAATAATTTTTAGAGTCATAACAATTCAATTAAATGATTTTAAAACATTTAGAATCAGTTAAGGAATAATTAAATAATTTAGTACCTATATTATAGAATATAAATGATTGTTCAAATGTTTACTAATATGAAAATGAGAAGGATGAATCACTTATTGAAATTTATCAAAAAATTTAAACAGAACCTAAAAAATAGGAATTTTAAATTAAATAATTAATTGAATAAAAGTATTAAATATAATATTATACTAGATAATATTAATAAAAAGGGATTGAAAAAGCTGAATAGATTTTGGAAGATTAAAAATATGAGAATTTTGTTCAAACTAAATTAGATGAAAGTGAAGGTTCAAAATAATTCACTTTATTATTGAAATAGTTCATAGATATCTTGGAATAGAAAATATAGAATTGGGAAAATATTTTGAGAGAGATACTTAAAGCAACAACTGAAAAAGAAAAAATAAGATAACTTTTATGCGAATTTAGCAAATTGTAAATTTAATCTTCGTTATATTTGGTACATTTTTGTATTAACGAATTACAATATAAATTGGTATATGATGATTCAGTTGCTTAGTTATAGAAATTGGTTCAAAGAATAGATAAAATATGATATAAATTAAATATATATAATGAATGCTCCATTCCCAGAGAAAATTATTGAGAAATTTGTACAGTTTTTTATTTTAATTCTTCATAGAATAAATAAATGGAAGTATTTGTAAAGCATGAAGAATTATTAATGAAATAGAGACAAGCATATGAATAAAAACTTAATAATGTTTTTGATCGAAATTTACAACTTGAAGAGAAGGATAGAAGTATGCATGAATAAGTATTTATTCATTTAAATAGATCTAATCATCAAGATATTAAAATGAATAGTTGAAAATATAATAGGATAAGCTAAAACAATTATAAGAAATATAGAAATAAAAGAAAGACAAAAAATAAGCAGCAAATTAATTATGGTAATAAGAACAGAAGTAGCATGAAAAAGAAATTCAATAAAAGTTATTTGAAATACAATAAAAGATCAAATATGAAGAATTTAAAAGAAAAACTGATGATTTAATGAATTAATTAGATAATAATCTAAGAAAACTCAATATGCGCTATTTAGAGAAATAGGAAAGGAAAGAGAAATATTTGAATGATTTCATAACTTAAAAATAATAAACTCTAAATACTTCAATGCAGATTACTGAATCACATCATTAAAATGTATATTCCAATTATTAATAATAAATGAAAAGAATATAAGAAGTAAAAACTTTCTAAAATTTAGATATGCTAATTGAAACTTAAAAAATATGAAAACAAAATCAAATAGATCAATTAATAAAAATTATCATAGATTGATTAACTTACCTAAAAGGCTTAACATAGTATTGAACATTAGGAAAACATTAAAAATAGATATTCTTAGATATACTAAAATAAATTAGCAAATTTACAAAATAAAATGAATTATTTTTAAGATAAAATCAATCAAATCGAAAAAAAGAGATTATAACAATTATAAATGAATTATCTATAGGAATAAGAAATCAATTAAAAGAGAAATATGGCAAGAGCAAAATCAGAGAATATCTATAGAAATAAATCTATCAACATTATGAATAAATAATTCGAAAAAGAAAAAACCTTTTAATAAGTGTAATAACATAATCAATTACAATTATAATTAAAATTATAGAAATTAAATTAAAAATGGTAAACTCAGTAGAATTAAGTTCAAAAGGCTGATTAATTAAAACAATCATATTTTTCATCTTTGGAATTAAAAATAACATAGAGAGATTAACGATTATAAGATTAGATGTACTATAATAATAATAATCTTACACTAGTTTAAATAAATTGGATATCCAAAAGAGAAGATTGAAAGTTATTGAAGATATGGAAAGACAAAAAAGAGATCTTCTTATCAAATTGGAATAAGATAAAGTTCCAATTACAAATACGTCTGAAATGAAATATTTGTATAGCACTCCAAAATAATAGTAATCTAAATTGTTTATTACATGATGATAAATCTGCATATATAAATAAATGAGAAAAATTATATATAGATTTTCAAGAGCCACTTATCTTGATTTTTAAGCAACAACTCCCACAGATTACAGAGTTTTGGATGCTATGTTACCATATCTAACTAATCAATATGGTAATCCTCATAGTAAAACACATTCATTTGGATGGGAAACTGAAAAGGCAGTGGAAAAAGCAAGATCTTAAGTAATATTTCTCATTTATCAAATAGATAGCAAATTTAATCAATACTTAACCTTAAAGCATCATTTTTACTTCAGGAGCAACAGAAAGTAATAATGCTGCATTAAAGGGTTTATATGGATTTTATGGAAAATAGAAGAATCATATAATTACCTCTCAAACTGAGCATAAATGTGTTTTAGATACTTGTAGATATCTAGAGGATAAAGGAGTAGAAGTAACATATTTACCAGTTGATTCGAATGGTTTGATTTGTTTGAAACAATTATAAGAATCAATTAAATCCAATACATTATGTGTGAGTGTAATGCTTGTAAATAATGAAATTGGAGTAATTTAAAACTTGAAAGAAGTAAGTAGAATATGTCATGAACGTGGAGTGTATGTTCATTCAGATATGGCATAAGCAATAGCAAAGATTCCTGTTGATGTTTAAGATCTAGATATAGATTTAGGTAGTATTTCAGCTCATAAGCTTTATGGACCAAAAGGAATTGGAGCATTATATGTTAGAAGAAAACCAAGAGTTAGATTATAATAAATAATTCATGGAGGAGGTTAAGAAAGAGGTTTAAGAAGTGGAACTTTAGCACCCCATTTATGTGTAGGATTTGGTAAAGCTGCAGAAATTGCATTAACAGAATTACCATATGATATGTAACATGTTGATAAATTATACAACAAACTTATAACTGGAATAAAAGAGAAGATTCCTTAAATATAAATAAATGGATCATTAGAACATCGTTACAAAGGAAATTTAAATGTTTCATTTGCATTTGTTGAAGGGGAATCTTTAATAATGGCTATAAAATAAGTTGCTGTATCATCTGGATCTGCTTGTACATCTGCCTCTTTAGAACCTTCTTATGTTTTAAGAGCTTTGGGAGTTTAAGAAGATATGGCTCATACTAGTTTAAGAATTGGTATTGGGTATGTATATTAATTAAATATTAAGTCGATTTACTACAGAAAAAGAAATTGATTTTTTACTTGATTAATTGAGTTCAGCTGTTAAGAAATTGAGGGAAATGTCTCCTTTATGGGAAATGCATTAGGATGGAATAGATATTAATAAAATTGAATGGACTTAACCACATTGAATATATATTAATATAAAATAGATGTTTTAAATTCCTATGATTTAATTTAATTGTTATTGTCTGCTAATTTTAATCTTGAATTAATAGAAAGAGTTTAGAATAATTTTTATTAATTTAAACTCTATATTTCATTCGAAGTGAATTACATCAAACAAAGATTTTTTTATATTTATTCTGAATTTAAATGATAATTTTAATTCTTTTAATAAAATCAATTTTCTTAAAGAGATTTAATAGATTTAACACTCAAAACTAAATTAATCATATTTTACATTAGGATTTAATAAATGAATAAATAATATTCCTTTATAGAACTTCTATTTATATAATATTTATTAGATCTAATCTTAAAATTAATATTTCATTTTCAAAATAATTTTGTAAATATTGATGCCCAATTTATTCTAATATTCATTTTAAATAGTTAAAAATATTATTTCTATTTTAAATTGTATTTAGGTTCAATAATAATGAAGTCATTTATAAATGATTTAAAATATCTCTATTTTGTTGAATAAAATTTTATGTTTTTATTATTTTTAACAATTATTTTGAAAAAACACATAAATTATTTAAATTTAGTAAATGAAAGTAAAAATGAAATTTGAATTACATTTTGTAATAATATTGAAAGAGATACAATAAATTTATATTTTTAATAACATAATAATAGTAATATAATTAGGTCTGTAGGGTGGATGTTGCAAAAAGAAATAAATTAATGATAAAATATAGGAATTTTTAAATAAATTAATATAAATGAGCAAACATCGTCATTCTAAAGATAAATTATATGTGACATATAGCGAACATATGTTAGAAAGAGGTGGTAAGAAAGAGAATAAAGCAACTCCTTTAACTAGATTACCATTTGATCATTGTTCACTATCACTTGAACCATTTAAAAATCCTGTTTGTACTAGTGAAGGTCATGTATTTGATATTGTTAATATTGTTCCATTTATTAGAAAATACAAAAGAAATCCAATAGATGGATAGCCACTTAAGAATGTTGATTTGATTTAGTTAAAATTTCATAAAAATGATAAAGGAGAATATCATGATCCTATAAGTTTTAAGGTATTTACAGATCATACTAAATTGGTTGCTATAAAAGTAAGTGGGAATGTTTATACATCTGATACAATAGAGGAATTAAATCGTAAACCTAAATTTTGGAAGGATCTGATAAGTGGTGAAGTTTTTAATTATAAAGATATTATTGTATTGTAGGATCCTAAAAATATAGAATCAAGAACAATAAAGAATTTTGATTTCTTAAAAAACAATCTGAAATTAGATTAATAAACAGAAGATGATGTATACGTAAATTTAAATGATAGTGGAAAAAGAATTATGGAAATGGCATAAGAATAAAATGTACATAGATAAAAAGAATAAAAAGAAAGAGAGAAGTAAACTTTTGAAGAGATTGAATAAATCAAAAAAAAAGTTAAAGAATAAATGGAATCAAATTAATTAAGCGTAAAAGAATTTTTAGAACTCTCTTCAAAATCAGGTGATTTTGTATCTGAAAGATATGCAACTGAACATGATTCTGTTAGTGTTACTAGTACATAAATGACATTAAAAACTAAACCTTTAGGATAAGTTTAATATAGAAATATGAACGAAGATGAGATTAGAAAGTTATTATATGAAAGAATAAGAAAAGCAGGATAAAAAGGATATGTATAATTAATTACAAATTATGGAAATATTAATTTTGAGTTACATTGTGATTTAGTCCCTATGACATGTGAAAACTTTTTAGAATTATGTGAAAAAGGTTATTATAATTAAACAAAATTTCATAAATTAATTGAAAATGAATTATTAGAAGGTGGAGATCCAACTGCAACAGGATATGGTGGAGAATCTATATTTGGAAAACCATTTAGAATAGAGATAAATAATTTATTATCTCATAGTAAAGCTGGAATAGTTTCTATGGGAAATCTTGGAGCAAATCATTAAACATCACATTTGTATGTTATTTATATAAACATAATTAGTTTTATAACTTTAGCTGAATGTAAAAAGTATGATGGTAAATATGCTGTATTTGGAGAAGTAGTAGGAGGATATTAATCATTATATCAGATTAATAAATTACCTACTAATATGTGGTAAAGACCTGAAGTTACAATTAGATTAAAAGAAATAAAAGTTATTAAAAACCCTTTTAGAGATATGATGAAAATCATGTTATAAGAAAAGGAAGTTGAAAAGGAGTAAAAATTGTAGGATAAAGAAAAAGAAAGATGGTTAGATGATGATGGATTTTCATTACCTACAAAAGTTTCAACTACTTCACAAATTAAAGGATTAGGATTAGCTTCTAATCTTATTTAATAGTTCAGTACATAAGAACTTTAAAAAAAATAATTAAAATAATATTCATTTGATAGTTGGTTATGATTATTAAAGTATTTTATATATATATATATTAATATATTCACATCATGTCATTTTACACAATATATTACCCATATGATGTATATTATTACTTGTTAATTTCTAAGTAGTATTCAATAAATTATATAGATTATTATTATAAAATTTAATTACTGCTTAATGTTATTTCAGTTCTTTCAATTAAATCATTTTAAAATCATTTGATCTTATTACATCATCTCTTTAAAAACTTGAATAATGTTGATACACTTAAAAGGAATTTTTAGAAACAATTTATCTTGATAAGATCTTTGGTTATTAAATATATACCTTTTTATTTATCTATAATTCTGCCTTCATATTTTTTAATTCATGTAATCTTTATTATCTATTTTGGATTTCTAATTGTAATTCATAGTTTTTTTAAATTTTATCACAGAATTCCATCCACTTCTAATTCTGATAAGGATTCTCTATTCCTAAATCTGTTAGTTGGTTAACTAGATCTTAGGTATGAGAATCAAAATTCACTCCTTTTAATATATTCTCTTCCATTTTCTCTGATTTCAATCGAACAAACTTAATCTTGATTTCGTTTCCACTATTGTTAACTTCATTATTAGAATGAATGGCAATATTTTACTACTAATTTTAATGTTTCTTATTTGTATCTAAAAAATAAGAATTTTCTATATTTGAAATCATACCTGGAGAAGGTGGTATATTTTAGAAATAGGTTAACCTCCTGGATGCTTCTAATTATTGTTAAATCTATTTTTTTTCTTATTAAACCTTTTTGGTTTCTATTTTGGATTTTTATTTAATAGATTAAACTTTTTCCGAAGATTCCTTAATAATTGTAATTTATTCAGCTATTAATTTATCTAAATTCTTTGAATGTTTAACTAATTATTAGGCTCTATCTTCATTATAATCCTAATTCTACAAACACAATTTCCAGACTATATTCATTCTTTTCATTTCTAATTATACAATTGATAAATTTTCTTATTATTTTTTTAAATCTTCTTAAAGACATTTATTGTTTTCTAAAGTTTTCTATGTCTCACCATTGACTTCATCAGGATACATATTCTATCTAATAGTTGTATAATCTTTTAGTCTATTTTTTAACAACTAACTAATGTTAGTCAATAATAAAGTTACTTTTGATACATAATTTAATCTAATTTTTTTTAAAATTAAATTTTTTATAAACTAGGCAATGATATTTTCTTAAAACTTCTTTCTGTTTTATTGTGTTCAGAATCAGCTCTAGTTTTTAAAATATTTAGATTTCTAGTTGAATCTAAAGGACTAAATTATCTCATTCGGATACTGGAATTAATAGAAGGTAGTTTAGATGCTGAAAAAGGTAAATAAAAATGCAATTACAATTATGATCTTTCATTTATTTGGTTTATTTGGCAATTAAAGCCAATTTTATAGCTTTTTAATTGATTTATAATTCTTCACTCATAGGTATATTATTTGTATTATAATAATCCATTAATTTTGAATAATTATTTTTTTAAGTCAATGCTAACCAAGGAAATTATACCCAAATCCATCTTTTATAATAATAATTTTATTGATTCCTTGTATTGGTAATTATTTTATCCAATATATGTTCTTATTTGGTATTTATGTATTCCTAAACTAAATTTTAATCAAATTGATTTATATAATAATTAATAAAGAAATCTCTATTGGCTTTGATATCCATATTCAAAGATTCAATATTTCCTTATTATTAAGGAAAATACTCTTCGTTCATTTATTTTGTTTTCTTTTTTGCTATCATTTAAAGTTATTTTAATTCATTGTATAAACCAATTTCATCAAATTCAATAGATTATCCTCTTAACTCTGGATGTTTATAAGGTGGAGTATGATCACTTAATAATAAAATATAATACTTTTCAAAATTACTGAATTCTCTTAAAAATCTACAAATTTATAACATTATATAAAATAAACCTTCATTTGTTGGTTTGTAAAGTGCTTGAAAATTTTCAATTGCTTTATTGTATTCCATTACTAAATCATATCCATTTTGTTCCAAAGTTTCCCATAAATGACATAATTCAAATTTATGATTTGGACTACACATCATTAGAAAATTCTCAACATTTATAAGAACCTCTTTTAATTTAAAATATCTTTTTGTTCTTGTATATTGATAAATTAATTCTTCTAATTTTCTTATATTGTTTTAAGAATGTTCCATTATTGTAATGAATTAATGATACAATTATTTATTTGATGGTAAGTATTAAATCAAAGCATTTTTAAATGATATGCTTTAAATGTAATAAATTTAAGATTTTTCCATTAAAAATATTTTAAAGAATTCATGAATATTGAATACATGTTCTTTTTCACAACCACAAATATAAACAATTTCATCCAATGAAATTCCTTTAAAAACAAATGTAAGTACTGTTAATATTGATATATAATGATTTTCTGGAAAATATTTCAAAAATGATTTTATCAATATAGTAAAAAAATCAACATCAGTTTTGATATCTAAAGTTGAAAATATAATTAATACTTTCTATTTATGAAATTGATTCTTTGATTACATCTTAATAATCTTCATTTTTATTAGTTAGAATGAGTTCAAAACACTTACAAAAATAAGCTTAATCTGCCAAATTTTATGGTATTTTACGATATACTTTCTGATTTATAAACAATATATAAAATACATAAAGACGATCCTAAATTAATAGTCTGTCAAGAAATTCTTCTTTGGTTTAATCTCTATTTTATTATGTAAATTATGCTTTTACATTTAAATGATAGTTCCTCCTTAACTACAATACTATTCATAAGCTTTTGAATCAGTTCTCCCTGTAACAATTAACTTTTAAAATTTGAATTAAAAAAGTACTTTAACATTTTCAGGTAGAATTCGAGGCAACCAATAGGATGCTCTAACTTCACCATTTTAATCACGGAATTTATCAATTCCTTAAAATATCAATATTAACTAATTTAGATATTTTTGAATTATACTCTTTTATAAACACATTTTGTATCACTGAATACTTGATTTTATAATTCTCGACTATAAAATTCTAACCAATATTGAAAGAACTATTTCAATTTTTCACCTTCAATTTCTACTTTTTAAGAAATATTGAATATTGTCTTTAATTATGATTATTATTATTACCTTCAATTTAGATAAAACATAAAAAATAGCATATTAGTAATTCTAATTCTCATGTTCTACAAAATAAGGAATGATTATATCTTTCTATTTGAATGTATTTAATATTTTTACATTAAGACCTTTCATCCAATAGGAAATCAAACATTAAATGTCATTTCCATCTTCTTCACAAATGAATAATGCTTTATTTTGTTTCTATTTGTATAACCATTCTTCTATCTTAAACTTAAATTAATCTAGACCATCAGGTATTGGATGTTTTAAACAACTTTCTACAATTAAATCTGATTTGCTTTCAAGCATTATAAATAATTATTAAATTATATATATAAGTTCAACTAATTTACTAAACTTTACATTTAAAGTCATACATTCACTTTAAGTACTTATCCTATTATTCATTATTAAAAAATAATATTAATTGTTTTTTAACATGAATTTAGATGATATTTATAATTGGTAAACTCTTTATCTCTAATATACGTTCTTAGGATTCTGAAACATCAAAATAATTATCCTGGAAAACACTAGGATTCTTAACCAAGAACTGTTCCATCATATAAACCATTAGAACCAAAAGCATAAGTAATTTTCAATCTTTACTTTTTTAGTTTCATATTGTTATTAAGGCTACTGCTGAATATATTAAAGAGAAAATGCTCAATGGAAATGTAAATATTAATTATATACTTTAAAAGGGTGTTAATCTAAAAGAATTTGGAGCATTTACAATCGAAATTATTTCAGATTATGTTAAACCATTATAGCATTCAGGCTTTAAAATGACTGAAGATTTAGACATCTAAAGAGCAGATCGTAAACATGTGCACACAATTAGGTATTTTTGCCTTATAATTTAGACCATGTTTTATTCCAGATAATCAATTCAAATACTTTTTATAGAGATATCCTGGAAAAGAAGAGGTTAGTAAGCCTTAGAGTCAACATTCAGTATATTAAAAGGGATTTGGAATGAATTTTTGTAATTCAGGACCGATTGCTGCATCATGGTAATAATAGTTGTCTTCATTATATAGTTATTTAGGAAAAGATGTTGTATAATCTATTCACTATTCTTTAATTAAAGCTATTTAAGATTTAACTAGATTAGGACATGATTTGCATATTGATTTTGGGTTTATTAAAATCAATGTGCTAAACAAAGATCTTAAATATAAATATGAATAATCATTTATTAATAAATTGAATCAGACTGATTACGAATTAAAAGTAATAAACTCACTCATTGTTTGTAGATGCGTAAGTCAGATATGGCTACATCTCAACATTGGAGGACTACTTAAGAAGAGAAATGGTCTAAAAGTACTCTAAACCATTTACTTACTAAACCAAATCCAAATTAAGTTTAAGATAATTATGAGAAATCTATGGCTCTTAAAATTATGTCATTAGATCTCAATACTGCAGAATAAACTAATTATAGTAAAAACTAAAAAATTAAGTTACCAATAATAACTAAATGAATTAAAATATAAAAAATAAAATCAAAATATTTCATATTTAAATGTTGTTTTCAATGCAAGCCATATATAAATGATGAGAAAACTATTACAGTTCTTGTTTTTATTTTGATACTAAGAAATATTATATACATATTACTTTAATCCAAATTTTTCATATACTTATTTAATTCTTTCTCATATATCTAATTTCTTTATTCTTATCTAAATAAATTCCTTTTAAGTTCATCCTTAGTTGGACTCTAATATAATCTCTAACGTTTTTTTATTAAAGATTCTTATTTATTTGATTTTTCTGAATTCATTCTCCATACACTAAATTAATATTAATCTTTTTATACTTCTCTTTTTTATCATCATTCGAAACTTCACTTAACTTTTCTTATAATTCAAAAATTGATTTGTGAAGTACAAAATTAGCTCTCTCCAATTCAGTATATTCTTGTTCTTTCTTATCTAAGAAATTACGTAAAATCATATTCTATTTAGTTTATTCGATTAATTAAGTTTAAAGAGTAGCTATTTATATTAATATAATATTACTTAAGAGAGTCAGCGTTTCTAAATATTAATTAGTTTTTTAAAGACTTTTCTATAACCATGTTTTTGTTTCTTTTTGGTTTTCATTCTAAATATCCAAATCTTTATTTGATTAGAATTTTAATTTTTTTGCAGGTGTAAATTCTTTATTTTTTTTAATTCCAGACACCATATCTTTAACATCTTAGATTTCATATTAGAATTTATTCTTCATTTCTCCAATCTATTATTTTAGAGAAATATTTTCTTATTCTAATACTTTAATTTATTAATCAGCTTCACAACTATCTGTTTAAGTTATACATTCAACCATAAGCTTTGGGTTTAAGACACCTTTTGTTTCAACAATATTTCTAAAATAATTCAAATAATTAGAATTTTCATTTGATGTAGTAATTAATTCTTAATTGCATCTTTATAATTAGTTAATTTAATCTTAGAGACGTTATTTTTCAATATTTAATTCAGTAATAGTTTTTAATTAATCTTCTATTAAAATATTCTTTTCCATAACTAATTCTTTAATTTATTTGATAGTATTTTATTCCTCTAAACTTTAATTTTTATATAATTCCAATTATGTTTATACTTCTTATAATTATGATTGATAGTTTTCAACCTATTCAATCATTTCATTGTATGCTTCACTTTAAAAATTATTACATTCTTAAATTTCATTTATATTAACAGTATTTTTTAATGCACCAGCAGACATACCAAATCTCATAGTATTAATAGATTCTAAGTAATTTTCATTATTTTAACTAATAGTTAATAGCATAACAGTTAAAGAATTACCGTTTAAACTAGGTTTAAGTATTTTAGTAAGTTTAGAATCTCTAAAATTAACAAATTAATCCTTCTTATTTTCTTTAAGTTTAGAAACAACATTTTAAAGTGCCAATAAACTTTTATTAATTAAGAATCCTTCTTTTCTTCTTAAACCTTCAGCTTAAGTTTTAGATAATCCTTCAGATCCAGCTAAGTCAACCAAATGAAGTTGAGAGTTACGTATTATAAATGGAGGACATTTCTATCTTGTTTCAATAGAAATTTATAAGATAACATGAGATCTAGAAGAGTTATCATTCATTTTAGTTTCTCCAAAATGTCTTTATTCTTCACCCAATTTACTTAAAAAATAAATTAATTTTGATACAAAATTTCTTCAAATTAATTTAAAGAATTGATTGTTTCCCATTTGTATTCATTAGATGTGTTTGGTTTCATTTCTTATAGATCTTTAATTAAGAGATCATAAATATTTTCATTATAGATTTCTATATATGATATTTTTAAATTGCAATATGTATCAGTAATCTATAATTATGATTAATTAAAAACTTTATTGATTGATTAGAGTAGATAATCAATTGATAATTAAATAAGTCCTGGTTCTTTATTACTACCTTTCATAGTATATGTTTTTCCAGAACTTGTTTATCCATATGCACAAATGGAGCCATTATATCCTAAAAGACATTTTTACACAATTGGTTGAACCATTTTTGTAAAGATATCTTTTGATGATGCAGATTCATCAAATACCTATTATTAATTGAATAGTTATACATTATCAAATGAAAAGCGCTCATTTGATTTTTTAACTATTACTGATTTTTCATTTACAATATTACATATTTTATCACTAGATTCTGTAGGTCTTAATCTCAAACCTACTAATACATTTTCAACATGTTGTTCATGGAATTTAGATTTTGTTTATTATTCTAAACCTTTTACGTTGCTCATTTTAAATTTAAATTTATATAAACACACTTGAATTTCAAATAATTAACTTTACCATTAATTAAAAATATAAAAATGAGTAGTTCAGAAATACAATCAGATTCTGAAGATCTAATATAAGGACATAAAGATTTTGATTTCTATGCAGATCTCTTAAATCCTGCTGAAAGATTAAAAAAAAGAGTTTAAGAATAAACAGTGAATCTAATTAAAAAATCAGCTAAATCAATCAAATAAAATGAAAAGACATAAAAAAAATAAAAATAATTAATATAAAAGATAGAAAAAGAAGATTAATAGGAAAATGTTCAATATGATCCTAAAATTTTTGCAATCAATACTGATTTTTAATAATTGAAATTAAATAAAGCATTGGTTAAAGCTTGTTATGAATAAGGATATAAATATCCAACATAAATTTAAGCCTAAATAATTCCTTTAGTTTTAGCTGGAAAAGATGTTTTAGCAAGTTCTTGTACAGGATCTGGAAAGACTGCAGCATTTTTATTACCTTTAATGGAAAGATTTGGAAATACTAAAAGTTAAAAATATTCGAAAGCTCTAATTGTATTGCCAACGAGAGAATTAGCATTATAATGTTTTGAAATGTTTTAGAAGTTGAATCAATTTTCAAATTGTACAGCTGCTCTTGTAATTGGAGCAGTTCCTATATAATAATAAGAAGCAGAATTGAGAAGATATCCAGATATTATTATTGCTACTCCAGGAAGAATTGTGGATATATTAAAAAATTCATTTAGTATTGATTTATCGAGGTATTTTATATTATTCAAATTATAGTATTGAAGTACTTGTTTTGGATGAAGCTGATAGATTAATGGAAATGGGATTTGAAGCAGAAATTAAAGAAATTCTATAATAAACGCCTAGAGATAGATAAACTGTTTTAATTAGTGCAACTCTAAAAGCCACAGTTAAATAACTTTCTTTATTAGCTTTACATAAACCAGTTAAAGTTAGTGTAGATTTTGTTGGAGGATTAGCATATGGTTTAAAATAATATATACTTCGAATTAATTCTGATGATGAAAAAGATAGAGAAGCTACGTATAATATTATTTTATTTTATTAGACTTATTGCTTTATTGTAGAAAAAGTTTACAGATAAAACTATTATATTTGTTAGAACTAAACACGATTGTCATAGATTATCTATTATTTTAGGTTTATTAAATTTAAGTAGTTGTGAATTACATGGAAATTTAACTTAATAATAAAGAATTTAAGCTTATGAAGATTTTAAAGTAATAAATATAATTTATTTTAGGAATCAAAGTATAAATTTTTATTAGCTACCGATCTTGCTGCTAGAGGTTTAGATATTGCTAATGTAAAGGCTGTGATTAATTATGAAATTCCATATGAAACTTCTAGATATATTCATAGAGTTGGTAGAACTGCCAGAATTGGAAATTAAGGTGTCTCTGTTACATTATGTTTATAAAAAGAAGTTAATAAATTTAAATAAATGATTAAAGAGTCCAAATAAAAATTATTTTAATTGAAATTTAATCTAGATTCAATCAATCAAATCAAATCAGATATTAAATCATTAGAATCAAAAATTAAAAAGATTATTAAAGAAGAAGTTTTTGAAAAAGAAATTTAAAAAACAGAAATTCTAGCCTAAAGAGCTTAAAATCTTATTCAACATAGAACAGAAATTATGAGAAAACCTAAAAAAGAATGGGTTCAATCAAATGAATAAAAGAAATTAAGAAATCAAATTTAAAAAGATGATGATTGATTTTTTTATTTGTTATTGTTTCAGTCAGATTAATATTATACCTTTTATATAAAGTTTAATTAGTTATTTATTTCATTGATTTTGTGAATCATTACTAAAGTAACTTACATTTAAATTCTCTTTCACTTAATCATTAAGTCTACAATTCTCTTCCATTAAAGCTGAATTACTTTTTGTTAATCTATCAACCTATTCTTCTAATTATTTTACTATATTTAATTTAAGATTTACTTAATTTTTGCTATTCTAAAATTTCAACTCTATTTTATTCTAATTCATTTTATAACTAAATTATGAATTCTTCTTTATTTTATGTTAACTAATTGCCATCTCCTTTTAATTAATCCTATAACATTTATATCTATTCTTCTAACTTCTTGTTTTTTCTATTATTCTAATTTACTTAACTTTCTTTTATAGATATTTATTATGATTTTCTTAGAATCTCATTTTCAAGACTTTCAATCTTACTTTAATTTTCTAATATTTATTATTCATATTTTTAATTTTACTCCTTGAGCAAAAAAATCTCATCTTAATATTATTATATACGCTAATTAATTTCTTTCTCATTTTAATTCTCTAGTGAATCTTTGCTTAATTATTTTATCATTTTTAAATTCTTTATTATTTCATCTTATTCTTAAATTTGCTTTTTAAATTACTAATTTTATTCTTATAATTCTTCCATCTGCTATTACAAATCTATATTTTTTGTTATTTATAATCTTATCTCATTATTTAATCTTTAATTTTATTATTCTAAACCTTGTTTCATCATTAGCTCTTCTTCTAATTTCTCAATTTATTATTAGTATTCATTTCTTTAAGATTGATTTTAAAATGGAACTGTACAAGTTCTTTCATCCTATTAAATCATCCTCTCTAATTTTGTATTTAATTGATTTATTTAAAAATAATCTGAGTTAGATATTTATTAAATTTACTCTTCATATTCTTCTTTTTATTTTTAAATTACTTATTTTAATTAATTTATTTCTTATTTTAACCTTTTATTTTCTTAAACACTTTCCTATAAAGTCTGTTCAAATTATTAATATTATGATTATCTTTTTCTATCACTTTCATATAAATCTTAAGATTAATAATGATGTTATAAAATTAAGTCATTCTCTGTATTATATTTTGAATTGAAACTTTTATTTATAAGATATGTCTCTGAACTTCTGTCTAAAGAAAATGATTTGTCCTATAATTCTTTTAAATCATCATTTAATTTGTTAATTTGCTGTAATAATCCATTATTTTATTATGTCAATATTTTTATTTATTCTTGACACTTCTCTATCATTTGATTATTTTAATTTATAATTTATTCTTACTATACTATTTTATCATTTAATTCTGAATCAAAAGGTTTGCACTATGAATTATTCTTTGATCTAATTGGTGATTTTTCTCTACTTATACTTAAAATCTATAATTCCATTTAAGCAAATTATTCTTGTAAATCTTCAAATTATTGATGTAACTTATTTTTCTCTAAAAATTCTTTATTCAATTATTAATTTAAATTAGGAATAATTTCATTTTAATATTTATTGTTTTACAAATTTAATTAACTTATTTAATTATTCAAAATATTTATTTATTGATCTTTTTTCTAAATTTAATCTTCAAGATTTTTAACTTTGATATTCAATTACTATATTTCATTTTCTTTATTTGAAATTTATACTGTTAGTTCTGTAATCTTCTTTTTTTAACTTATATTTTTTTACTACTCATTATCAAATTCCTTACTCAAATACTAATTGTCCTATTAAGACTATTTTATTTATTGCTCTTTTTCTTTAAGTAATATTTATAATTCTTATTTATATTATTCACTAGTATGTAATTTAATTTCGAACTCATCTTTTTTCTTCTCTAATATTTCATAATTGCTTTTTAAATTTTCAACAAGTTTTTGATATTATTCACATTGTATATTTAATTTAGTTTTTTCTTATTCAATTAATTACAATTTTCTTAAAGATTCATTGAATTCTTTATCTTTTCCATTTTATTAGAGATTAGAAAAATCTTGCATTTTAGCATTTAATAATTAATATTCTCTTTAAAGTCTATCGAATTCAACTTACAATTAAATTTTCAATTTTGTAATTGTTTTATTGCTCTAAATTTAATCATCTAAATCTAATTATAAATCATCCATTTATTTTTGTTATTTTAAAATAATATCAGATAATTCAGAATTTTCTTAAATCAATTCTTATTTTGTTTCTTTAATTTAAACTAATTCATTTTCTAAAACTGATAGTTTTTCATTTTATTTCTAAACTTGTTCTTTTTTCATTTTTTCTACTTATTATTAACTTAATATAAATTCTCTTTTATAAAATTCAGCATCTTCCATAGTGATTTATAATTTAGATTTAATTAATTACATTTCTTTTTAATAATAAACAACTTCATCTTCCAATTTAATCAATTTAGAATTTTCTTGTTACTAAATTGTTTATTATTATGAATATAATAGTTATTATTATGAATGTTCAAGATTTTAAATCTAATTTCTTAATGTTTGTATTACAATTTATAATTCTTGATTTTCATTTTCTTTCACATCAATATGAGATTAAGAAAATGAATGAGACATGGTAGCCATTTTTAATTCTTATAATTCAAAATTTAAATTATTCAATTATAAAGCAAGTTTTTTATTCTATTAAATTAATTATTCCACTTAATTAGATTTCATAAACAAATCTTCCTCTTTCTATTAATATATTAAATCCTTTTTTCTTATATCTTCAGATAATCTACTAATTTGGAGATCTTTATCTTTTAACTAATCGACTAATTTATTTATTTATGTTTCAAACCGAGATTTTATTGAATTATGAACTTCATTAATATTTTTATTTTCTAATCCTAATTTAGTAATAACTTATTATAAATCTTCCATATTATTTTGACTGTTGTTTTAGATAACTTTTAATTAATGAGTTTTTTCTGCTAATTAATTTTTCAATTAAGTAATTTCATTTTCCTAATTTTAATTTAATTTTTTTTCAGACGAATTCATTATCACTTACTCAGAAACCTATTTAGAAAAAACAGTTTCTCTTGTTAATTTACTATTTTCAAGTTAAAGATCAGATAACTAAGTTTAAAATCTTCTAACTTCTGTATCATATTATTATTAAATCTTTTAAATCTATTAATTTAACTGTCTATTTTCATTTTCTAATTTAAAAATTTCTTATTATTTTTAAGAAATATGATCATCAAATTTATTATCTTTAAAAGTAATCTTATTTCTACTTTCATTTAATGAAATATTTTATATTTATTAATTTAACTTATTTATTTCATTTTATAATAATATTAATTATCTTGAATGCTATTCTTAATTTGATATCAATTATTAATTTAAAAAATCTTTCTCTTTTTATAAAGATTAAATTTACTCTTAAAACTTAATTTAATCTTCACCTTTCTATTGCTCTTATCTAATTTCTAATTTTAATTATTGATTTTCATTTACAAGAAGTTCTTTCTAATTTTCTAATAATTTATACTCTTTTGCTTCATAGACTTTTGATCCTAACACACTTTCACTAATAGATAGATTACTTTGATTCAAATCTTTAAATACATTATGTTGTGTTTGTAATCTTACTATTTCTTCAGTTAAATTTTTATTTTATGATTATAATTGTTATATTTGAATGCTAAATTATCTTTCAGCACTTTAAGGAAACAATTTAAGAGTACGATTCTCTTCCTGTAATTACAACTATTTTTACTTTAATTCAAAAATAGAATTTTCCAATTATTTAATTTTTCCATTTAAGTATTCCTTATCTTATAATAATGCTTAATAATCATCTCTTAATTGGATATTTTCTCTCATCAAATTATCTTTGGTCTTTTAATAATCATCAATTTAATTTTTAAGGAGTTTTATTTCATTATTATCTTAATAATTATATTCAATATCTCGAATTTAATTTTTATATTTTATAATTTCTTACTCTTACAATTTTATTTTATCCAATTATTAAGCATCTCTTTACATCTGAAATTCTAATTTAGATTGAATTTCTTCATTCTTTCTTTTTAAAATACTCAACTATTATTCTAATTCTTTATATTAATCATTATTAAATATTTTAGAATTAAACAAATTTTCAGAAAAAGATTTAGATGAATTTATATCTGCTAAATTTTTTATTTGTTCAGCCAAATGTGTATTCTCTTCAACTAATCTCTTATTTTATTTAATTAATTAATCAAATTATTTTTTATTTTGATTGGCATCTTATAATTCAGTAGTTAATTTTTCTATTTTCTTTTTCATTTTTTAAATTTCCAAATTATGTATCTATTACATTCTTTCAATTTATTATTCCAATTAATTATTTACAACATTTTCTTGAATTTATGAATCTTTCATTGATGCATTTAAAACAGATGAATAATCAAACTTCTCTCTTAATTATCTGATTTCTTCAAATAGTTTTAAATTTTCTTCTAAATAACGTTTATTAGCCTCAGTTAATTTTTATATTTGCAAATCTTTATCTGGTTGTTATTTTTATAATTTTGGCTATTTTTTCTTAGATAACTCTTCTTCTAATATTGATATTTTCTTTTATAAATATTAATTCTCCTATTCTAATTACTCAATTTTAGTTTTCATAACAGGATCCTCCATCATTGACATAGACATGCTTATTCTACTCATATTTTTCATCATTTCTAATTCTAATTATAATTCCTTTATTTTATTTGTAGATGTAGCTATTTCTTACATCAATTTTTAATTAATCAATAACAACTTTTCCCTCTCTTAATCATTATTTTAACTTGTTCTTGAAGATATACCAAACTTTTAATATTTATTGAGCTCATCTTATAATTTAAATTTCTCATTATTGCATTCTTAAAGCATCTCTTAATATTGTTTAACCTTCAAATCATCTAAGAATTAAGATTATGATAGTGATTTTTCACATTTATCATTCTTTTCATTCAAAGCCATTGTCAACCTAGCATTCTGATTCATTAAATCATTTTCTCTCTATTTTAATTAATAGACTTCATTTTTTAATGATTGAATTAATCGATCCATACTGTCTAATTAGTCTTTAGATCCAAAATTAGATCTGTTATTCATTTCTATCGATATAAATATACTATTTATTACCTAAATCTTTATTATCTTTATTTAACTTATCAATTTATTGCTGAAGTTTTTACTTTTCATTTTATAATTGAACAACTTCTTATTTTAATTGGTTTATTTAAATTTGATTGTTTGTTCTTAAGTCTTAACTGCTGGCCATCATTAAATTAGATTGAATTGGCTCAAATTTCTTAATTGCCATAACTGATTTCTCATTTATTAATTACACTAATTGAGAATTGAGCAATGATTAAAAATTGATTTACTTCTAATTTAATTTCCCTATATTGTAAGCTATAAATTTCAAATGTACTCTTTTCAATGATTACATTGAAATGAAAAATGCACAAAACGCATCTAAATATTTACTTGGTTGATACCTTTGTCATCTTTAGTTTTAAATTTCATGATTTGATTGTTGAATTGAACTTGAAGTTAATTCTAATGAGGAAGAATGCATTGATCTGCATATTAAATTTTTAGTTATGTTGTACTATTTTCTAAAAAGTCTAATGAAAATATCCAATTTTAATCGTTACAATTAATTTGTTATCTAACATAATTAGCTCTAAAGATACTTCATATTATTATGATATAATTAGGAGAGTTTATTCTCTAATGAGGTAGAAATTTGAATTTTTTGGAATTCAATGGTAGCCTATCCTTCATAGCCTGATTCAAAAGGCTGTACGATAGCTTCAATTTTATAACCAATATCAAATATAGTACAAGGATATATATTGCCTTGAGTGTCAATTTTGATGCGTTCATTATCTAATTTTTTGAACCATTAAAATTTGCATCCTAAAGGTATTTGATTGATTTTAGAGGAGAAAGCATTGATGGTAATATTGGTTGTTTCATTTAACTATGATGCTTAGATTTCTAGATGATAGTTAAAGTTCCCCTTAATTTAATAATTCATTTTAAATAAATGTTAGTTTAAGACGATTCAGATTTTTTCATTAAGCCAAACTCTTACCTGAAATTGTTAAAGTAAGGTAAACCTAAGACAACAGAGATGTAGAGAAGGAAACCACAAAATTTAATAGGGAGTAAAAAATAGATGAATATATTACATTTCTCGAAGCCAATGTTCTTATTATAATTTCCTGAGGAGATTAAGAGCAATAGAAATTTGAGTAAATATACTTGTAGGAGTTGGAATGCTTAATCCTATACTCCAGAGAGGAAAAAGATTTTAATAACTTCACCTAAGGAATCTCGTTTGGGATATAAGATTTAAAGTAATTAAGATTAGGAAGTACCATATGAAGTGCATAGTTAGATGCCTACTTCTTAGATCAATCCGAAATATATAATATAGTAGAAATAAGGTTGTGGATTGAGTAGACTTCCTAATTTTAAATTATAAATAATCAATCAATTTCGAAATCTTAGATAATAAATGATGATGAAACAACAATAATGATTATATATAATTACATCAATTTTTTGATTCTTCCTCTTTTTATGCTTCTGCAGCTTCAAGGGGATTATCATAGGCCCATTCATCAAAATCTTCTATTTCTTAATCGGTAAATTTAGTATTCTATTTTTTAATGAATGAATATATATATAGATTACTTTAATTTTATTAAGTTCACCTTCACTTAAAGTTCCTTCTTTTTTGGCATCTCTTAATTTTTATAAGATCATTTTATTTTTTTTAACATGTTTATATTCATTTTCAGCAAGTTATGCTAATTCTTAATTTTTTGCTTTATAGAATCTATACATGACTTTGATCTTAAATAGTAAAGATTATTGTATATACATTTTCACATTTTTTGAGAAGAGGGTCTTCATTAATTTCAGGTTCAAAGTAAAAATAGATAGGTAATTGAAGTTCTTCTTTTGGATTGAGTAATTGTTAATTGAAACAGAAACATTGAATTTTAGCAAAATAGAGTCCAGCATCTTCAGGAAATATTTAGTAAGTAGCAAAACCTTAAATAATTATATAATAAAAAAACCTACTACTGCATTATCATTTCTATTATAAGCTCTATAAAAGACTAACGCAGTTTCTCCAGCATGAACAGTAACATTTTATTGGACAGGTAGAAATTCCCAATTGGCTTCTGGATCTGTTTCTGCTCCAAATTCAATATGATATTTTCTAAAAACATCCACTAGAAATGAGGGTAGGAATTACATTTTTTGCCTTTCATTGAATAATCTTTTTTATCTAGATCTCCTTCAAGTCCAAAATGCTCACACCATAATCTATAAAATGGGACAGCACCAAAAGCACATCCAAATGCTGCACCATATAAACCAATATTGTAAAGTAATTCTTATCTTCTTTTCTTTTTGAAAGATGATAAATTATGTTAAATGTTTGATCTACTTGAATGTTTGAATGAATAAAACAATTTAGATAGTTTAAACATTATTATTATATATTTTAATAAAATTGTTAAATATAAATGAATATTAATAATTATGTCAATCTATTTCAGCTAATAAATCTTCTTCTTCATGTTGTAATTGATCAACTAATTGTTTATGACTAATATCTTCTTTATTAAGGAATTCTTAAGCTTCTTCAGCTGTAACATTAGATTTTTGATTTTCTACATTGCTTATTAATGTTATTCCTTATTAAACTATTTATGCCCAAAATACAAGTTAACTATATTTATCTTTAAGAGCATGGAGATATTTATTAAAAACATTTGTTTCATCTTCTGATATACATGCTCTTCTCATTTCTTTAAGACATTCTAATGCTTTAGGGTAGAAACTTCCTTTAAGAGATTAATCAACAAATTAAATTATTATCTTTTGAATCTATTATAAGGCAGTATCAACAAGATCTATTCTTTTTTCAGTAATCATTTTTTTAAAATCTGAGATAGGATCAACAGTTCCAATTTCTTTGATAATTTCATCATTAAATCCTAATTTTTATTTAGCAAACATGCTAACCATTTCTTCTTCTTCTTAATTGATTTCTACTACTTCATCATCTGGTTAGATTTATTATGTTGTAGATTATTAATCAAAGAGTTATTTCCAGAATACTTTTTTATCAGTTTATTTTTTTAATTCATTTATCTTAAATTTGAATGCAGCTTTAATTTTGGATAGTGCTTCTTTAGCATAATCATAAACCTTAATTTCAGGATGTAAATACTCTAAAATAAGAGGAGAAATAGGAGGTAAAATATCAGTTCTAGTGATAGCTTTATGCATAATAACTTATTAAAAATATTATCTAGTTGGATTAGCAACATATTTCATTTTAAGAAGTTCTTCAAATTATCCATCTTCAGTTGGCATTTTTTATAAATCCATAGAATCAATCATAGCAGCAACAGCCATTTATTAATTAGGTGTAGATCTTTTTAATGCAGCAAATTGAAAATGTCTAATATCTTCTGTAGTAGGTAATGATATCATCCAAAAACATTATGAATTTTTAGATTTATGTGGTAATAACATAATCAATTTAGGTGCAGTTCTTTCTCGACCTACAAATCTAGCTATAGCTACTTTTCTAGTTGCAATTAATGCAATTACAAGAGCAGCTAATGCTTTTTATTATTTTTAATTTTCTACTGAGATTACCATATCTACAGTAGATGTATAATAATATCTAGGTATTTATGTTCTATCTACAAATCCCAATAATTAAAATTAACGAGGACATTGATATTTCATTTTATCTTCCATTATTTAATCTACTGGTACCAAATTTCTACCATATTAATATCCTCTTATAATATTCTCTTTTTCTATAGGTGTCATATTTGGATCTTCTGGATTGTAATAAATAAGATCATTTCTTACGTGATTCTTATTTATATCAATTTAAAATTATCCAAGTGTTGAATGTTTTTTAAGTGTTGGTAATCTTTCTTCAAAACATCTTTTATAAATTAATACTTAAATTGAAATCTCATCATTAATTTGAAAATCTCCTCTGAATGATGCTCTTGCTTATAATGATCTAGTATGAAATTGGGAATATAATTCAAATGCAACATTTGCTGGAAATATTCTCATATTATTTCTTAATTCTTAAACCATTAAAAATACATATCTAGAATTTATAGATTATTCTTAACATTAATATGATGCAGTTAACATTCTATTATTTAAAGCTTCATATTCTTCAGGTTTATCTGGATCATCCATATCACCATTATAATCATTCATAAAATCAAGTGCTATAAAATTTATCTTTACATCCACTTTCTCTATCATTTTTATTAATTTAGTAATCTATTTCTCACTATAATCAGTTTATCCACAACCTGCTGTTAATATATATATCTTTTTCTCCATTCTCTTTGTCTTAGTATGATCATCTAATACATGAACTGCCTTATCTAATGCATCAAATATATCTCCCCCTACTTATAATCCAACATCATGATTTGGTAATTCACTTACATTCCTAAAAAAATCTAAATCTGGAATTGATAAATCTTATATATATAATGTCTTTCCATCTGGTGCCTCTTCTGTTCCAAATAATATCAATCCTACCTCATGATTCTTATAATTAAATATCTTTTATTGAATCATCAATCCTAAACAATCTACTGCCAATTCTAATCTACTTAACTTCTTTCCTCCTCCCATTTAATATTCTCCATACATAGATGCTCCTACATCTAACAATATTAAACTTGCTTCCTTCCCAGACATCTTTACCCTTATTTTTTTTATCTCTATTAAAATTCATTATTATAATTTGTATATTCAAAATTTCTATGTATTATTTATCTCTTTTATATTTATTTTTATATCATTATTTACAAATCAATACATCCAAATATATCATCAATTCTATACTATTTATTTACATTAATTATTATTCTTTAAATTAATCATCACTATTTTTGAGTCTTCTCTATTATTATCAATCAAATTTAATTTTTAAATTCTACTCTTTTCCAGATTATTAAAATTAAAAATAAGCTTATCAACAAATCTTCAATTTAAAATTAAATTACATTTTTTCAATATAAATGTCAAGATTATATCTTTATATTATAAACAAATCATCTTCTATTTATTAATAACATAACAGAACATTAAATTTTATTTAGTTTTTTATTCTACATATTTCTTTATTGTATACAATCAATCATCTCTATTTCTTTTGAAACAGAATTACCTAGTTTAAAATAAATTTTTAAAAGAAAAACCAAAATATTTGTCCTATTCATCATACTAATATAAACCTTTAGATTTATGGATCTTCCAAAAAAAATTATTAAACCTATTTATACACCAAAAATAATCAATGTGTGTTTAATATCACCTCAATTAATCAATAATTATCAAATTTCTCTTATTAAATTTTTACAAATAACTATATATTTATTTAAGGACTGAATTTCATATTATTTTTAGGAAAGTATAGTGAGAATTTATCATTATAAATTATTTGACATTCATATATATTAAAGTAGCTTTCATTCGATTTTTTAAATATTTAGAATATGATTTAATAACTAAATATATATTTAATTCAATAATTTTTATCTTAAGAATGCTAAAAAGAATTAAACTCTTATGATTTAAAGTTTTCTTACAACTTTATTAACTAATTGTTAACATTCCCTAATTAATTTTAAATTATTTAGATTATTTAAGAGTTCTATAATTATGAATCAGTTAATCTGATTAAATTAAGGTTTTGAAGATCTCTTTGAATCTAATTAATACTGCTTTCCATTTACTCAATCTTTTAAGTTTTTTCTTGAATAACATTATTACTCTGTATGAACTAATTTCGTAATTATTACATTTCATTTTGTAATAATGAATTTTAATTTATTACAATTTGCATTTACTCTTGTAAATTTTTTTAAGTTACATTTTACTTATCTTAATTAGCTTTTAATGTTTAAATTTCGGCTTATAAGTTTTGATTTTACAATTTGATAAGTCTTAATTCTTCATTTTGATTAGACAGACTCATTTAATTTTCTATATTAATTTATCTTTATGGATTTTTTTTTTGGCTTATTTCCTTTTTCTTGATTAATAATTATTCTTTATATTTGTTTATTTCATCATTAACTTCAAGAGCCTTTTATACAATGTCAAAATTTAGTTTTGCATTTTGACACATTTAGTATATAGGATAGTGTAATTATTCTAGTTCAACACTACAAGCATCCAATTAATCAATACCTTGACCATTTTTAATAATCCTCTCAACTTTATTTATTATTTCTTTCAATTTATCTCTTGCTTTTTTAATCTCTTATTCTCCATTTTATTACATGATTATTAATAATAAATATTTTTTTAATTATATTTTGAAGAAATTTGTATAAAACATTTTCACATTTTTGTAAATTATTCTATTCAATTTAGTTTGAAAATTGATTGTTTATTTTCTCTCAAATAGTTATATTTATTTTATTATTCTTAAAAGATAATAAGGAGACAATAAATTTATATATTGTTTTTATATATTTCTATTCAAGAGTTCCTTTTATACAAAAAATAATCCTTAGTCATTCAAATATTTAATATATTTTATATTAATAATTATGTGATTAAAACAGTTCTAAAAATTCTATAAAATATAGAACCCAAATCTTTCTAATATTGTTATAAAATCATTTAAATTTAATTATTATTTAATTTAAAGATTTTCTTCATTCTATCTTAGGGGTTAAATCTTAAAAGATGATAAAATTATCAAAAGTTGGAGAATAATTAAAAACAATAATAAAGTGATATTGATCAAATCAAATAGTAAGAATTATTCTCTATAGAATGTATAATTGTTGAGATATATTTATAATTTAAATTGAGTTTAATTATATTTAATTTATTGATATAGTTTTGTTTAATAATAATTAATTGAATTTAATAAGATACAATATTGAAACTAACATTTTTGAAATTTAAAAATTTTATTATTATTGCTTGTGGAAAATAAAAAGAAATAATTATATGCAAATTTAATTAGAATAAATTTCCAATTTAGGGGAACAAAATTTAATTATTCATTTCTTTCTTGCAATTTACACATATTGAATCAATATATTTTCTGACAATTAGAAATAATCGAAAAAAATCATCAAAAAATTATAATTTTATTTTATTGTAACTTTTTATTTATATAAACTTTCTAATTAATCATTTTTAAATAGATTTTATTAATGGAAATTTCAATTTTAAAATTTATTAAATGAAATAACATAAGGCACTTGTAAAGATAATAATAAAAAACACTAATATGTCTATATGCTCGAAACTAAAAGGATTAAGATTTAATTACATTTCCTCTTCTATATCAACAATTAAAAGCCAAGATCTTGTGGAATTGTTGAAAGTTGCAATGCTTGCTATGATTAAACATAAAATAATCCATGATATCAATGAATAATTAAAATAAATAGGTTCTAGATGAAAATGATATATACTTTTAAAAGGGCTTGATTAATAGAGAATTATACAAATGGTCATGTTGTAAAATTAATTTACTAGCATCATAATTGAATTTAATGGACCTTCTTTTAAATAAGATTCAATAGGATTAGGTAATGATGGTGCTTCAGAATAATCAACAACAATTAGGAATATAATTAAACAACTAAGTGAAGTTAAAATAGAGATGTTATAAAACTACAACTAATTATTAATAGAGAAAATATCATCATTAGGAATAGCATTAATTAATTGATTCTCTTTTACAGATAAAGTTAAAAAGATTAAAACTGGGATGCTTGACAAGTAGTTCATGTAAATGTATTAAAAATCCCCAAAATTCATGCCTTAGAATTATAAAATAGTAGTTCCAATGAATTTAAGTACACTAATTAATATATAATATTAAAATATTTCTATTATAATACTTTTAGTAGCCCTACCTTATAATAAGATATGTTTGACACATTCAATTGAATCTTTTTTAGAACTAAAAGGAGATGTGTAGGATGCATCACTTGAATTGAATGAAACACCAACTAATGCTTCAGCAATAGCTGACTAAATTATAAATATTAATTACACAATCATTGGCACCATCTCCAACCATCATTACATTTTTATTTAATTAATTCTACAAATACTAAACAATCTCTTTTTTTTAATAAGGTTTCATTCTTGTAAATATTTTTACTTTTCTCATTAAATTATTTAAACAATCAATCAATTTCATATCTATTTCTTCTATTTATCTTAATTATTTATATTAAGTTTAATCAACTGATTAATTCAATTAAATATCATTTACCTTATTCTACATTAGAAATCCCCATAAATTACCTGTTATTGCAAAGTTACAATCTTTTTATAAGATTAATTCTAATTAAGTCATTATGAAGTTAAATTAAGATCCCAATTTAGGGTCTACTAATGATTTACTCTAAGCTTATTAACTAAGGTCTTATAAGAGAAGTAATTCTTTTTCATTATCATAATCCAAGATTAAAGTATTTTATTTATTCTTAATTAATTTTGATTCATAAGCACAATGCACTGTAGTCAAAGGATTATCCCCAGAGATTATTCTTAAATCTAAGTTGGATGATTATAACTCTTCTATAACTTAAGATGTATCACATTTTAGATTATTTTTTAAAGTAACTAAACCACAAAAATTTAATTAATTTTCCAAAACAACCCTATCCTGCTCAATTTAATCAAAGCTTAATTCTTTTTAAGCTAAACCAATAACTCTTAAACCTTCATAAGTTGTTTTTTAAAGATATTAAAAAATAGAATAATCATATTACTTATTTGATAATTCAATTATTTTTTCAGGTGATCCCTTAACAAATAAGTAATATTAATTTTATTTTTCATCTAAAGCAATTACACTCATTCTTTAGAGATGCGAATTGAATTCAAATATTTTTATTACTTAAAAAGATTTTTAATTTTTGTAGATTTAAAAGTATTTTTAGTTTTCAAAATTGATGTTCCAATCAGTTAATTTAAATATTTCTAATTCTAATGGATCTCCATTTAGTTCTTAATTAATAATAGTTAAATGATGACAGCATGCCATGATATCTAATAAAGAATCTTGATGTGGAAAATAATCATATGCTTATAATCCTAATGTAGAGAGTGTTCCAGTTTTATCAAAGCATATTGTTTCAATTTTACCTGAATCCTCTGTTTTTATAGGATTTGATCCTATAATATCTAAATATTGTAATTTTATTAAAGATATAGCCTAATTTAATGAAAAAAAAATAGGTAAAGCAGGTGGAATAATCCAAGTAATAGCATCAAGATATCTAACTATTATGAGTTTTATAGAATAATTCATATATTAAAATCTTACAATAAGTAAAATAGTGTAAATAGAAAGTAATATTAGACCTAAAATAATTAAAAATTTGGATGCTTATTTATAAAATATTCTTGATGGAAGTGGAGGAAATAAAACATTTCTAAAATATTATCCTCTCATTGAAGAATATCCAGTTCTAATTACTAATCCAATATTATTTTGATACTGAGATATCTTTATTACTTTAGTACCTCCAAATATGGTATATTGATATATATCTTTTTATAATTATTTAATAGTTTATTTTGGTATAGGTATTGCTTCTCCAGTCAAGGTAGATTCATTAACCATGACATCTCCTTGAATTAATAAGTAATCACAATTAAGTTGAAGATGGTCTTCAATATAGAATTAATCTCCTACTAGTAATTAATTTCCATCGATTATATTATTATTAATTAATTTAACATTTTATTTGAAATTAGATAATTATTATAGTGATATTCGAGATTTTCTCATTAGAAAATAATTAATAAAACAAGCCAAAAAAGAAAAGGATATTAAGACGATAGAAAAAAGAAGGAATCCTAAGCAAATGATATAATAATGATACCTTCAATAATCCATAATAAAACAGAGAAATATTATAATATATAGAAGGGACTTGTTAATTCCTAAAATAAATAACTTGGTAAAGATTAGATAGGAACAATTAATTTGCTATTTCCATAAATATCTTATCTTATTTGATGACTTAAGTCATTATGGATCAACATTTATAATTATCTTCCTTTAGCATCTGATGTCTAATATTAAAGAAAATCAACAGGTTGAAATTAACCATCATTTAGTTAATACTTTAAAAATCAATTGATAAATATGATTTATACCTATAAATAAAATAAGATGTATTGTTAATAATAAGTCTTTTACAAATGGTCTATTAATTATTTGAATCTATAACTAAGTAATGAGTGCATGATTATTCATCAGCCTTGATAAATAGAAACAATCTATAAATTTTATTGCTCCATTACAATAATAATGCAAAAAGAAAGCAGCTTATCAAGGATAGTATAATCTAAATAATGAATTGAAAAAGTACTGCTACTAAAATTCTATATTTACTCAGAATTATAGGTATAACTTCTATAAGTTAATGTTATCCTTCAATGTCAGAAGACTTGACTTTAAATATCATATTAATATTATGTTATTTCATTTAAGTATTTTTTTAACAATATCTATATATAGGAATTTTCCTTCATTTTTAGGATCAATAAATTTCATGTATTCATCAGCCTCATCTTCTGTAAATCTATAACCCATTGTCATAAGTAATTCTTTAAAATATTCACTCTAAATATATCCAGTGTTTTCTAGATCAACAGACTTAAAAGCTAAAATATATAATTATAATACTATATTATACCTTCAATTAGTTATTCTTCTCTATCTTATTCTCGTTTCTTCTTACTTACTAATATAAATAATGCATCAGATCTTATTCCCTATCCTTCAGAATCTTCAAGTTCTTTATATAATTCACTCAATTCTTATTCTTCATAAATATAACCAATAGATGTCAATAATTCTTGCAATTCAAAAAAACTTATTCTTTCATCCCCATCTCTATCAAATAATTAAAAGTTTTCTCTATATTTCTTATCTTCTGCATCTGAAAATAATCTATCTTCATTTTCGTAACTTATACTTTTTAAAGTTATCATCAGAGTATAAATGACTTTTAAGTTCTTCTATTACTATTCTAGGTTCTATTTTAGGTAATCCATCATTTAAAGATACCTTTTCCTTTTGTCTTACTTATGATAAATTTGTTTAAGTTTAATTCATAATTATAATATTCAAAATCATCCATTTAGAACAAAATCAAGATTTTTATATATTCTAACTTATAATTAATGAGGACCTATTATTAAATCTAATAATATGTACATGTATTTTATGAAAATGAAATTGTTTTAATTTCTGCCTTAGGACCTACTATTTATAATCCTCTATATATCATTTATATTATAAATGTATTCTATCGTAAGAATTCTAATGAAATAAATCCCTCTATATAAAAATTAAAAGCAAAACATTCTTCTGCTTCAATATTACTCAATTCCACCTTTATATGTCTATGAGACTTTTATATTAGAAACAAATATAAAAGATTTGAAAATATAAATTAAACTATTTGTTATATTGATGTAATAACAAAATATTCTGACATATTAGATTCGAATTAAATTGATTTGTTTTCTACATCAGCTACGTTATTCATTATTATTAAAGATTGATAAATTAGATTTTTTAATGAAAATGTTTCCAATTCTGGAATAGTATTTTTGAAATAATATATCTAAAATGCATCTAAAACCATTTTTATTTTAGTATTTGAAATTATCTAACCACTTATTAAAGATTCACTCACTTTAAAGTAATATCTATCATCAGTGTTTTATTGTAATTAACAGAGTTAGTATAATTATTTATTCGTTCTTGTATTAATTTTATCTAATTTACTGGACAATAGTTTGATTTCTTAATCTTTTAATTTCAAAATAGCATCATCGTGTAAAATATCCTACTTTTATTCCATCAACATAAGTATTTCCATGCTCTCATTTTAATAAGCATAAACTTTAATATTGTATAATTATTAAGAACTATTTTTTTAAATGATTGATTCTAACTTTGATAAGGGATTTTTTGAGATAATCATTTTTTCATATAAAAATTGTCCTATGTTTTGGAAATCAAATGCTGTACTACGTTGAAGATTTTGATTTAATTTTAATTATACTTTATGTTGTTAGGTTGTATCAAAAATGGAGTATTGATGTAAGAAATCTTTAAAATCTTAATTGCAGGTGATTCCAAGTCTTTTTTCTGCATAATGATTTGCATATTTTAATTCGAATTAAAATGATTTTTGATCAAACTTAAATTATATATAAATATCTTCAATTATTTCATTTAAGACATTTCCTATATAATGTATGATAAAATTACTTATTTCTTTTTCATTTTGATATTAAATGAATAATGTTCTTTTGACAAATGATTTTCTATAGAGAAGTATTAATAAATATAATGATACAAGTATATAAAGAACAGCCATTCCATCAAAAGTAAAGTAAAATAAAATATAAATAAGTCGAGATGTTGTAACAAGAATCAAAGCAAAAGCATTCCATAAGAAATCATAATGTTCTAATAATGTAATATTAATGATTGCAATTCCACATCCTGAAATGTATTGATTATCATATGATGGAGTATTTCTATCAACAAGTATTTGTATTCCTGTCATAATTAAATTGTTGATAACGAAAACACCACAAATGCTTTATTCTTTACGAAATTTGACAATAAATGGAATTTATATAATAAAAAACAAAGTGGCAACAGATTCTAAAAGTCCATTAGCTATTTATCCTCCTTTGAGTTGAATAATGGCAACACTTAAATTGATGATAATTAAGATTGGTTGATAACATTAAAAATGAAATAAGCATGATTCTCTGGTAAATTCTTCATATTTTTTTTCTAATTATGGTGGAAACCTTAATGTAAATTTGTTCATTTAAATATAATAATAAATTGTATATAAAAATAAATCGTCAGTAGATTTATACATTTATTAAATATTGTATATACTTTATATATAATAGTAATGATGATGATGTAAATAGAATAATAATAAATAAGATAATAATACATAGTGAAGATTGCAGTAGTAATAAGATAAGATTAATTAGAAAGAGATAATTAAATGTTATAAAATAGATAAAGTATGTTAATAAGATAATTTTGGTTAATAATTAATAAAAATAATTAAAAATAAATGGTTTCAGCATTTTCAATAGGTTAAGCAAAGAGATCAGATCCAGGAATAAAATCACCAGCACCTGGTCCAAATGCTTATTTACCAAAATTAGTTCCAAAGTAGAAAGCACCTTAATGGACGTAATATAAAATGATAATGTAATAGAATAGGTGGTGCAGGATAAAGAATAGGAAGATCGACATCATATGGACCAGGACCAGGATAATATGAATATTAATAGAGAGTAATAGAAGGACCAAGATATTCAATAGTTGGAAAACATGAAAATAAATAAATGAATATATCTCCAGGTCCAGGAAATTATAATGATGAGAGTTTTAGTTCAATTTATAAGAAACCACCTATGTATACATTAGGAAATAAACATCATACATCAGTAAAAGAATTAATACCAGGACCTGGATAATATGATTTAAATAGTTCATTTGTATCAAATAACTCAATCAAATTTCCAACTTAAGCAAGAATGACATCTTTAGAAGGAGGAATGTCCCCTGGACCTGGATGTATTATTAAATATATATATACATTTAGAATATAATATTGATAAAGCAATCAAATTAGCTATGGATAAAACTTAACCATCATGGGTAATTGGAACAGAATTAAGATAAAAAGAATTAAAAAAATAATATATTACACCTGGTCCTGGTGCTTATTAATTAAGTAGTTTGTTGAATCTGAAAAAGAATTTTACAATCAAATAAAAACTATAATCTAAAGATTCAAATATTACTGCTCCTGGACCTGGATAATATGATTAAGATATATCAATCATTAAATCTCATTAACCTACCTATAAGATAGGTACTGAAGAAAGAAGTACTAAAAATTCGGTTCATAAATAATTACCTGGTCCTGGATAATATTTTAGAGAGTAATTCATTTACTTATCAACAGGAGAATAGATAGTTTAAGTTCTTTGTAGAAATCAGCTCCATCTTTTAAAATGCCATTAGCATTAAGAAAAGATCTGAATGATTCTATTACTATAACACCAGGTCCAGGATAGTATCAAATACCTTAAATTAGAGAATCCTAAATTATTACTATGAAAGGATTTAAATATAATCCTAATCATACAATTCATTTCCCTGGACCTGGTTAATATAATCCTGATGATTCTATGTGTAAACATAAAGATGGTTCATATAAGATAGTCCCTGAATATAGATCTAAACCATTATTAACTTAATATAATCCAGGACCTGGATAATATTCATTTAAATCTACTCTCGAAGGACCTTCTTGGGGATTCAAAAGAGAAATTAGATCTACTCTTATTAAAAAAGATTTTAATCCTGGACCAGGATCATATAATATTCCACCTAAATTTAATGATGTTCCTAAATATTTATTACAAAAATGAACAATTAATTATATTTTTATTTAATGTTTAATTCATGCCTCAAATATTTTTATATTAAACAATACACTCTCATTTCAATTGAAGGTAATATTGGATCTGGCAAAAGTACTCTACTCAAATTAATGCAACATAAATATCCATAAGTATATTATCAATTCATATTCTTAGATGCATTATTTACCAGAACCAGTTAATGAATGGTAATAAATTAATGGTAATCCTAAACTCAATTTACTTGCATCATTTTATAATAATCCAAATAGATGGGCATATACTATGCAAAATTATGCATTCTATAGCAGATTAAAACATTGGAAATCTGTTATGGCTAATTTAGATAAATCAATCATTTTGAGTGAAAGAAGTATTTAAGCAGATAAAGAAATATTTGCTATTAATGGATATTAAAATGGACTTATGAATTAAATGGAATTTGCAATCTATGAATAATTTTACGATTGGTTGGTCTAAGAAGTTTTTGGAAAATAAATCTCTAAATAATTGATTATTTATCTATAAGTCAATCCAAATATTTGTTAAGAAAGAATGCTCAAAAGATCTAGAAATGAAGAAAAGGTATTATATATAATGTATATTTTAGAATTCTATTTCAAAAGATTATTTGATATAAATTCATTAAAGACATGAAGAATGGCTTTTAGGTAATTAAAATAAGGATTAAAAGATTTTAATTTTGAATGGAGATAAAGAATTTGAAAATGATACTCAACAACAGTAAATTATGTTTAATTAAATTAATCATTTCTTTTCTGGATTAATCTGATTATTTTATTTATATATTATAATATGTATTTATATGTTATTATATACGTTTAGAATAAATAAATAATATATTAGTTTAATTAATTTTTATTGTTAATTTAATATGGCAACTAACAATCTTCCAACATTTTACCCAGGGTAGTAATAAATGGGAAATTTATAACCATCCCAATACTAATAACAAGGAGGTGTAGAATATTGTATATAAAAGTAGGAGGAATCTATTAAGGTAATCAAGGTGTTACATAAGGATTTGGATCTGCCCCAGTTTCTTAATAAAATCAATAATACTTATATGGAAATTGTACTAAATATTAAATATTATAGAATATGGATTGAATAATAACAATTAAGGTGTTCCATCTTATTAGACTCCTTAAAGAATGGCATCTTAAAGAGTGATGCAATAATCCCCATAAACAATGACATCTCCAATAATATAATAATAAGCACCAATGATTTAATAATAAGTTCCTATTATCTAATAACAATAAGCACCAATAATTTAATAATATTAAGCTCCAATAATATAATAATAATAAGTTTAATAAACGGTGTAATAATATTAACCATCAGTCAGTATAAGAATAATAATATGAAAAATAGTTCATAATGTGGAACATGTACCAGTGATTCATGAACTTCATCATGTTAATCGTCCAATAAATGTTGTTTCAGTTGATGAGATTGAAGGTCCTTGGAGAAGCAAAGTATTACTTTTAGAGAAATAATTAATTGAATTGCAATTAATGTTAAAGAAGGGACCTGTTAAATAACTTTAATCAAAATAAGTTGTTGTTGAAGATGAAGGAAAGGTATAATGAATATATATATTGATAAGATAAGATAATTATAAAGTGAAATAGAAAGATTATAAGGAATTTTAAGAGAGAATTAGAAAGAGATAGAAGAATTAGAATAATAAATAAATGAGGCTACTTATAGTTTAGAAAATGCAGATGAATAGGCAGCATCTTAAGTGGAAGCTTAATCATAAGAATTAGCAAAATGGAAAAAGAAGTTTTCAGATTTGAATAAATAATATCATGATATTGAAGAGGATATTACTATGACGGAAGCATAGATTGAAAGTATTTAGAAAAGAAAAATGATTACTTAAACTTCATCTACAATTAAGACTACTTCAAAAGTTTAAGGAGTATATCTATTAATTAATTAATTAATTAGGGTACTTATGCAGATGGAGATGTTAGAAAGAGTGGTTTTAGCAATAGGAATTATTGATTTATTCAAAAATTATAAACATTTTATGCTAAATACAAATTCAAATTAATTTGTTCATTCCAAATTAATATACGCATGTGCCATATCTCCTAAAAGTACATTAGATAATTAAAGGATTATTTTGGGAACTATTGGACCTGGAGGATAATAAATTATTTGTAAGTTCATAATTCATAAATATTTTGTTAGAATTATAATCCACTTAAGAAGGATATAAATAGAAAACATATCATTTGCATAATGCATTCAGTGCTAAATTATTATATCTTAATTCAACTGAAGCAAATGAAAGATTTGTTTCAGCAGGTGAAAAACTTTAAATATTCAAATCAGAAGACTAAAAAATTAGTCATATTTGTGACTTAATTCCTTTAAGTAAAGAATATGTTGGTCCTACTTTTGCTTTAGATATTCATTAAGATTAACAAAATAGATTAAGTATTAATATTTTATACTTTTTAGTCTCTGGTTCTATGGATCCAACTATTAGAATTTGGGATTTAGAAAAGAGAAAGTGTTAATATTAATTTATTGCTTATGATCTTTCTAAAGATTCAGATTAATATACTTTAGATTTAAATATTGCTTAAGAATCAAATATTTTTGCATTCCTTAATAATCATAATCAAATAGGAATCTATGATATTAGATCTAAAATGGGTATTCATAAAATTAAAGGTAAATTATAATATAATTAACTCCTTTGGAATAAAAAATAAGATAATATCTTAATTGCTATTGATTATGAAGCTGGTCTTATAGATTTTTATGATACACGCGATTTTAAAAATAAATATAAAAGAATAAGAACTGATCATAGATCAATTGTTAAAGCTGAATGGTTTTAAGAAAGAAAGTAATTTATCATAATATATTTTAGTTCTCTCATTACTGCAGGTTTAGATAGATAAATCATACTTTATGAAGGTGATAAATATCTTGAACCCTAATTTGGATTAACTAAAAATTATGATATTGACAATTTCTGTTGTTAAAATAATCTATTTGGACTTGTTTCTGAATATACTTTCGAAATTTTTAGTTTTGAAACATAATGAATTTTTTATATTAAATTAATTATCAAAAAAATCATTCTTAATTGTACTATTAATATATGTTTATTTAGCAATAATTTAAATAATGTAAGTTAGGTGTTGTTATTATTTTCATATTTAATATATCAGATAAAATAAAATAATATAAAGAATGAGAATTCTCTAAAAGATATAAAGATTAATATGTAAATTTAATTAGCCTAGGGTTTGGAGGTAGTAAAGGATTTTTATCTGCTGAAGAGATTATTGAAATGATATAAACTATGTGTTCATTTATATATATATATATTTAATATACTATACATAAAGTAATTAGAGTTCCAGAAACAGAATTTAGAAAAAGATTACATTCAACTACAACTTTTATGATTGAATTACCAAAATTTATTGATAACTTTAATTTAAGTTAAAATATTAATTTATGAGTGCAAAGTGGACAAGATGATTAAAATGAAATTGCATGCACAATTATTAATATACCAACTAGAATTTAAATATTTTATATGGAAGATATAATATAAATTAATGCGTTAAACTAAAAAAATTTAAGTGGCTGGATCAGATAGAAGTGATAAAATTAAAATATTCAATTTCCCATATGAAAGATTTACTGATTATTAAACTAATTTATGAATTAATTGAAATATATTAATGGACAATACATAATAGTAAATTATAAGACTAATTAGAAAATGATTATATTATATATTTATTTATAATATATTATTTATATACTATCATTCATTAAATCTTTCTTAAAAGTGTCTATTTCTTTTAATTCTATCATGGTATGCATTTGAATCATTTTAATTATAAATATCTTTTCTTATTTTATTTAAAAATTATCCTCCTCCAACTGCTTAAGATTATTAATTTGGTTCTTCTTCAAATTATTTTAATTATTATTATAATCTTTATTATCCATCAGCAGCCATTTAATTTCGTTATTCATCATAAGAAATTTAAGGATTTAAATTCTTTCTATATTTCTTTTTCATTAAACTAAAATCTGCTTTTACATTACCATGTTCATCTGTTACTGCTATATTTCCTAATCTTTCTTTTAAATATTATTAATATATTTAAGAATGTTAAGAACCTGTAGATATAGCAGTAGAAATCTCCTAATCTTTAGAACTTGAAGTTGAAGAACTAGAACTACTACTTCTATTGTGTTTTTTNTAATTTAAATAATGTAAGTTAGGTGTTGTTATTATTTTCATATTTAATATATCAGATAAAATAAAATAATATAAAGAATGAGAATTCTCTAAAAGATATAAAGATTAATATGTAAATTTAATTAGCCTAGGGTTTGGAGGTAGTAAAGGATTTTTATCTGCTGAAGAGATTATTGAAATGATATAAACTATGTGTTCATTTATATATATATATATTTAATATACTATACATAAAGTAATTAGAGTTCCAGAAACAGAATTTAGAAAAAGATTACATTCAACTACAACTTTTATGATTGAATTACCAAAATTTATTGATAACTTTAATTTAAGTTAAAATATTAATTTATGAGTGCAAAGTGGACAAGATGATTAAAATGAAATTGCATGCACAATTATTAATATACCAACTAGAATTTAAATATTTTATATGGAAGATATAATATAAATTAATGCGTTAAACTAAAAAAATTTAAGTGGCTGGATCAGATAGAAGTGATAAAATTAAAATATTCAATTTCCCATATGAAAGATTTACTGATTATTAAACTAATTTATGAATTAATTGAAATATATTAATGGACAATACATAATAGTAAATTATAAGACTAATTAGAAAATGATTATATTATATATTTATTTATAATATATTATTTATATACTATCATTCATTAAATCTTTCTTAAAAGTGTCTATTTCTTTTAATTCTATCATGGTATGCATTTGAATCATTTTAATTATAAATATCTTTTCTTATTTTATTTAAAAATTATCCTCCTCCAACTGCTTAAGATTATTAATTTGGTTCTTCTTCAAATTATTTTAATTATTATTATAATCTTTATTATCCATCAGCAGCCATTTAATTTCGTTATTCATCATAAGAAATTTAAGGATTTAAATTCTTTCTATATTTCTTTTTCATTAAACTAAAATCTGCTTTTACATTACCATGTTCATCTGTTACTGCTATATTTCCTAATCTTTCTTTTAAATATTATTAATATATTTAAGAATGTTAAGAACCTGTAGATATAGCAGTAGAAATCTCCTAATCTTTAGAACTTGAAGTTGAAGAACTAGAACTACTACTTCTATTGTGTTTTTTACTCTTTTTTGATGATTTTTTATCTTTTTTATCTTTCTTCTTCTTTTTCTTATCTTTTTTATCTTTATGTGATTTTTCTTTTTTAATTTTTTTATTAGCTTCTATCTTTTCTTATAATTATTTAACTTTCAAAGGATTTTACAATAATACTTATTTTATTGATTATTCCTAATTATTAATATTTATAATATACTCCTTTCATTATTTGAAACATAGGATCTTCATGAACAAGAACAAAATCTTCACATTTTGCATTTGTTGTTTCTTCTTTAAAAACTGTTTAATATTATTGAGTTTATTTAGCTTTCTCTCTTTAATCAGTTAACTTTTCTACTTCTTAAGGTGTTGCTGTCTTACCAAGGAGATATCTATTATTTTAAATAATATATTACTCTTCTGCTGAATTTTAGTTTTATTTCTCTAGTTTACTAACATCATACATCCATTCCATTCTATCTAAATGACTCTTTGGAATTAATCCTGCTTCAACTTATATTCTTTTTAACTCTTCAATGTTTTTCTCTTCTGCTAATTTCTTTGCTCTTTCTTATTCTCTTTTTATAATATCAGCTTGAATTTATTCTCTAATCCAAACAATCTCTTGATTCTTCAAAGAACCTGGATGCCAATTTTTCTTTTATAAATAATTCAAACCCATCCAATTTATATTATAATATTAATATTTGGTTTTATAAACATCTAATATTCAATATCAGAATAAAATTTGTCTAAACTACATATTATCAAAAATATATGTCATAAAATCTCTATTTTCTATCATTCTTTAGGTTATTTATTTACCATTTTATAGATATAAAAGATGGATTTGTAATCATTCTTATGAATTCATTACTTTAAGAAATACTTGAATATTGATAGTAATATTTTTAATTTTCCAATTTTATTTGTTAAATGAAAGGTTTAAAAAAAATTAAATAAAGTCAAATTATGGATAGATTAGAAAAAAGAATTATCAAAAGTAAAAATAATGTTTTGAATAAAATAAATAAGATTGTTTTTAAGAGTCTTTATATTAAACTGAGTTTTACGAAGATTAATAAAAAAATTAAAAGTAAATAAGAAAATATTAATAATTTAATTAATTCAATTTGAAATGTATTAAAAGTTTGGAGTGACAACTTAGGTAAACTACCTTTTTTCTTTTCTCCTAATTACTTTTGTTCTTGTATAATCATTCTCATCTTCAAAATAAACTTTTTTATTTGGAAAATATTATTTAAATAATTTTTTTTCTATTTTAGCTAAATTCATAGCCATTGATATTATTATTTCATTCTCTAAATTTTCTCTTTATTTTGGGAATGTTCCTGTTCTCATTTTATATAAGGTCAAAAATTATTATAAATGATTCATACATTCAATTTTTGTTTATGGTATAGATCCATAATAATTTAATTGATCATTAAAAATACTAAATATTTCATCCTCCTCTTCATTATATGTTGGAATAAGTATAAAAGATTTTATTTATAATTTTTTATTTTGAAAAGGGGATGAATCTGGAGATGAAAAATTAGACAAAGTTTTCCATGATTCTTAATTAAATTAAAACAATTATGGAAGTTAAACTTATGCAGGTCTCCTTTTTCTTAAAGCAAGTAATATTTATGGAATTTCTCTTTAATTATATGAGACACTTCCATATTGTTAAATATCTAAACTTTTTTATGTTTAATCTAAATCATAAGAAGTAATTGATAAGACTGGAGATACAACTTAATATGAATTAGTTGGTATTGTATCAAAATCTTCGAATTTTAAATCAACTTCGTTGGAGGAGAACATCTTTTCATAACTTAATTTATCTGTGTCAATATCTTTATTTGATTAAGTCTTAGAACTTTAATCATAACAATGATAGAAAATGATATTAGTATCAGATTAAGTTTTGTGACCTGAATAAGAGAATTTTGTTATCTAAGTATCACTAATTTTTTAATTTATCATAATCAATAAACACAAAGACTAGAATCAATTTATTCAACTTTAATATACTTATGTAACTCATTTTTAGTAGCCTTTTACAATCTAAATTTTAAGAGATATTTAAATTAATAAATATTATTCTTAATCTTTATTGTAATCTTCTCATAATATATTCTTTCAATTTTTTTTAAACAAAATAATTTTTGTACATAACAAGTATGGAAATAAAGTAGTATACATAATTATATTTTTTGATATTTAGTACCAATATTTAAGATAAAATTGTCTCCAGCATGAAAACAAAAACATTTTTCTAAATCAACTCCTTATTTGGATTTTAGTTTTATCAATAAAATTCTTTTTTCCAACTATTCTGTTTACTATATATATGGAGTACAATAATAACCAGTTGCAAAAATTCTATTTGCTTTAACAATAACAACACAAACAGTTCTTTTCATAAAATTTGATCTCTATATTACAACATTAGCTACCATGCATTTCTTATAAAAATTAATGATTAAATCATTTTAATCTCCAGCATTTCCTAATTAAACTTTTGCTTTATGCATGAATTCCGAAATATTGTTAGAAATTACATCATCAATAATACATAATTATTCAAGTGGAATATTTTATTAATATTTTCTTTATAAAATTAATGATAATAGTTTCTTTAATTTTATAATTCTAATTCAAATTTTTCAGTGTGATTGAATATAAAAATTAATGATTAGGATTATAAATTAAACAATTCATCCAATTGTTATTAAGTTGAATGAAGATGGAAATACTTATCTCTAATACATTTTAATAATTTTGTAATTCATCTAATCATTGAGAATAATAATAACTAATATTTAAATTCTTTAATTTTTAATCCATTTTTATAAAGCATTATTAACAAAATCTCTAATGTTTATAGAATCAGTAATTGAAATTACTTAATTTTTCATTCTTGAATTTTTGTATATTATTTATGCTATTTCTTTGTAACAAGACTTAATTAAAATGTACTATATTAACCTAGTCTTCTAAATAATACAATTATTTAGATTTAATTATACTTATTATAGATTTATAATAATACTAGTATTTTTATCAAAAAATATCAATACTTCATCAAATAATAATAGAGATTGGTTGGTATTCTTTTCAAATCTTCTTTTTGATTCAATATGATTTTGTAATAGAATTAAGCATAATTAATCAAAATTAAACTAGTATTTGAATTAATTTAAACATATTCTAATTCTATTAAGTTAAAACTAGGAGGAATAGGGATTTATTTATAATCTTTAATTGATCATTTCGATACTTATACTAATTTGATTATTGCCAATCATTCATAGGATTTATATAAAAGTTATTATGGATAGAACACTTCATAATTATTCAAATGGCATCTTGATATTACTAAACTTATTAAATAGATAAATAGATGATGTTACTTAAATAAATAAGATCGAAAATCTCATAATTTATATGAATTTTATAAAACAAGTAGACCTAAAATAGTTTTAGAATCGAACATACATAATAATATATTCACGTATATATAGGTGATATTTAAATTTATATATATGGAAAGTGTATCCACCAGAAGTACCTCATAGGATTACGAATATAACAATTAACTTAGTTAAGCTCATTAATTACCCTATTAGAATACCTATACATCTGCTATTATAGTGTAGAATTAGGTATTTATATTAGACAATTTACACACCCAAGTAAATCAAATTCCAATACAGTCTAGATGATCAAATTGTCTGCTAAAGGGAGTAATCCAGAAGAAGATTAAATGGATAAATTAGAGTAAATACTCATTCAACTCAAAGTACCATACAAAATTAACAATGAAATCAGGACTTTCGCTTTAGATGATTCTCATTATAAACAATCGTAAGATAAAATCTAAGAGTTATTCTTCAAGCCACATAAAGATGGAGAGTCACTGCTTTAAATTTTACTTTCTGAAGATTGATTTTAATTCAATCTATTTTGAGTTCATTTATTATAGATCCTTAGAATATTTTTATCTACTATTTAAATAATTCATCTACTTTTCTGATATTGTACTTTACGATTAAATCATTATGAAATACTACATAGATACCTGATTTAACATAAAGACTATCAATAAATTGTATAATCATATTATATAATATCATTTTTAGTTCCATATTAATTTTATTTTCATCAATCTCAATTTCTTCCTCCTTTATTAATTAGAATAATCATAAAATCATAAATCTTATTTAATCACTCCTAATATTCTCAATTATCTCCTATAATCAAATATTTCCACTTATATATTCCTAAATCCTAACATCTAATTACAATTACACCCTCTTTAATTCCCCTCAATAATACGATTCAACTATATCTATAATACTTAGATTATACCAACTGATATACAATTATTGTATTTATAATCTAATTAACCATCATATTTTGAGATGAAAACTTCCTAAAAAATAATCATATTTTTATATTTTGAAATTCATTCATCTCTCTAATTTTCAACATTTAGCATCAAAAACAGGTCTTCAAAAACTTTTATTTCTAGTAAAAAATCCTTCTTGGGATTTTAAAAAAATAAACAACTTAAAATATTTTGCAATTGATATATATATGTCAAAAAACAATGTTAATGATTACAACGATTCTCCTTTTTATTTTTCAATTCATTAATTTCTTTAAATAAATATCCAACATAATATATTTTTTATATTTATCTAACTTTCCACTGCTAATTATTTTTATTTTTTATCAGTAAGCTTCGAAAGTGTGTTTTAAAGAATCTCAACTCAATTATTTAACATTATACTTCTTTTATCTTGCATTTCACTAATCTATTGTATCATTAAATTTATCTCAGTATATCATTCTTAAATCTTAACATAATTTTGAATTTACATTCTTGATATATTTAAGTCTTTTTTCTCTTTTTCTTATTTAAGACAAATTCTCCTAATTTTTTATATTAGTTCTTTATTTTTCAAATATTGATTTTGAATAATTTCAATGACTTTTCAATAAAATTTATCGAAATCGATTCTTGAAATTCAATACAATACAATTACTAATCAAAATAAATTTATGAATATTCATTAATTACCTTAAATTCTCTAAATTTCTAAAAATGATGAATATAATTTTCTAATAGATTTATCTGATAGAAATACAAATAAATCAGATATTTTATGTTTAAAACCATGATGATGTTTAAAAATTTTCATTATTAAAATTAGCTGACAATAATTTAAGAAAAAGAGTTAGCTTAGAGTTAAACTCCTTAAATACCTAACTATTAAGCTATATTTTCTTAATCGATATATACTTACTAAAGTTTATACGCTTCAATTGATTAAGACCATTATTTTAATGGACCTAGTTAATTTTTAGCTGAATTTACTATCTCTAACATATTTAGTCAATCGGAAATTAGGAGAACTTTGTCACAAATATCTCTTCGTTTTCACAATTGCTTTTGCTCTCTTCGTCAGATATAATATGATATATAATGTTCACTCAATTAATTGAGAGAAGTTTTAGAAGAATCGAGAAATCCTTTTCAAGACTTTTTTTAAACATAAAGTTTATATGAGAAAACTAAATATCTGAGCTTTGAAAATCAAAAGGCTGTATATGAAAGTCTTAAAAATCAGAAGACTTTAGATCAGACCCTTGAAGATCAGAGCCCAAAATTCAAGAAAGAGATAAGTCTAATCAATTAGAATCTTATAAAATAGATTCAAAGCCGAAAGAGAAAGATTTATTGGTAATAATATTGATTGATTGAATGAATTTTTATATATTAATTTATTTATACTATCAATCATACCATTTGGAACTTTAAAATCTTAATAGAATGCTTTTCTAAAAATTATAAAAATAAATTAAAAGCTTTGATTAATATAATTTATTAATACCACACAAAGACTGATTAAATGTAAATTATAAAATATTTCCTTTCAATCAGATGAAGCTGTAATGGGTTAATGTTAACAAAAAGCTGAGTTTGTAAAATTTAGAATTATGACTTGAATAACTTGTTATATTAAACAATTTAGAATGAAATTAATCATTTGTATAAGAAAAATATTATTCTATTATATATTTTAAAGTTGCATAATAGATTATGAAGGCTTAGTAATTAATACTTGGATTTTCATATAAAATTAATGATTTTAAAAATAAATTAAAAACTGATTGTTAGAATGACATTTATTTATTTATAATATAAATATTTTAATTATTTTTCATTATTATAAAAATTTGTATATCTTTTCGAGTAATTCATTAATTTGAAGTACTTATGTAATAATTTTTCATATCTTTATTATATATTTTACAGTATAAAAAAATGGACAAATTGTATATTGGCATACGAGCTGAAGATAAATCATATATGGAAAGAAGAACACCTATTCCCCCACATGATTGCAAGTATATAATGGAAAAAGTAAGTTAATTTAAAATATTGTAAGCATAATCGAATTTAAATAGTTGTGTAGCCTTCTACTAAGAGAATATTTACAGATGATCAATACATAAAGGTGGGATGCTTAGTTTAAGAAGATTTATCAATATGCAGAGCAATAATTTGTATAAAAGAAATTCCGCTAGATAAATATATTGAAGGAATGACTTATTTAAATTGGTCACATACTTTAGAAGCAGAACCATACAATATGCCAGCATTGGATGTGATGCTTAAGAAAAATATTAGGCATTTAGAGTATGAACGAATTTATGATGATAACGTAAACAAAAAAATATATTAGATTAGGGTGTTAACATAACTTCATTTCCTTATGCAGGGATATCAGGAATTATCACATTCTTGAATGAATATGGTAAGTATTTACTAAAAAGAGATATGAATACTCCATTCTTGTAAATAGGTCCAACATTTCAATATTATAATAAAAAAGATGCTTATGAAGCCTTATAAAAGGCAGGTTAAGCAATTAAAGAGAGAGGTCTTCCTAATAAGTTAGGGTTGCCATTAATTATTGGAGTTATGGGTTCAACAGGATCATGTGGAAAAGGCTCATTAGAAGCTTTGTCACAACTTTAAATTACTTTGGTCAATCCAGAAGATTTAAAAGATTTAGTTAGCAATCCAAATGATAGAAAACACAAAAATACTATATATGTTTGTCCTTTTAAAACTACACATCTTGTTAGACATAAACATGATTTGTATAAAGAATTCACATCTTAAGATTATTATGAAAATCCACTAGAATATGAACCAATTTTCCACTTTAAATACTTACCATATCTAACTATTCTCGTTAATGATATTTATTGGGNTTATAAAATATTTCCTTTCAATCAGATGAAGCTGTAATGGGTTAATGTTAACAAAAAGCTGAGTTTGTAAAATTTAGAATTATGACTTGAATAACTTGTTATATTAAACAATTTAGAATGAAATTAATCATTTGTATAAGAAAAATATTATTCTATTATATATTTTAAAGTTGCATAATAGATTATGAAGGCTTAGTAATTAATACTTGGATTTTCATATAAAATTAATGATTTTAAAAATAAATTAAAAACTGATTGTTAGAATGACATTTATTTATTTATAATATAAATATTTTAATTATTTTTCATTATTATAAAAATTTGTATATCTTTTCGAGTAATTCATTAATTTGAAGTACTTATGTAATAATTTTTCATATCTTTATTATATATTTTACAGTATAAAAAAATGGACAAATTGTATATTGGCATACGAGCTGAAGATAAATCATATATGGAAAGAAGAACACCTATTCCCCCACATGATTGCAAGTATATAATGGAAAAAGTAAGTTAATTTAAAATATTGTAAGCATAATCGAATTTAAATAGTTGTGTAGCCTTCTACTAAGAGAATATTTACAGATGATCAATACATAAAGGTGGGATGCTTAGTTTAAGAAGATTTATCAATATGCAGAGCAATAATTTGTATAAAAGAAATTCCGCTAGATAAATATATTGAAGGAATGACTTATTTAAATTGGTCACATACTTTAGAAGCAGAACCATACAATATGCCAGCATTGGATGTGATGCTTAAGAAAAATATTAGGCATTTAGAGTATGAACGAATTTATGATGATAACGTAAACAAAAAAATATATTAGATTAGGGTGTTAACATAACTTCATTTCCTTATGCAGGGATATCAGGAATTATCACATTCTTGAATGAATATGGTAAGTATTTACTAAAAAGAGATATGAATACTCCATTCTTGTAAATAGGTCCAACATTTCAATATTATAATAAAAAAGATGCTTATGAAGCCTTATAAAAGGCAGGTTAAGCAATTAAAGAGAGAGGTCTTCCTAATAAGTTAGGGTTGCCATTAATTATTGGAGTTATGGGTTCAACAGGATCATGTGGAAAAGGCTCATTAGAAGCTTTGTCACAACTTTAAATTACTTTGGTCAATCCAGAAGATTTAAAAGATTTAGTTAGCAATCCAAATGATAGAAAACACAAAAATACTATATATGTTTGTCCTTTTAAAACTACACATCTTGTTAGACATAAACATGATTTGTATAAAGAATTCACATCTTAAGATTATTATGAAAATCCACTAGAATATGAACCAATTTTCCACTTTAAATACTTACCATATCTAACTATTCTCGTTAATGATATTTATTGGGAGTACAAATTTCCTAGATATGTTACTGATAATTAAATTAAAGTAAAAATATTTCTTATTCTAGGAATTAGTTGAGTCTGGAAATAGCAGATTATAAGCTGTATGTGATGTTACTTGTGATCTAGAAGGATCAATTTAATTCTTGAAGAAATTCACAAATCCTGATCATCCTGTTTACTATTATAATCCAATTAATCAATCTATTCATGATGAATTTGATTTCTAATCGCAAAATGATATTATGTATATGTCCATAGATTTCTTACCATCTTAAATGCCCTATGAAGCAAGCATGGATTTTGGAAAAGCACTTAAAGATATTGTTCCTTATTTAGCTTATTCAGATCCTAATAAACCTTTGGAAGAAAGTGGTTTACCTGAATTTTTATAAAATGCAACCGTCACATTCCATGGTTAACTCACTCCAAAATATTAATACATTAATGAATTAAGAAAAATTAATGAAACTGAAAATGACCATTAAAAATTTAAAATGGTGACTTCATACTATTCAAATAAAATAAATGCAGCCAAAGAAAATATTATTAATGATAACAAATCTATTTCTTAATAATTATTGTAAATTCATTAATCATCATATTAGATCTTAGTTAAATACTTAAGAAATCAAAGTTGATACATTCTAATCAGATAATTCATCCAGAATCCAACATTGTTCTTATAATAGAGAAATTAATGTAGATGAAGCTAGGAAAATCAATAAACAATAAACTTTTGATTTACAGATCTAAATTTAATGATTATTATCAATTTAACTGATTTTATTTTTTCTAAGATTCATTCAAAGATCTGAAATTTTCTTTTTCTTTATTTTATTTAGTGTAAATTATGATCAGCCTAAACTACTAAACATAGAACATTCCTACCTAATTAAAGGAAGAATGCAACCATATTTATTTATAAAATTTTTTATCAAATTGGGTTTAATTTACATGTTTTAATCCACTTAATATTAATTTATAATTGTTAGTTAAATTATATGAATATTTAGTATTTAAATTGTTTATTATTATTAATAATTTTATAAATTAAATTAGTATGATAATTGTCATTTTCAATTTATAAAAAAGGACTCTTAGTTTATTTTATTCTTATTAACTAAAATATGTATTGATGATAAAGATGAAATAGTTCTCTACTTTCTATAAATTTTTTAATTATAATCTTATTTTTCATTTCATTTTACTTATTGCAAAAGTTCATTTTTAAAATTCTTAAAACATGAAAAAAAAAANTAATCGAATTTAAATAGTTGTGTAGCCTTCTACTAAGAGAATATTTACAGATGATCAATACATAAAGGTGGGATGCTTAGTTTAAGAAGATTTATCAATATGCAGAGCAATAATTTGTATAAAAGAAATTCCGCTAGATAAATATATTGAAGGAATGACTTATTTAAATTGGTCACATACTTTAGAAGCAGAACCATACAATATGCCAGCATTGGATGTGATGCTTAAGAAAAATATTAGGCATTTAGAGTATGAACGAATTTATGATGATAACGTAAACAAAAAAATATATTAGATTAGGGTGTTAACATAACTTCATTTCCTTATGCAGGGATATCAGGAATTATCACATTCTTGAATGAATATGGTAAGTATTTACTAAAAAGAGATATGAATACTCCATTCTTGTAAATAGGTCCAACATTTCAATATTATAATAAAAAAGATGCTTATGAAGCCTTATAAAAGGCAGGTTAAGCAATTAAAGAGAGAGGTCTTCCTAATAAGTTAGGGTTGCCATTAATTATTGGAGTTATGGGTTCAACAGGATCATGTGGAAAAGGCTCATTAGAAGCTTTGTCACAACTTTAAATTACTTTGGTCAATCCAGAAGATTTAAAAGATTTAGTTAGCAATCCAAATGATAGAAAACACAAAAATACTATATATGTTTGTCCTTTTAAAACTACACATCTTGTTAGACATAAACATGATTTGTATAAAGAATTCACATCTTAAGATTATTATGAAAATCCACTAGAATATGAACCAATTTTCCACTTTAAATACTTACCATATCTAACTATTCTCGTTAATGATATTTATTGGGAGTACAAATTTCCTAGATATGTTACTGATAATTAAATTAAAGTAAAAATATTTCTTATTCTAGGAATTAGTTGAGTCTGGAAATAGCAGATTATAAGCTGTATGTGATGTTACTTGTGATCTAGAAGGATCAATTTAATTCTTGAAGAAATTCACAAATCCTGATCATCCTGTTTACTATTATAATCCAATTAATCAATCTATTCATGATGAATTTGATTTCTAATCGCAAAATGATATTATGTATATGTCCATAGATTTCTTACCATCTTAAATGCCCTATGAAGCAAGCATGGATTTTGGAAAAGCACTTAAAGATATTGTTCCTTATTTAGCTTATTCAGATCCTAATAAACCTTTGGAAGAAAGTGGTTTACCTGAATTTTTATAAAATGCAACCGTCACATTCCATGGTTAACTCACTCCAAAATATTAATACATTAATGAATTAAGAAAAATTAATGAAACTGAAAATGACCATTAAAAATTTAAAATGGTGACTTCATACTATTCAAATAAAATAAATGCAGCCAAAGAAAATATTATTAATGATAACAAATCTATTTCTTAATAATTATTGTAAATTCATTAATCATCATATTAGATCTTAGTTAAATACTTAAGAAATCAAAGTTGATACATTCTAATCAGATAATTCATCCAGAATCCAACATTGTTCTTATAATAGAGAAATTAATGTAGATGAAGCTAGGAAAATCAATAAACAATAAACTTTTGATTTACAGATCTAAATTTAATGATTATTATCAATTTAACTGATTTTATTTTTTCTAAGATTCATTCAAAGATCTGAAATTTTCTTTTTCTTTATTTTATTTAGTGTAAATTATGATCAGCCTAAACTACTAAACATAGAACATTCCTACCTAATTAAAGGAAGAATGCAACCATATTTATTTATAAAATTTTTTATCAAATTGGGTTTAATTTACATGTTTTAATCCACTTAATATTAATTTATAATTGTTAGTTAAATTATATGAATATTTAGTATTTAAATTGTTTATTATTATTAATAATTTTATAAATTAAATTAGTATGATAATTGTCATTTTCAATTTATAAAAAAGGACTCTTAGTTTATTTTATTCTTATTAACTAAAATATGTACATAATTAATAAAAATTATTTCATTTTTTAAACCATCAATTCCTTAATTTATTATTGTGTATTTAACCTAGGGAAAATAATCTATAAAAAGAATAAATTTATTAATTATTATATTTATAATTCAAATAATAATTTTTGTTTAAATAAGTTAAGATTGTTTCTCAAAAATAAAAAGATTATAAATCATGATTTTTTTAGAAATTTCTAACATTGTTATTTTTTATCTTGAGCATCCAAATTACTTGGGTTAATTTTCAAGACTTAATCATAGTATTTAGATGCTTCTTAATAATTTTTAATGAAAAATAAGCAATTTGCTAAACTTAAATGAAAATGAACCTTTAAATAATAATGATTTTAAATGCTTTGGTTAAATTTTTAAGGCTAAATCTAACCATTTGATGGCTTATAATTCTTCATCGTTCATATATAAGCATTCACCTTGAAATGAATTTTATAATACCTTTCATTGATAAAAGCTCTATATTATTTGAGTTTAAAACTTAGGCTTTATCTATCCAAATTAGAGCTTGGGAATATTATCCTGATATCATTAAGATTTCAGCTATTATATGATAAATTGCTTTACCTTTTTTAAAGAGTGATTCAAAATAATTTGGATTAATTCTTAAAGCTTTATCAATCAAATTTAAAGCTTCTTATTTATTGCCTAATTTAACTAAGCATTCACCTAAATAGTAGTCAGTATAATTTATACATTTTACAATTAATCCGTCTATATTTTGAGGATTTTTAAAGAGAAATTTGTCTATCATTTTGATTGCTTCTTTCTATCTGCCCAATAAATTCAAACATTTAGCTTTGTTTATATTATTAAATTACCACCAACTTTCAATAAATTAAAATTTTCAGGATCTATTTTTAGTCCTTTTTCTATCCATTACAAGGCTTCAATTTATTATCCTTATAAACTTAAACACTATGCTAAAAATCTAAAATTAATTCAACCTCTTCTACATAATGAATTAAGATGATTAGGGTTTATAGCTAAAACTTGATCGACCAACTTTATTGCTTCTTTTTATTCTCCTAGTAAACTTAAACATTCCGCTAATAAATAATAATTTGTTTTAACCTTTTCTCCATAAAAAATCTAGATTTTTTGGATCTTAATACAAAACTATTTCTAAACAATCTAGTGCTTTCTCTTATTTACCCAGTAAACTTAAACATTCAGCTTTTGATTAAAATTAAAATTTACCTTTTCTGTATAACAAATCAACATTTTGAGAATCAAAAGGCAATGCCTTTTCAATAGTTTCTAGTGCTTCCTTATGTTTTCCTAATTAACTTAAACATTCAGCTATATATATCTAATATTCATACACTTTCGATATAAAGAATCAACATGATTTGCATCGATGCTTAATGCTTTTTCAATCCATTTAATTGCATCATTTTAATCACCCAAAAAACATTAAACAAGTGGCTAAATATGAAACTTTGATAATTACATCGGCACCATAAAGATAAAATATTTTTCTAATTATATTTTAATGATTCTATAAACTTTTTCTTTATGATCTACTTTAATAATTAATAACCTATAATTCATAATTATTAATTACCTTGTTCAAAGTATTTATCTGATTCCTATTAGTTTTCTTTGCTACATTGAGTGTAATTTAAAGAAGGAAGATTTAATATATCTTCGAATTCCTAAAAATTTTGGATTAAAATTTAAAAATTTTTAACTATTACAGCTAAAGGATCATATAACTCTTTCATTTTTATCATTGAGCATAAAACTTCGTGGATTTGATCTCCATTAAATTCTTGAACTTGTAAATTTGATAATTGATATTTTTAATTCAATCCATTTTTTAAGTCTTGATATGAATATTTTATCATATTAAATAATTCATCAAGTTTCTAGATAATTCTATTTTGACATTCTTATGATTTTTCATCTATGAATAGGAATAATTCATTTATTATTTTCTAATCCCTATGACTACTATGTCTTTGTTCTTAATAGCATTCTTCACACATGACACGTTTAGCTTCAGGGCAATTTTAGAATATACAAAATCTTTCAATAATGCTCCTATGGTTTTTAACTGGGCAAATTATATTCATTATTCTGGGGCTGATAGAAAAATATAATTATAATTTTATATTAATTTATTTTAATTGTCAAAAAAATAATATTATTTGATTTTTCAAAATTAAATACCACTATTTTAAGGCATGTTAATTTCAATAGAGTTTTGGCTATTAAATAATAATATTGAATGGCTATTAAATAATAATATTGAATGTTAATTCATTAGAACAAGAATTTTTCTTACAAAAAGGTTTCATATATACCTCCTTATTCATCTTTGCTCAAATTTTTTTCGAATATAACTCTAATCAACACTATTGATTTGCAAGTCACTATTATGAGTAACTCATAATATTACTAACTTTTAGGGATATATTAAATTTAAAATATTATAAAAATATTATTATATTAAATTATTAGCTTTCAATTGAATTAAATGTTAGCAAGAATTATTTTAACTATTTTTCTTTTTAATTATAAGCAATATTCTTTTAAAATAAAAGAAAAGTAAAGAATGATAAGAAAACTATTAATTGTTAGAGAAAAATAAATCAAAATAATTGTATTTTTAAAAAACAATATGATCTTGATTCCTAAAAAAATGATAATTGTTTAAAATTTATAGGTATAATAACACTTAAAAAATATATTTCATGGAAATTAATTAATTATATCTATTTAAAAATTCAGAAGAAAAAGAATAAAAAGTAGAATGAATGATTAGCAAAAGATAAGATTATGAATATAAAACAATAAAAAATGGTTTTTTTAGCTTAATCATGGATGAATAAAAAGTATAAAAGATGAATTTAATAACAAATTCTTAGCAACTTTATTTTCTCATTATTTTATAATGAGATCTTAATTAATATTTATTATTTATATCAAAATTAACCTAGATTTTTCATATCTGAGTGATTTAAAATAATTAGCTCATCTTGAGTTTTAATTTTAAGTATTTTTAATAAATAATTTGGGTAATGAAATGATAAATTTATTATAATGAACTGCAAATCGCTTTCGTGAAAAAAACTAATTCATTTAAATTTATTCAGTATTTTTTTGAAGTTCGAAATTCCAAAATTTTTATTTAACTTTAAGAAATAAATTTATCAAATAATTTATCTTCAAGAATAATTATAATTTATTCCAAGAATGAAATATTATGAATTAATTTGGCATAAAATTTAAAAGTGAAGAAAAAAGACTTATTTTAAATATACAGTGATTAGATTTTATAATACTCATTAATAGTTTCTTATAAGGCATTTTACTCAAGTCTTCATTTAAGAGTGACTAATTTTTATTTATTTTAAATATTTTCGTTGAAAGAATATTGTTAATAATTTTAATTTTACAACAATAAATATTATTATATTTACCGCTTTTATTTACTTATTTGGAATTTTTCAATTTTTTGATTGAATAAAGTAAAAATATATTACATATTATTTAATATCAACTAAAATTGTTCTTCAGATCACCCTCAATCACAAGTTTTTTCATATGCCTAGTCTTTAAAAGCTAAATCTATAGCTAAGGAATTATTTAATAAGATTATGATTCCCATCCAATTTAAAATTTTAAATATTAATGTAATTAGTTTAATAAATGTAGAAAATAAATATGTTTTTATGTTTTTTAATTTGATTGTGTTTAGTTAGGGTTAAAAGCATTTAAATTCGAATAAATATTGTATTTGATCGACACTATTCACATCTTCAATGAAAAGTTACTAAAGATTCAAATCAAATTACTTGTTTCTATACTCCAAAAGTTTGAATTAATAAACCTATTATTATAAGCCTAAAAGAAGCTTAAAGAATTTGATAATTAAAATTCAAACTAAGTTTCTTAGGTGAAAAATAAGATTGAGTATTAAAAATAATTATTTGAAATTAAATTATTGACCATCGATAGATTGTGATAAAAATTGATCTAAAGAATTAAATTTTAAATTAAGTTTGCTTTATTTTTTATAGTCTTAATTTTAAATATTAATTAATTGTTAATAATAATTACAATTAATCACAATATAGATAGTTTTTTTAATTTCTTAGATACATAAAGTTTATTTGAGATTATTTTAATAATCAATAGGCAGTTATACATATTGAATATATCATTATAATTATGATTAGACATTAATTATTATTCGATTATAATTTATACATAAATTTAAATGGGCTTATAATTGAGATAAAAGGAACAATCAATCTAATGTCTAAAAAATTTTGATTGATTTGGTTCACTTAGTGATAAAAAATATTTTGATATCTTACTAATTTTTCTTTTATTTTTGTAAATGTGGTAGAAGAATGCTTTTTTTATTAAAATACATATTGAAAATGAAATTTTATATAATTTGCAAGTAATTAATTATAAAATTGATTTCAGACGAAAATTGTAGCTGCTGCTCCAGGTTCTTAGAATTTATTTTTATTACAGATACACTCTCTTATTTTTCTCAGAATTAGGATTCGTAAAAAATGTCAATTATTAATGATATTGAAAGGATTGTTGAAAACGTGAATATATGTATCCAACCAATAATAATTCGAATATTTTAAGACAATCCTATATCTGTGATATAGTCATAAAGGATAAATGTGATTGTGTTAACAATAATAATAGACTCTGTAATAATAATTTTTTAGTACTCATGATAACTATTCAAAGGTTTATTTACCATAAAATATAATAGAAATAAAGTTTAATTTGTGGCAATAAGCAAAGATTAAAGTTTGCCTTCTTTTTACAGAAAAACAATTAGGCTAATAAAAACAAATTTTTTAATTAATAATATTGCATTGTATTATGCTATCCAAGTATTTTTGGGATTTTTAACTCCTTCAAATAAAGCTGCATATTTTTGTTTCACTTTAAATGTATTTGAAGTTGAAAATTTTTGCAGAATATAATAAAAGTAAATAGAAGTGCCGATATATGATATGAAAATAACAAATGAAAAATATGAAGTTATAGATTCCCTTAAAGTATTGTTTGAGAAATAAGCAATTTAGACAGTCATAGCAAATGATATATCATATGCATTTGACATGAAGACCCTCAAGATAGCATTATAGAAAAAATCTTTCGACTATAACAAACATTTTTATCTAATTGAATAATAAATTTTAGTGAGTGTTAAGTTCAGTTTGGATAATAATTAGGANTAAAAATATATTACATATTATTTAATATCAACTAAAATTGTTCTTCAGATCACCCTCAATCACAAGTTTTTTCATATGCCTAGTCTTTAAAAGCTAAATCTATAGCTAAGGAATTATTTAATAAGATTATGATTCCCATCCAATTTAAAATTTTAAATATTAATGTAATTAGTTTAATAAATGTAGAAAATAAATATGTTTTTATGTTTTTTAATTTGATTGTGTTTAGTTAGGGTTAAAAGCATTTAAATTCGAATAAATATTGTATTTGATCGACACTATTCACATCTTCAATGAAAAGTTACTAAAGATTCAAATCAAATTACTTGTTTCTATACTCCAAAAGTTTGAATTAATAAACCTATTATTATAAGCCTAAAAGAAGCTTAAAGAATTTGATAATTAAAATTCAAACTAAGTTTCTTAGGTGAAAAATAAGATTGAGTATTAAAAATAATTATTTGAAATTAAATTATTGACCATCGATAGATTGTGATAAAAATTGATCTAAAGAATTAAATTTTAAATTAAGTTTGCTTTATTTTTTATAGTCTTAATTTTAAATATTAATTAATTGTTAATAATAATTACAATTAATCACAATATAGATAGTTTTTTTAATTTCTTAGATACATAAAGTTTATTTGAGATTATTTTAATAATCAATAGGCAGTTATACATATTGAATATATCATTATAATTATGATTAGACATTAATTATTATTCGATTATAATTTATACATAAATTTAAATGGGCTTATAATTGAGATAAAAGGAACAATCAATCTAATGTCTAAAAAATTTTGATTGATTTGGTTCACTTAGTGATAAAAAATATTTTGATATCTTACTAATTTTTCTTTTATTTTTGTAAATGTGGTAGAAGAATGCTTTTTTTATTAAAATACATATTGAAAATGAAATTTTATATAATTTGCAAGTAATTAATTATAAAATTGATTTCAGACGAAAATTGTAGCTGCTGCTCCAGGTTCTTAGAATTTATTTTTATTACAGATACACTCTCTTATTTTTCTCAGAATTAGGATTCGTAAAAAATGTCAATTATTAATGATATTGAAAGGATTGTTGAAAACGTGAATATATGTATCCAACCAATAATAATTCGAATATTTTAAGACAATCCTATATCTGTGATATAGTCATAAAGGATAAATGTGATTGTGTTAACAATAATAATAGACTCTGTAATAATAATTTTTTAGTACTCATGATAACTATTCAAAGGTTTATTTACCATAAAATATAATAGAAATAAAGTTTAATTTGTGGCAATAAGCAAAGATTAAAGTTTGCCTTCTTTTTACAGAAAAACAATTAGGCTAATAAAAACAAATTTTTTAATTAATAATATTGCATTGTATTATGCTATCCAAGTATTTTTGGGATTTTTAACTCCTTCAAATAAAGCTGCATATTTTTGTTTCACTTTAAATGTATTTGAAGTTGAAAATTTTTGCAGAATATAATAAAAGTAAATAGAAGTGCCGATATATGATATGAAAATAACAAATGAAAAATATGAAGTTATAGATTCCCTTAAAGTATTGTTTGAGAAATAAGCAATTTAGACAGTCATAGCAAATGATATATCATATGCATTTGACATGAAGACCCTCAAGATAGCATTATAGAAAAAATCTTTCGACTATAACAAACATTTTTATCTAATTGAATAATAAATTTTAGTGAGTGTTAAGTTCAGTTTGGATAATAATTAGGATTAGAATTTAGATAAAATTAAATGTGCAGTTTTATAAAAATAGTAAGCCATATAAGCAATAATTAGACAAAATAAGAAACTTTTAAAGTTTTCCAAGAAATTAACATTTATTCCATCATTTAAAATTTTTCCATCATTTGGAATTTAATAAAATTCTTCTTGATAGATAAGATTGAATATCTTATTGATTCCCATGTTTTGAATAATTGGTTCAATAGTAATAATTTTAAAAACTTCAAAATAAATATTTAGATTTGGAGGAAATTAGATACTAATGTATTTGACATATGAAAGGTATTATAATTGGTCCATTAAATTCGAAATAATTCTGAAGAACCTACTAATAAACAAAGTAAAGATAAGCTAATTAAGAAATAAATTACAGCCTCATTATAAGTTGCTGCTTTTTAAGCAACATTAATTTAAGATTAGCTTAAAACTGTAAGAGATTAGAGTTGTTTCGTTTTAATTGTTTATTCGAGAGTTAAATTATATTTTGAAACGAATGTATCATTCAAAAATTAGATTTTCAATATGGGTCTTTCTATAGGAGCATAAAAATTAATTCTTAATTGAATAATGATATCGCTTATTTCATTTTGAGGGTCTGATTTAATTATTTATTCTTTAATATCGTAATCAGAATCATTCATATCAATTATGGTAGAAATAATTAAAGACGATGATTAAGCATCAAAATATTTCATTTTTTAATCAAATTTGATTTAAATGTCTTAATATTCTCCAAAATAAGTTGGGAGTATAATTATTTAGAATTATGGCTATTTAGAATAGATACATTAAGAATAACTACCTTCTACACTCTTACATGTGAAGTTATTTTCTATTTAGCAATTTTTATCACAACCATCACCATTTTCTTGATTACCATCATCGCAATATTCAGCTGTTTTCACATAATTTCCATCTCCACATTAAGAATAACAGACATTTTAAAAAAGATATCTTCCTAATTCACATTATTAACAGATTCCTTCTAAACAATCAATACAGTATTAATCACATTAAAATAAACATTAATGACATCCATCATTAATATAATTATTCATATCATCACATTATTCATAATCTTTAATAATTCCATCTCCACAAAATGGTTTACATACGTGATTTTCGATTATCCAACCGAATTCATTACATTCATAACAAATACCTAATTAACATTGAGTACACATTTCTTAACATTAGAATTAACATTAATAACATCCATCATACATATAAGAATTACCATCATCACATTCTTCATAAGATTAAACAACTATTCCATCACCGCAGATTGAATGACAAAAACCATTAGTTAAATGATAACCTAAAGTTCCACATTCATAACAAATTCCTTATTTACAATCAGCACATTCAACTTAACATTGAAATTAGCATTCAAAGCAACCATCATATTGTAATTAATTCCCATCGTCGCAATCTTCATTTTATACAATCACTAAATCTCCACATTCTGAAATACAATAGTTCTTATATAAATACCAACCTTAAGAATCACACTCATAACAAATTCCAAGTAAACAATAAGTACATTATTATTAACATTAAAATTCACATTGATAACATCCATCTCAATCAGCATCATTACCATCATCACATTATTCCTATCCAAAAATTAATCCATCTCCACAAATAGATTTACATTATCTAGATACTATATCAATTTCATCCTATACCTTTACATTAATAACATAGTCCTTCATAACAAATTAAACATTCTGATTAACATTTTATTTAACAATTAGAACATTCATAATTATCTACCAGATTTAAAATATCGCATTCTTCATTATTAGCAATAATTCCATCCCCACAAATACTAAAACATGAATTATCTTTTTGATTTAAATAATATCCATATTAACATTATTAACAAATACCGTTTAAACAATCTTAACAATTTAGATGACAAGAATAAAAACATTTAAAACATCCATCATAATTAATATCATTACCATCATCACAATCTTCATCTATAGATTTTAAACCATCTCCACATATAGATGTACATTTGTTATTCAATTTGTCTAATAATCCATAACCTGAACTCTTATCATATTTTAGACAATCTCCATAAACACAACTCAAACAAAATTAAGGACAATTAAAATTACCTTAAAAACAATCATCCCAAGCTATTACATTTGAATCATAACATTAATTAAGCTAAATTGAAGTTATAGGATTTCCTTTTATTGAATTAACACTGTTGCTCAACAGATTAACATTGCAAATATAGCATTGTGAAATTTAAATTGAACATTATGAAATATTATCATCGCAAATCTAAATACATTTATGGTTTATCATTTAAAATCCATCTTAACATTCATAACAAAATCCTTATAAACATTCTTTACAAAAAACATCACAACTTTTTTTACAATTATTGCATCCATCATATGGATTAAAATTACCATCATCACAATCTTCTCCATCTACTATTAAAAGATCACCACAAATAGGAAGACAATATAAATTAATTCCATCATCATAGAAACCTTTCTAACATAAACATTAATTACTTTATAAAGATCGATGATAATCTGATACACATGTTGAACAATTAGTTTTTAAAGTTCTTGTGCATGTTTCACAATATTAATTACACACAATTGGATTTGAAGTTGATGGGGTTAATGATAAGCAAACACCATTTAATAAAGTATTATATTGATTAGATGAAGATTAATCACAAGAAGTACATTCATCCAAGTTTTACATGTTAAACAACCAGGTTAATTACATGTTATACAACTGTGAATTTCTGTGCTTGGATCAAGATATAAAAATTAATTTGATAAACAATTCTAACTTATAATTCCAGATTTCCAAATAATACATGAAGTACCATCATTACAATCTGCACAAAATGGAAGACACTATGTTATTTTTGAAAATTTACATAATGCACAACACTGAAGTAGTCAAAAAGTGCACAAAATTAATCTATTGGATCAGCTACAGTTTCTGTACATTAGAATTCAATATTAAGAGGAGATGATTTAAATGAATTCTAGAATATTTCAAAATATTAAGTCCTATCAACTGAATTTTTCTAGTCTCTTTAATCTTTTATATTTTATTTTTATCAGGAAATAATGAAAAATATGTAATTTCTTAATTGATTCTGTACCTATGATGTTTTATACTTTAATTATTGATAATTTTCTATAACCTCCTGAAGTAGGTATTGGATGAGCGCTTGATTTTACTCCTTAAATTGTGTAGTAAAAATTTCCTGAATAAAATCTCCGTAAGTAACATTAAATCTTATTGTCACAGCATAATGAGGTTTGGATATAATCCATGATTTTTATATACTGCGTTATTCCATACCATTACGCCTCCTAAAACAAATTTAGTTGGAAAGATTGAAAATTTTTATCTTGTTAAGAAGTTATTCCCAGTTGGAATTATTTCAGAATAAAATTGGCTTATATCATCCGTAGTCATATTAAGATTATAAATCCTTTAGCTAAATATCTCGAATCTATATATTTAATTAGTTAAATACTTGGTATCATATCAGCATAATCAATACAGTTAGATGAATGCACAGGACAACTATTACTAATACATTCGCCTTAAAATAGAACATAAGTAGGCTAACATTATGAACATGTTGAAAAATCTTGGCAAACTTGGCAGTTTTCTTTACAATTGCCGCTATCGATTGTAACGTTTGTGAATCCCCATATTTCGGCAGTTGAGGATAATTATCTACCTTTAAAAATTAGTTTTGGAGTGGATTAATAAGTTCGAAGAATTGCTTCTATTCTTGCAATTTCATAAGTAGGACAGATGGTACTTGAACTATAAATCTTTTTAATTTAATTGAAATCGAATGTGGATGAAGATTTGATTATCTCACCTTATATTTAGTCATCCAAAATTATTTATATTCCACTGTTAGTTAAAAAACCTTGTGTATAAAATGTAACCCTGAGTCTGATAAATCTTATATTTTACTAATTTTCAAGTGACAAACTCATTCCCTCATTGTAAAGAAGATTTCCAACATATTTAGTTGAGCAATGAGTAATAGTTAATGTAGGAGAGCTTCTTACATTATTAGAATCAGGATCAAATTAAAAAGGAGAATATGTCGTGAAAGTAGAAGTAAAATATTAAGATAGAGATTTAATTCTTCTATCAGGAACACAAACATTATCTGATCTTGCTATAAAGTAATCCCTCTCACATTCTTATCTACATCCAATTCCAGCTTAAGCAAATTAATGTTCAGGATCACAAATACACAATCCATTATTTAAACTACCAGAAGAACATGTTAAACAAATTGAAGGATCATTACATGATAAACAAGTTGGTTAACAATATTTCACATAAACAAACAAATTTCGAACTCCTAACAATTGTAAATCATCTTAACTTTCAATACCTATAGATATGTTATACTTTTCTTTATATAAAATTGGTGAAGTACCAATGTATGTCAATAAGTCAAAATTTCCCAATTCTGTATTATTGCATATTTTCCTTGCATTTTGAGTTATATACCCCTAAAATACTCTCTAGATTACATTTTATATTTCACACCTGACTCTACAGTGTAATTTAGGGTGAAATACGCCATTTTATCAGTAGCAGAATTACGATCATCAAAGAAAATATCAACTATTACTTAAGATTAAAAGCTTTTCTACAGAATTATCTTATCCATTCTTGCATTATCTTTCTTCAACCGAACGTATTTAATTGAATTACTTAAGCAAGTATTATTCTCATCTTTGTCTTTTGTAAATTCAAAATTATCGCACTTTAATGAAAGAATCCATGAATTATTGGTAAAACCTTAGCCAAAACTTGAATCAACCATTACCCAATTAGATTTGGTTAAGAAAAAGCAAATTGCTGACATAATCAAAAACATTAATTTTATTTTATATAAAAATACTGTATTATATTCATCTAAAATTAATAATATAGCTGTTAAATTCATTTTAATTCTAATTTATTAATTTTTTCAAACAAAATCATTGTCTTACTTGTGTTTTTATCATTTATATCTACTTATGTAAAAAAACTATCAAGCATTGCAAAACATTACTTTGTAGATTTTTTAATAATTTGAATTTGAATAGATATTTGAAAATATAATTAAAATTAATTTTTATTAATATAATCAAAAACTACTTAATAATTAGTCATCCCATATTTTCATTCAACTAAATAAAAGGATATTATTAAACAATTAAATTTAATACACACTTTTACAATTCAAATAAAATCCATTAGCATGGAAAAATTAATTTATAGTTTTTGAATTAAGGCAAAAAGCATTTAATGTTGAATAATCTAATCTCAACATAATAAAAGAAGAGAATTGATTTACAATATAGTCTTTATTTTTATAAAACATGAACTTACTAATATAATTATTCACTTAAAAACATTATAACTCTTATAAAAGATGAAATTCTCAATTTAATATTCTGATGTGACTATTCACTTAATAGTAGGAATTAATAAATGACTACCTTATGATCCCAAAATTTAAAAATATTTCTCACCTCAAGGTGTTGAACTCTTTAATCAAGTTAAATCAATAAGAAGAAATAAGATTTTAAGCCTCTATTCAAGTATTCTTGAAAATTACCATTTATTTTAAATCAATTTAATTATTATTATAAATATGAATAAAAAAAAATTTATTGATTTTAAAGATGTTAAAAAAAGGATGTAATTTTTGAAACTATTAATTAATTAAGATAAATTATTAAAATTCATAAGCACAATAATAGAAATCCTTTTTAAACTGAAATCAATTTGTTTAAACATTTAAGAATAAAATTACATAATTAAAAAATTTTAATTTACAAATTTTATTTTCAATAATAATCAGATAAAATTTTAGTTGCCAGCTAAATTTAATTAAATTGTAATTTTTTATCAATCAATTTAAAAAATGTTGTGTATAAAATAAGAATGCCCTTTATAATCTTATTGTTTTTAATAACAGTAATCTAAGAATTAACCAAAAGCACTTAATAATAAATAATAAGATTCATACTAAATTCAAAAGTAAAATCAAAAAGGTTTACTGATCAAATCATATCTACAATTCTATGTTATAATAATAATAAAGTTAAGAAGAATTTATTTTTCAGTTTTTGAAAGATGTTTTATTCTCGTTTAAATTTTTTCTTATTTAAATTGTGATGCAATTAATAAATTCATAGTATTTAATCAATTAATAAATTTATTATGTTTTTGGATCTAAGATTATATTATATTTAATAGTTCTTGGCAAATTTTTTAAGCTTCATATTTTAAATAATTAATCCCTAGAATTATCCTTTTTTAGTCATTACTATTTTTAGTTAACCGATTAAATTATTTAATTTTTTTTAAGATTCTAGTAGAAATTTAAATTTAAAAAAAATTAGCAGTATTATCTAAAAATTAATATTATATATTTTGTCAAAAAGTTATTGTAAAAACTTGGATATTTTTTCATCTTTTATATTATGCACTGCATTTAGCATTTGAAAGATTAAACTCGTAATTTATTTAATTTTGATCAATTGACATTAAGGATTGTTCTTATGTGAAAATTTATAATCTATTTTATTTATTCTTTATAAACTTTTCAAAAATATTTTTATGTAATAATAATAATTTAATATGCATTTATCAAAATGCTAAGCTTTGAATTACTTATCTTTCTTTAATTTTCTTTAAAGTTAATAATTTATTTTTATAATTTTCATTAACTATAAGTTCTCGTGTTTTTCATAAAAATTTATAAGAATTTGATTATTAGAATATATTTGATATGATATTAAATTTAAATGTACATCTGTAGAAATAAATAAACTCGCAATTAAAATAATTATACTTTTACTTATTTATGTGTCCTTATTTATTTTAAAAATCATATTGATTAATATTTTCTAATTTAAATATATTTTGATGAAATATCCCAATGTAATTAAATATTCTCCATCAATTGTCATAGTTCTACAGATAAGCGCCTTAGCATATGCATTCCTAATCAAAGTTTGATTGGAATGTAAATTTTATTAGGCAAACTATCTCCCATATTGCTGACAAGGATTTATTTTTAAGAAATCCAATTATCCAAATCATTTTTTAATGTTTAAATTAAAAAATATTGCAATGAATCATCGTTTTAACTATCTTTTAATATGAGCCTTAGGGTTCTTAAACTTAAATTATGCAAAGAGTATGCATGCTTAAGATTATTTATAATATTATCATTATAAAATTTTTCTGATTGTCTGTAAAATCTTTTTGGAAATATTATTTTCCTTTTTATCTCATGGAATAATCATCAAACATATCATAAGTATAAAATATTTTCATAATTAAATTTATTTAGAATGATCAGAAATAAAATTTGTAAAATTCAAATAGAAAAAATCAAAAAAAATCTGATTATTACATAAATTATTATTTTTATGATCTTAATGATTTCTTGAATTCAATTAACATAAGAGAAATGTTGAAGAATTCATTTATTTTACTTCATAAAATCCTTATTATTATAATTCATAGATCAGGAAATTATTGAAAGCTTATCATTCTTTATTAGGAAGTTTTATTATTCTAATCAGAGATTTCAGGTTTTTATATATAAACATAATCAATAATTGATAATTTTTTTATCAATACTTTATGAAAGATATTTTGATATAATTTAATTTAATTTTTAGACATTTTTCCTTTCCTTAATTCTATTTTTTAAATATCTTCTTAACCATAGATGATTCTGAGAAGAAAAAGGAAATTTTGATTTGATAAATTCTTTAATTTTAACAAAATAGATTTCATATTCTTTTAAATATTCCATTATTATTTTTGTTATTGTTTAATTAAAAATAATAAGTTTAATAAAGCTATAATAAATAAAAAATGATTTGGAGTTTTAAAATTTTAGTTTATTAAAAATAACTAATCCATTAGTAATCATATAAATGTATTTGAATAATAATCCAATCTATTTAGCTTTTTCAAAATATAGGGTTTATAAATTCCATTTAATTATTAATATAAATAAGTAATAAATAGTACAAGAACACCTTTTGCAACTCCACTATCTTAATAATAAAGAAGAGAAAGTATAATTAATTCTTTTTCTGCAATTTTAATCAATTCCCAAAAATATGCTTCTTTTTTATATTCATTGTATAAGTAACCCACCCCATAGTAATCTTATATTTTTTTTTTCGAGTTATTCTTTGTTGGAATAAAGCCCAAAAAAAGAAAAAGCTTGGAATTATTATAGCAAATAAAATAATAAATGGTAAACAAAATTAGAAAATCCATTTTTTGAATAATAAACTAGAAAAGTAGTTCAGAGCTGATCAAGTATTATTATTTTAGAAAAGATAAATTTAAGTTGAAAGTAATATATTTTCTTACAGTAATCATAGATAATTAATCCTGAGGAATGGAATTATTAAGTAACTTAACAATAAGAACTTAGCTAAAATTGAGAATAACTTTAAGTTTTATATGAGTTTTCCATTATTATATTGTATTGGCTATAAAAATATATTGAAAAGAAATTTTTAGAAATCCAATGATTTTATGCTAAATATTCTTCTCAGGAAGTAAAAAGCATAAAAACAAAATTTAAATAGAATTTGAATAAATATCAATAGAAATCAAATAAATTAATCAATGATAGCTAATTTTGAAATAGATTATAATTATAAAAAAATGAGAATACTTATTCTATTATTACTTATCCAAGTCATTTATTCATTAAAAAATTTTAAATATTAAATTTAATGAAACTTGAGGAACAGATAAAAAAATTTGTGATAAGAAGAATTTTTTATTTAATTTTTGAATGATTTTCAAATTCTTTAAAGAAAAATGCATCTAGATAAAAATAAATCGGTTAAATTTGAGAATTGAAGAAAACTGGTTATAAATGAAAATAGTCTATTAACTTTAAGAGTTATATTTTAATTAATATTTGAATAATTTTAAAAATGAATTAAAGGTTAGGTGCATTTTTATGCTTCATAAATATCTGATTCTTAATAATTGTTCAGAAATAATAAAATATTTTTTTTAATTAAAGATGTTCAAGGCGTTCTGATACAGATGAATAAGAAAAGGTAAAAACTGAAAAAGATTAAATCATATTAATGATTTTAATGGTATATTGATGGACCTATCTTTTGGATACTTAGGTCTTATATTTGAAACTGTTGAAAGAATGAATTAATTTTTAATGCTCCTTTTATTATAAATATTATATATAATAGAAAATGGGTAACATTTGCTAATGTTAAGCTCTGGATATTATTCAAATAAATAGATAAGACTCTCTATCTGAAACTCAAATAAATCAACAGGAGAATATTATAAGTTTGAAATCTTTAATGAAAATGTAGGTGTAATTTGGGATTCCAAAGGACAAAGATTTGTTAAGACTAGATTCAATTTAATAAAAAAAGAAAATAAGGAAATTAGGTATGTCGAAGCTGGTGGAGCATTTGTAAAAATGTAAAATTATCATCCAAATAAATAATAGCGATTAGTTTAAAGATTATTCAGTGAGACCAGAAAAGACGATGAATTTAGAATATATGCAGAATTGTAAATGGATTGGATAACACGGAGAGAAACTTTAAAAAATTGGTAAGTGGACTGCATCTTGGAAAGGATAGAAAATGGATAGAGTTGGTGGATATTACTCTAATGATGGATAAAAGGAAGGCTTTTGGAATGAACTTTTGGAAAACTATTGGAGGTAAGTGATTATAAATGATTATCACTAATAGTCGAGGATAAGTTTAGAGTTATGGAGAATACTTTAATAATTAAAAAATAGGGTCATGGAATTATATTTATTTTAAAAATATAATGTATTAATTTTTATTATTTATTATAAGAGGTGGTGGATATTATAATGAAAAAGGTTAAAGAAATGGTAAATGGATAGTTTTAAGTGATAAGTTTTGGGAGTATTATTAATTCAATAAAAAATAATAGTTGTAGTTAAATCACATATCATGGAGAATACAGAAATGGAAATAAGATTGGTAGATGGGATATATATTTTGAAAAAAAATTGATGTAAAATAAATAAATTTAATAAAGTGGTGGAGGGTAATATTATTAAAATCAAAGAAATAAAAATGGATTTAAAATTGGTAGATGGATTGGACCCAATGATTGGTATTATTTGAATTTAATAATTTATTTAATTATTAGGCAAAGCTAAATCATAGATGATGGCATTTATAAAGAAGGTAGAAAAATTGGTAGATGGGACATTTGGTTTTAAAAAGATTATGAAAATAAGCAATTAGTGTAAATAGTTGAATATTATTTTTAGTGGTGGAGGTTAATACTAGGAAAAATAATAAGATGGTTAATTAACAGAATCGATTAAAATTGGAAAGTGGACTGAACTTTTTGATGGGTTTAGTAAGTATGTTGATATAAAATATTTAATTATTAGTAATAGTTAAATTACCTATATTGGCGAATATCAAAATGGAAAAAAGGTTGGAAGATGGAGTATATTTTACATGGATTTATGGACAAAACAGAATAATTTAATGTAGATAAACATAAATTATTTATGTATAGTGGAGGTGGATTATATAATTTTAAACAAGAAGGAAATGAAATTATAAATTCATATAAGATTGGTAGATGGATTGACATAAATGATGGTTTTTGGGGGTATTAGATAAATTTCTTTTATTAGTTATGGTTAGGTTTTTTATACTGGTAATTATATTGATGGGAAGAAAAATGGTAAATGGGCTATTTATTTTAAGGATGAATGGAAAAATGAGAAATAATTAATGTAAGAACAATTTTTATATATTTATTAAAGTGGTGGTGGAACATATAAAGTAGATCAAGAAGACGATAATTTTATAATTTCGAATAAGATTGGTTATTGGATAGAATTGAGTGATAATTTTGGAGATGGATTTGGATAATAATAAATCATATTTACTGGAGAATATAAAAATGGTAAAAAGTTTGGTATATGGAACGTGATGAAAAGAGATAAATACAAAATGGAAGCGGGATTCAAAACAATGTAAGAATATATTTTTATTCAAATTTCAGCTTATAAAACAAAATTGAAGGTTAAAATTGAAAAATATATTAAATACTATTTTGATTCTTACTCAGTATAAAATGTTTAAGTGTTTATTATAATATATTTATTTCTCGTTTATGTAATTTTAAATGTATTGATTTTTATCAAAAAAAAGCTAAAAAAAGAATAAATAATTAAATACCTTCATTAAGGGTTTAATGCTTTTATTAAAATACTATCTTAATCATCTAATAATGAATTTTTTAAAACTACTCATTGTTAAATTATCTTTTGAAAAAGCATTTTAAAAAATTTATTTTGTTTTATTGTTGGAGACATTTTCGCTTCAAAATAAATTATTTATTGAGATTTTAAGCTTTTTAAACATAATTTTGAAGATTATTATTTGCGCTTTTTCTTTTTTTTAATTCATTAACAAAAAATGTATTAATTATTGAATACTTTAGTTTGAAATTTAAGAATCTGGGTTTTCATTAGTTAGAAATAGCCAGAAAAAGTTCCTATTTCAAATTTTGGGATGATTTTTTTGAAGAAATAGCTTCGGCATTATTTAGATTAAAGAATACATTAATAATTTCATGAATAAGGAAATAGATATCTTTACTTGACAATGCAACAAATATAATTACAATAAATTATTAAAAATTGTATTCAAAAATATATCCATAGATTTGATATTTAATAATATTATTATTATTATTATTAATTTTTTTATCATTAATTATAATCATTATTTTACCATTGAGTATAATTTTGATGATTATAATTATAAAAAAATGTATATAAATAATTATTAAAAAAAACGAATATTCTCAATTTTTAATAATTTTTTTGATATTTCTTTTAATGAATATCAATTTTTTTTAATTATTATTTTTATACATTGTTTATAATAATTAAATAATAAACTATTTGCAATTAATTATTTTTCAA